GAGAAAGACAATGCAGCAAGTAGATACAGGGGAATCAAGAAGAAAAGGATATGTAGCAAGTGGATACAGGGGAAATGAAGAAGAAAAGGACATGTAGCAAATGAATATAGGGGGAATCAAGAAGAAAAGGACATGTAGCAAGTGGATACAGGGGAAATCAAGAAGAAAAGGACATGTAGCAAGTGGATACAGGGGAAATGAAAAAGAAAAGGACATGTAGCAAGTGGATATAGGGGAAATGAAGAAGAAAAGGACATGTAGCAAGTGGATACAGGGGAAATGAAGAAGAAAAGTACATGAAGCAAATGAATATAGGGGGAATCAAGAAGAAAAGGACATGTAGCAAGTGGATACAGGGGAAATGAAAAAGAAAAGGACATGTAGCAAGTGGATATAGGGGGTATCAAGATGAAATGGACATGTAGCAAGTGGATACAGGGGGAATCAAGAAGAAAAGGACATGCAGCAAGTGGATACAAGGGGAAATTAAGAAGAGAAAGACAATGCAGCAAGTAGATACAGGGGAATCAAGAAGAAAAGGATATGTAGCAAGTGGATACAGGGGAAATGAAGAAGAAAAGGACATGTAGCAAATGAATATAGGGGGAATCAAGAAGAAAAGGACATGTAGCAAGTGGATACAGGGGAAATCAAGAAGAAAAGGACATGTAGCAAGTGGATACAGGGGAAATGAAAAAGAAAAGGACATGTAGCAAGTGGATATAGGGGAAATGAAGAAGAAAAGGACATGTAGCAAGTGGATACAGGGGAAATGAAGAAGAAAAGTACATGAAGCAAATGAATATAGGGGGAATCAAGAAGAAAAGGACATGTAGCAAGTGGATACAGGGGAAATGAAAAAGAAAAGGACATGTAGCAAATGGATATAGGGGGAATCAAGAAGAAATGGACATGTAGCAAGTGGATAAAGGGGAAATGAAAAAGAAATGGACATATAGCAAGTTGATACAGGGGAATCAAGAAGTAGGAATTGTAGCAAGTGGATACAGGGGAAATGAAGAAGAAAAGGACATGTAGCAAGTGGATACAGGGGAAATCAAGAAGAAAAGGACATGTAGCAAGTGGATACAGGGGAAATGAAGAAGAAAAGGACATGTAGCAAGTGGATACAGGGGAAATCAAGAAGAAAAGGACATGTAGCAAGTGGATACAGGGGAAATGAAGAAGAAAAGGACATGTAGCAAGTGGATACAGGGGAAATCAAGAAGAAAAGGACATGTAGCAAGTGGATACAGGGGAAATCAAGAAGAAAAGGACATGCAGCAAGTGGATACAGGGGAAATCAAGAAGAAAAGGACATGTAGCAAGTGGATACAGGGGAAATCAAGAAGAAAAGGACATGTAGCAAGTGGATACAGGGGAAATCAAGAAGAAAAGGACATGTAGCAAATGAATATAGGGGGAATCAAGAAGAAAAGGACATGTAGCAAGTGGATACAGGGGAAATGAAAAAGAAAAGGACATGTAGCGAGTGGATACAGGGCGAATCAAGAAGAAATGGACATGTAGCAAGTGGATACAGGGGAAATGAAAAAGAAAAGGACATGTAGCAAGTGGATACAGGGGAAATGAAAAAGAAAAGGACATGTAGCCAGTGGATACAGGGAAAATCAAGAAGAAAAGGACATGTAGCAAGTGGATACAGAGCGAATCAAGAAGAAATGGACATGTAGCAAGTGGATACAGGGGAAATGAAAAAGAAAAGGACATGTAGCAAGTGGATACAGGGCGAATCAAGAAGAAATGGACATGTAGCAAGTGGATACAGGGGAAATGAAAAAGAAAAGGACATGTAGCGAATGAATACAAGGGAAATGAATAAGAAAAGGACATGTAGCAAGTGGATACAGGGGAAATCAAGAAGAAAACGACATGTAGCGAAGGGATATAGGGGAAATGAAGAATAAAAGGACATGTAGCGAATGAATACAAGGGAAATGAAAAAGAAAAGTACATGTAGCAAGTTGATACAGGGGAAATAAAGTAGAGAAGGACACGTAGCAAGTGGATACAGGGGGAATCAAGAAGAAAACGACATGTAGCAAGTCTTACGTTTACATTACTATCAGGACATTATTCAATAAAACCAATTGTTTGCGAACAGCTTCTGGAGTGGTTTGATTAATTTGATTAGGACGTGGTTTGTGATGATAAATAATAAATTAACACTATTCAGAAACGAATGAAGACAGTTTCTGATACATAACCATGCATAACTCTCGTGTTATCGGAGTTTAAATACTGATAACGAATTATTAATATGAAAATCATCATAATGAAAATCATCATTTGTACTTCTCGCCTATTAGATATATAATCCACCTCACGTTGACATCTTTCGCCAAAGGCATTCGTAGTGTTCAAGGGACAGCTGTATAAATGGTTACATTTCGCTGCAAATTGGCTTCACATAGCATGCATAGAGAGCTGTAAGCTTGACAAAGTATATCGGTATACAAAAAAAATATTTGTTAACATGAATGAAAATAAAAAACTTTTTTGAATAAAAAAAATCACATACTATACAAATTCGCGTTTAGTAATGTTCACATTAATTGTGAAATCACGATAAAAATTTCCGGAGAGAATATCTACACACAAATAATAAATATTAATATGTTGGACTAAGGTAAAGGTGAGATTTATTATCATCTGTTGTCTAAATTGTCATTTGTTGAAACTGATCCTACTGTTTTATACATAAAGTGAAAGTAATTATTCTGTATAAACATCCCACTGGACGTTAAACAACCAACAATCAATCAATCATCGAATCTGAACATTGTATATATTGCCATGTTATATTTCTAAATCATTACACCAGAGACATAAAACTTAGTTTAAAATTCTTATGTTTTACAGATTTCGTTTCCTAAGGCATCTCAATTTCCCTTTTTAACTCAACCGGTTCAAAATAAAGGTCAGTGTTGACATTATCTCTTTACCTTTACGCAACGTCAATCGTCAATTGCACATGTCAATCGTCAATGACTTTTACAATGTTTCCTAGTTATTGGTATAACGGGAATAACGCATGAAAAGTCCTTAAATACGGGAATAATGTATCAAAAGTGCTTAAATACAGGAATAATGTATGAAAAATCCCTAAAAAAATCCAAATTTATTCTTTGCAGTAGCCACCAGCAAGAGGAAATTCTTGATTTCTTCTCTAGACATACAAGTAATTTTCTAACCTTAAAGGAATTATTAATATAAGACTATATAATTACATTACATGTATGTATCATTATAATACGTTATTTTGATTGGCTAACAGCAATCACGCGTCATTCTAAAATTAACATTCATTTGAGAATTGAAAGCTTCTTTTTGTAAATTTATTTGGGTGTAAAAGCTTTGACCGAAGTACATTTTGTATGAAGCGCGGAAGCGCTTCATTCTAAACATGTGCGCACGGTCAAAGCTTTTACAACCCTATAAAATTACTAAAAGAAGCATTCAATACTTATAATTACATTTATTTGCTCGGATCATGAAAACACGATTTCTATCAAGATTTACTTTTATTTACCTGTGCACTTTATTGTGGAAGCTCGTGTTATCATGAATGTTACATTTCATTTTGAATTTTGAATGATGGTTAATTTCAGAATGACGCGAGATTGCTGTTAGCCAATCAAAATAACGTATTATAAAGAAACATGCATGAAATGTAACATTCATGATGACACGAGCTTCCACAATAAAGGTTTCATACAAAATGTACTTCGGTAAACGCGGCTTTTACACTCCAATAAATTTACAAAAAGAAGCATTTAATTCTTAAATAATAATATCTTAAAGATGACCATTTTCATATGAAGACACAAAGTTCCTTTTGAAAACTATATAAACTAAAAGACTAGGACTTGTCAATGCCTTTGAGAAATAATGACTGAGATTGTTTCAATTTTTTTTTAGCTTTTCAATTAATGAAAAACAGTAAATCTATACAGAGATATCAAATAAGTTTACTTCCTGATCAAAGGGCCCTTAAGTACATATCAATATTATAAACAAATCAAATGTAGGTGTAGCATCATGATCTGTCAACTCCGGACTAAGATTTGATTCACGAATAATTGATCTAACATATATGTGATCATATATGGTTTATCTATCTGCAACCTTGGCATAAGATATGATCATATATTGCAGAAGGCTAAAATGTGCATTTAGTTGTGAAATTAATATGACCACGGAGTGAATATGGTTGTTTCAGTTCTTTTTCATTCGCCTGACAAGACAAGCTCCTCACATTTTATAAAAAGTCCAAACATTTTAATTTATGTAAAACAGATACACTGAGTAGCATGTGACATGTTGTAAATTATAAAACGATCTTCAATTTTCATATCTGGGATCAGTTTTATACCATACTACATGTAGGCCTATATTCAGTCATATCTGGAACATAATATATTTTGACTAGTATAATAATCCCAGGTCATATTAACATGAAAGGTATTTTTAATACAGTTTGTATAATTCACATATTTAGTTAAAAGCTAACTTTATAATTGTTTTACATTGGGTATGTTTCGTATCATTCGGCTAGCTATACAGCAGAGTATTTTAGTCTTTGTTATGCTAAACTGTAAAATGCAAAATGCGGACAGTTTAAATTTGCATATAATTTGACATATTGTTATATCGATTCGGTGATGGTCAAGTAAGATCCAATGAATGCGCTTACCGAAAGAACGGAACATTACCGACTAACATCCTACTGCATGTATAAAGCAACGTATAAATGGTTGCCATATAATATATATAACATCAACACTAATTCTAAAAATATAATACAATACGTAGAAGTGGAGACCTCTTTGTTGTATACTATTCATTTGAATAAAACGAGATGTGAGGTATAAATCAATAGGACAGCAACCCAACAACATAAAAAGATAAAGTTGTTTATGCTTTATTTTGAATGGATGCAAGTGACTTAAACAATAATAAAGATCAAAACTACTTACTGGTGGAATTCTCCGATATTGTCTCCATTCTCTAATGTTGTCAGATCGATAAATAACCTGAGTTTATACCCCAAGATCACTTTGTTCTGAACATGGCAAAGATGTTTATCGTTAATGCAACAAACGGGAGGTAACTCCGCTTAATAAAATATTTTAAATTAAGCTAGACAATCCCGTGCATAATCCAAATTTATAACATATCTATGGCAAGCCGTTCTCGTTAAAACTATTTTAAAGCCATTGTTCGCGGGGAAAAATGTAAATTTATATGGAAATACAATATTAAACAAAAATCAGAATAAAAATTGAGAATTAAAAATTACCCAACGACAATAATAACAGTACACACTGAGAAACCAAAAAAATACACACTGAGATTAAAAAAAACCCTGAGATTTGGACGCAATTTTATTCACATAGTCTACAATAGACAAACCTCGACAGATTACGATACCTTACATCTAGATCTGTCGTTATGTGCCGATTGCATCTAATTAGCATAATTTGCCGTGTTTGGGTTGATTGATTGATTGGTGTTTGCGAATGAATGAATGATCTTTATTCTCATAAACCAAATACATAGTTACAGAGAAGAAATATTACAATAATAACAAATATTGAATATAGCATGTGTGAAATACAAATTATTGTTAATTAATATTATAAATATATATTTGGACAAAAGATAAATAAATATACAATAGTTGTTTTAACCAGGAGGATAGACTTTCACAGAAATACATTTAATAAATCTGGGAACAGTATATCAATATATATGTTCCTGAATAAATCTACAGAGTTTCTGAAGTTCAACACAGTTTCGATTTGAGTATACTTGTTTAAATTTTATAACATTTACATTAGATTTACAGTATTGCGGTAAATATTTGTTTCTATCGTCTTTGAAAAAATTACAAGACATAATATAATGGTATTCGTCACCGATGTCAACTGAGTCACAATCTATCAGATCTTGGTATGCTGTGCCACCTTCCCGTCTCAATTGGCAAACGGTGATTTCCACATCTAAATTTGCTGTACGCCGTATTAACACGATAAGGCTATTACGCGGAGAGATGCGTTTAGATATCTATGGTTACCTAATTAAAAGATACCTTACCTACGGTTGAAAATTCAAAGTCTGACCATAGGTGATCATTTGTATCAAGAGTTCACACACGCTTCTTACCCACAATTAATACATCCATCGGTTTTAAACTAGAGCCAAGTTTTAAAATGCACAAGTTAGTTATATTTGCTTTAGTATTTTGATATAAATAACAATCTTTTGTAGGTACACAACGTTAAACGTAGAAGTTTCACCCGCAGGAAATTTCAGACCATATTTTTTGAAAGTGAGTTGAACCGGCGAGGGTGGGAGTGGAGACTGTCTTGTAATTTCATTGTACATGCCAGGGAAAATTACAAATAGTAATAATTCAGTATAAAAAATATTTGTAGTAGACTGCTACAACTGTATATACATTCTTAAAATATATAAGGAAGAATTTTTAATATGAATCGGAAGCTTATTTCAAAGAGGGACAATATAGAAGGAAGAAATTAAAACTGTTATGATAATAATTCGTTCGTTCAGGTATACGAGACAAATTTCCTGCATTACGTGTCCGATACGGACGTGATTGACCAAAGTTGGTAGGGACTAAATTTGAAAGATATGCTGGATAGTTACTGTTAACCATCTGACGAAGGCTTGTGATTTTTTCGCCTTTCCCTGATAGTTTCACTCCCGGTCTCTTTTAGAAGAAATTGTAGACTTGTTAACTTGGTAACCCCAGTAACTATACTTGCTGCTTCATAATTAATTTGTCCCAGTCGATCATTCAAAATATTCTGGATAATTATCCCAGTATATATCGACATACTCTCAAATAGGCTGAACATATGAAAAATACATGACTTCAAGCTTTTTCTGTCCACTTTGAACTTAATAAGCCTTCTTAACATATTCAGACGGACAGATGCTTTTGCTAGGAATAGATTTCATCAATTTGTATTTTCCAGCTGCCTTCACTCGAAATATGTAATCAAAGGTGTTTGTATGACTCGACAGTAATTATTATTTTCTGCACCCTTTGGGCATGAAGCTATGACATCCACTCCCCCCCCCCCCAAACCCAAACCCAAAACATAAATTCAAAGATTTTACTAAACTATGCGCGGCAATAGACAGGATTTGAAAAAAAATGGGTGATACGGTAACTGTGGTTTAAAGGAAAAATTGGTTTAGAAAAAGAGCATGTCGAAATGTTAGGTATCGGCTGGATGTTGGAACATTTAGTGTGACAACAGGACAGTATTTGTGTATAGTTATAATATTGTGAAACAGAAGATCAATATAACTTCCGTACCTCTATTTTTACTTCCACCGCGTCACTTGTACTACGCATGGCTTAGTTGAAACGAGTTTACAGTGAAAATAATTCGAGAATTATGAACAAAATTAATTCTAACATTTTTGTATAGTACACATTTTCATTTTGTTTTTGTATATTAAGATAAAACTATTTACACAGTATACATTTACTGACTGCAGGTGTAAGTGGAGACAGCTGCTTTGAACGACTCTACAGAGTCGATCATCTTATTGATTTGTGGAAGGTTGTTCCAGATTTTAAAAGTAACTGGAAACAAATGTTGGTTGTAGGTATTCCTATGGGCACCAATTGCGCCCTTTTAATAGCAGACTTGTTCTTGTACTGTTTTGAATCACAGTTTATGACCAAATTTAGTAAATACCCATATGAATTGCATTTAATTAATAAATTCAACAACACTTATCTTGAGGATATTTTTTTCGCTAAATAATCAAGAATTTTCTAAATATACTGCGGAAATTTACCCAAAGGAACTTACTTTAAATAAGTCAAATATACACGATAATAACTGTCCTTTTCTAGATTAAAATATTTCAGTTTTACACGGGACGATTTTTCTTTCCTTATTGTTAATTTCCCTTTTCTAGATGGTGATGTTCCTGTAGTACCATCTTACGGTGTTTATATTTCACAACTGGTTTGCTATGCCCGTGTCTGTAGTGACGTTTTAGATTAACATGGAAGTAATCTAATGTATTACTGGTAAATTATTAAGTCAGGGATTTCGTTACCTGAAATTACTAAAAACCTTTACTAAATTCTTTCATAGATACAAAGATTTGGTTTGTAAATAGATATAAGAAGATGTGGTATGAGTGCCAATGAGACAACTCTCCATCCAAGTCAAAATTTATAAAAGTAAACCATCATGGGTCAAAGTACGGTCTTCAACACGGAGCCTTGGCTCACATCGAACAGCAAGCTATAAAGGGCCCAAAAAATTACTATTGTAAAACCATTCAAACGGGAAAACCAACTAATCTACATAAAAAACGAGAAACGAGAAACACTTATGAACCACATCAACAAACGACAACTACTGAACATCAGATTCCTGACTTAGGACAGGTGCAAACAATTGCAGCGGGTTTAAACGTTTTAATGGTACCAAACCTTCACCCTTATCTGAAACAATAGTGTAACGTCACAACATAGAAAGACACACTTTAAAATATCAATTGAAATGGCTTAACTCAATCAAAAGACATATTAACAACAGTGAACATACGCTGAACAAATAAATTTGATCTATGATACAATGTAAATACAAAATAAATAAACTAAGGGAAGAATAATTAAAGTAACATATTATACCGCTGTGAAATGTTAAACAATTTAAGAAAAACAATATGCTTGAACAAAAATATCAGCCATTTGCAATTAATTTAAACACAGGTAAATGAAAATAATTTTGTTGTTAGGTATACGTGTACAGTTCAAATGGAGAAAGGAAATATTTTTACAAAATAAATAATTTTGATGTTCATAGTACGAAGAAGTGAAAATTTATAGTAATACCAAACACTTATCAATGCTGGTATATAGACCAGATATAACCCTGAATAAGTAAACATTAAATAACTAAAAAGCATTACAATTACTAGTAGTATCAATAGGTCAAATAAACAAGAAAGTACGATTTGAGAGTACTCGCAGTTACTGACAGCTAGTTAAAAGCCAAAAACAATTAATAATAAAAAATCATGCATCAGAGACTAAAATCAACTAAAACACATCCCAGGGATTTAGTATTTTAACGTCATGGACAGTCAAAGAAGACATGCCAAAATTAAATGTATCGACAGGCAGTAGGATAGTTAGGAGTTAACCTCTTTATAGATCAAAATGAACGTGGGTGTGTCTTTATACATCCCGCTTGAAAAGAATACAAATTTAGTTATGTTTTAATTTGCTGATGAAAAAATCGATATTAGTGCCAATGTAAACTATAATCAAAGATCTAATTACAACATTGGTAAGATAACCTTTACTAATAAGTTTGTTTAAAGGTTCGATGAGTTTACACGGATCGCATAGTGATTTCCGCGCTTTAAGTACAATATTACCGTAAAATTTAGGATGTGAAATACCGTTTTTAATCAGTTTTCTACAGGTACAGCAAAATTTACTAATAAAATCTTTGTATCTATGAAAGAATTTAGTAAAAGTTTTACGTAATTTATGGTAACGAAATCCCTGACTTAATAATTTACCAGTGATGCATTGATTACGTTCGTTAAAATCTATGACATCACTACACACACGGGCATAACGAACGAGTTGGGATATATAAACACCGTATGATGGAACCAAAGGAACATCGCAGTCTCAAAAAGGAAAATAAACAATAGCGAATGAACAGTCGTCTCTTTTGTTGTAAATTTTAGTACGGAGTTTTCCTTTAGAGATTTAAATGTCCAAATCTAGAAAAGGACAACTACTGCTGTTTATGTTAGATTTAGTTACAGTAAGGTCTTTTGGGTAAATGTCGGTAGTATATTTAGAGAACTCTGGATTATTTAACGAAAAAATATCATCCAGATAACGGAAGGTATTGTTGAATGTATCAACCAAATGTAACAATGACGTGTCTTTACTGAGTTTGGTCATAAACTGAGATTCATAGCAATACAGGAATAAATCTGCAATTAAAGGGGCACAGTAAGTGCCCATAGGAATACCTACTACTTGTCGATACACTTTATCACCGAAACGTACATATATGTTGTCCAGGAGAAAATTTAAAGCTTCAATCATATCTTCACATTTCCAGTAAGTGTGTCTAGCATACTTTCCTTTTTCGTTACAGAAAAAGGCTTTAAACGAATTACAGCAAATAAATTTGTAATGAGATTTTTCAAAAGACCATTTAATTAAATATGAAAACTTTTTCTTGATAAGATTGTGTGGAAGTGAAGTATAGAGAGTAGAAAAATCATAACTGTCAACAGAATTAAAAGGACCATCAAAAGCATGTATTTTATCTAAAACCTCTAAAGAATTTTTAACACTCCAAAAATAATTAATACCATTATTTTCATAAGCTTTATTACAAAAGTTGATAACAAGTTTTTTGATAGTAGTAAGGGAGGTAGTTAGAAGCACTGATAGATTGATAGTAGAACACTTACTAGATGCGGAGATGAAACGGAATTTAAATGATTTTTGTGCAATTTAGGTAACCAGTACATAGTACGGACTTTCAAATGTTCGGAAGAGGCTTTAAGCTGGGTAGTGGCAGTGATATGCTTGTTTACAATTTGACTCTCTGTGGAGCGTACGGACCTGAATGTAGAAGAATTTGTAATTTCGTTTTGGAGAACTTCCGTGTAGTATATTCGTCACACCACCACTACATTATTTGCTGCTTTGTCTGCAGGTACGAATACATACCGCTTTGCGAGTACTTGGAGTTTATTTTTTATTCTAGAAATGGGAATATCATGGACCCTATTACTAAATTCAGAATTATTTTCAAAATGAGATGTATGAATATTAATAGTATTCATAATTTTATTCAAATAATTGTCTAGAGATTTTTTATCAGATTTTTCACCTTTACACCAATTTTTACAGTAGACAGACAGGGCGTCTTTAATGACCTGACGACACTGTTTCCAATCTATTTTAGATGGAGGACGATATTTCGGTCCTTTCTTAAGAAAAGTTCTGACCTCACGGTCTTCGAGTATGTTGAGGTCTCCTGTAAGGACATGACCATAGGGAACATATCTAAAACTAGATGTTTCACAGTCTCAAGTGGAAGGAACATTATTTTCTATATTGTCGTCTGATGTAACTGACGTATAATTAAAAATCAAACTTCTGCTTGGTTTTTTAGAAGAATACGAAATAATAGGTGGTTCTATATTATCAAAATATGGAGGTATTTGGCTTTGGATGGTAGAGTCATTGAATATACTAGATAAGTTAATAAAATCAATACCTCTATTTATATATTTTAATTTAAGAAAATGCCGTTTATGATTTTCAGGTTTATCGATTCTAGGAAATAGCATATGATTACAAAAGGCTATAATAATACGGGTGTATTCATACATTGGACTAAAAAAAGAAATTTTATCACACTCCAGAAAAATAGCATATAATTTACTTATTGGTATCTGACCCAGTTTGCATAATACTTGATGTCTGCCATTGTTTTTTATTATAGATAACAGATCAGCAAGTGAATAATTTATACGATGTTTAATACATTGATTACGGTTTTTGCGTTTGCCATGAGACCTTTTATTTCTAAGTCGTTTATCTACAATATTAATGACATCGATCATTGAAGTTTTAGTTATGTTCCCCTGTCCTAATATTTTGTCATTAAGACCGAGAGGATAAGCTGTTTGGAGTCTTTTTATCCAAAATAATTCGCGAACTTCACGTGATTTTTCAAATTGCTTGTGTGATTCTCCTGGTTGATTCTGAACGGTTTCAAATGGTTGGAATTTTATAAATTTTAGATTGTGATTATGCTTATCTAAATGTTGATATATCAAACTTTTGAATTTTTTAGGTCTACGAAAGCGGTAAAGGTGTTCTTGATTTCTTCTGTAATACTCTCGTCCCGTCTGTCCCACACATTGAATATTGAATTGTAAGTTTGGATGTACCTATAGAAAACTTATTTCAAATGAGATAGCACATCCTAAATTTTATTGAGATGTTGTTTACCGAGCCCAGAAATTTAGATACGGTCCGGGTAAACTAATCGATCCTTTAAATAACTTATTCTAAAAAGTTACCAATTCAACACTGTAATTAGATCTTTAACTATTGTTTTTATTGATATAAATATTAATTTTGTTATCAGTAAATCAAAACCAAACTAATATTATTGTTATATACATATACATATGCCCATTCACGGTTCTGGTTCTACAATCTGTCGATATCTATATTTTTGCATTGCTCAAGGTCATGTTTTTCTCCGACTGTTAATGACGTCTTTACACTAAATCCAATGGATGTTGGATGTGTAATGATTGATACTTTAGTCTTAGATACATGATTTCTTTTATTAGTTGTTACTGGCTTTGAACTAGCTGTCATTAACTGCGAGTACTCTCAGATCTGTACTTAGTTTCTTTTTGTTCTTGTAGGGATGTATAAATACCCTGCCACGTCCCGTCTGCGTTTTTGTTACTTGTTTTTATGCTTTGTATCGATCTGATAATCCCTTTTCAACTGATTTTTATAGTTTGTTCATATGTTGTACTGTTACACCACTGTCCCAGTTTAATGGCGCCCGCTTACATGTTTAACGCCGCCACATTCTTTATATGCCTGTCCCAAGTCAGGAGCCTGTAATTCAGTGGTTGTCGTTTGTTGCTGTATATCATATTTGTATTTCGTTCATTGTTTTTTTTTAACATAAATCAGGCAGTTAGTTTTCTCGTTTGAATTGTTTTACATTTGTCATTTCGGTGCCTTTTATAGCTGACTATGCGGTAAGGGTTTTGCACCTTGTTGAAGGCCGTATGGTTACCTATAGTTGTTAGCTTCTATGTCATTTGGTCTCCGGTCGAGAGTTGTCTCATTGGCAATTAAACCAAATCTTCTTATTTTATATTTAGGTTCTGCAGGATGGAATTTGGTATGGGGTGCGTGTATGTTCCTGTAGATAGCCTTATTACAAATGTTGTTTATGTAACAGTGCCATTTTAGGTGTAACTGAATTGTCACGCCTAGGTATTTTGCCTTGTCAACAAGTATGTAACCATATAAAGTGTAATTGAATATGAATGGATCTTTATTTCGGCTGATGGACAGAACATTACACTTGTCAAGATGAAGAGCCATTTTCCATGTGTTCCAAAATACCTAGTGCATCAAGATTTTATCTGTTAGATTTTATTACCAGATATGAAATGGTGTCATCTGCAAATAGGCGTATGGTGGAATTAAGCCCACTGGTATGTCATTGACAACCTCTCTCTCTATATATAAGCCCATTGGTATGTCATTGACAACCTCTCTCTATATATATAAGCCCACTGGTATGTCATTGACAACCTCTCTCTCTATATATAAGCCCACTGGTATGTCATTGACAACCTCTCTCTCTATATATAAGCCCACTGGTATGTCATTGACAACCTCTCTCTATATATATAAGTTTATTCAGTGGAATAATAAGTCTTTATAGTAAGTATTATTTTCATAAATCTGGAAACCCGACTTTTTAAAGATTACTTTAAGTAATCCAAACTGTGAAACCATAGTTGCTCGTAGACCAAACTGTCAAACCAAAAGTGGTATCTATAAAACAATTGCGCAATCGTCGATAAAAGAATAATCACAGAGAAAAAAGTAGCTGTTTTTTTCTATCGATGTTTTCAGGTGAGAAATTGTATCCTCCATAACCATAGCCAAAGGTTAACATCCGGTCCCCTTCAACCCCTTGGCTAGTGAAGGTGATGACTACACATTACAATAAATAAAACCTTTAAGTAACAGTGGCGGGTTCAGGATTTTAGAAAGCGAAGCGGGCGGATCAACCCGAGTCAAAAATCATAATAATAATGCACTTAAAACTCAAATAGTCGGCTATATGGGGACACGTTGGATCAGCTTATTTATTAAAGGATCAGCCTTTAATAAATAAGCTGAACAACACCCTTTTCGTATCTACCCTATTCATGATTGATTAATTTTAGTCCCCACTCTTTGACATTATAAGAACTGTGCAAGAGAGGACACTTAAATCATGACCCTTTTCGTGACAGCATGAATAATAAATGTTACATTGCGGCATATCAGTACAGTCCAATCAACCTGAAACTTACTCCCTATGATATGATCTTTCTAATTTTAATGCCAAATTAGAGTTTTGACCCTAATTTCACGGTCCACTGAACATAGAAAATGATAGTGCGAGTGGGGCATCCGTGTACTATTGACACATTCTTGTTTACGTATTATTCTAACACGAATTTCCTTCACTTGACAGAATTATAATGGAATTCGTAATTAGAATAACTTTTCTCAGTAGAGAGAGGGTATTTGAATAAATGAAAAGTATAAATAGAACTATAAACTTAAATGACTTTTTTATTATTTATGCTTGGCACCAATTCTGTCTGAAAATGGTCAGTAAACCTTGTGGTTGTTTTTTCTCCCACCTGTAATGAAACAAGAATAGTTAAATCAGTTTATGTTACCTAAATTGTGTAAAATAACTATCAACCATTCGACAACGTACGAAAAGAGACATAAAATGTGATTGATGATATGGAAAAAAGAAAAGTACGGATGCAATATGATAAAAACTAATTTTTATTAATAATAAAAAAAAACCTTGGAAATTCCTGCTATCGACGGAAAAAAAAGATAAATAATTTATCGTTAACATCTCAAGCGGTATAGTAAAATCAAACAATAATATTTTACTGGCTACAGTTTCTGTGGCAATATATCTTCTGTCGGATTCACTAATTGACGAAAAACAAATATGACAGACATGAATCAACGACAACCACTGAACTACAGGCTCCTCACTTGGGACAGGCACATAAAGAATGTGGCGGGGTTAAACATGTTTGTGAGCGCTCAACCCTCCCGCTAACCTGGGACAGTGGTATAACAGCACAACATAAGAATTAAAGTTAATTTTATAACATTGCATGTCCCTAAGTACTTTGGCTGAATCACATACTGTCAGCACTGATAACCTCGTCGATGCGATTGGCGAACCCCTTCCTTTTAAGACATTAGATGACAAAGGAGAATGACTGATTATTGTTCCAATGGTTCATCAATTGGATTATGCATGCTTTATTCTTCCATACAATCTGACCAAAAGTAAACTTGGCAAACGAATTGAAATACTTTTGATAAATCTGGACCTGAATTCATATGATGCAATAATAAACAAACATTTTAGTCATGAGATATATCCAGAGTAAAAAAATAGTACATGCATTTCCTCTTACATGCTGAAAAGAAATTGGGGACGAAAGGTGGGCAAATATTTGTATTTATTATTTTTTAACTGGTTTGAACAGTTTTAATAGTGCTTCTTCAAAAATGAAAAAAAAAAATCTTAAGGGTAGGCACTGAAAATTAGGGTCGGGAGGGTTAGCGGAAACACTGGTATATCTTGAATGCATATCTAGCTTCCAACATAGTAAAGAGCATTTCTTATCCCTGCTTTTCAATTTATATCCCGTCTTTTAATTCCTAGTTCAATTTAGATGGAAGCTGGTCAAGCAGGACAGTACAGGTTTTGTATTGATAGACAGACAAAGTGGAGGTTTGTTACTGCACGTATAACTGGTTACAAACCTCACAGCATGTTGTGACTGTACCAAGTCAGTCTGTATGGAGACGTGTTGTTCGGTGATTGCACGACCCCCCCCCCCCCCCCTCCCCAAACCGGAAAAGTCGGATGTTAGTGGTAGTGGTTGGTGGGGTTTTTCAATATGTATGTTGACTTTTGTTATCCTTTTAATGTCTTATACGTAAATTAAAAAATAACATGAATCAGTATTTAAAGCCTCGTTGATTTTATTATATACCAGGTGATGGATTACATGATTCTTTACTGTTCTCTCTTAAAATACATCTATTTAACTATGATACGACACGTGTCTCTTATATGCATGCCGGAAAGTCAATACGTTAAACATTTAGAAGCATTAAACACCTGAAAATATGTAACCTTTTAAAGAGCAACGCATCTCAAACGTTTTATTTCATATAGTTTGTGTAATACACAAATGGTATATACAGTATCATAAGTTTACTTTTTGTGACATTTGAACTATATTCCTTTGCGGTACAATCAATAAAAAACTAAATTCAGGGAAAAAAAACGTCGAACATTTTATTGCCTTGATATTGATTTTATGAATGATGACAATCTTTTCATAGAAAATATAACAGAACTTTATTTTAACTACAACTCATTTTTCAATCTCGAATCAGACATAGCGAAAAATGAATACTAAAAAATCAAATAAAGGTATTTTATAACAATAGAATTATGCATCGTTGATAGTCTGTTGAACAATTTGTCTGCAAAACCCAGGTGTAAGTTCGAGCTTAACATGTGATATGGACACTTCATTGTGTACAATTTGTCTGCACCAGGCCAGTTCGAGCTTAACATGTGATATGGACAATATATTGTTTATAACTTGTCTGCACCAGGTGCACGCTTGACATGTGATATGGACACTTTATTATTTATAACTTATCTGTACAAGTACCAGCTTGACATGTGATATGGACACTTTATTGTTTGTAGCTGTGTCTGCACCAGGTGTAAGCTTTACATGTGAAATGGACACATTATTGTTTATAACTTGTCTGCACCAGGTGTAAGCTTTACATGTGATATGGACACTTTATAGTTTATAACTTGTCTGCACAATGTGCAAGCTTGACATGTAATATGGACACGTTATTGTTTGTTACTTGTCTGCACTAGGTGCAAGCTTGACGTGTGATATGGACAATGCATTGTTTATAACTTGTCTGTACAAGGTATAAGCTTGACATGTGATATGGACACTTTGTATATTAGTTTCATAACATTGGTTGAGGCAAACTGTAGTTACAGAATGGAAACGAAAAATTCAGCAATATTTCCATTTGTAAAGGGGCATAACTCTAGAACGGTAAAAGTGACGCCACCAAAATTCAAACTTGATATGTGATTTGTGGTAATAAGCATTATGTATTAGATTCATAACATTTGGTTGAGGTAAACGTAAGTTAGAGAACGGAAACGAAAAATTCAGCAATTTTCCCACTTATAAAGGGGCATAACTCTAGAACGGTAAAAGTGACGCCACCCAAATTCAAACAACTTGATCTGTGTTTTGTGGTAATAAGCATTGTGTATAGATACATAACATTTGGTTGTGGCAAACTAAAGTTAGAAAACGGAAACCAATTTTGGGACGTACAGACGAACGGACGTACAGACGAACAAGGTTGAAACTTAATGACCCCAACCCCCTCCCCCCTGTTACGGCGAGGGCATAAAAAGCAAATGCATCTATCAAGGGAATTTATGAAAAGGTTAATTAATGAGTTTAATGGGGAGATTCAATCTTACAATACATTTTTTTTAACCGTGAAAACGAGAACAAGGTCAGACGAAACCTGGTAGACTGACATGTACACCTAACAGTCATTCCATACACCAAATATTTTTGGCAAAAAAAAATGGCCTTACGCACACAGTATCTGAGAAACCGACCTAATCATGTAACTTTAACCTTGATCATGAAATGAGGACTAGGTCAGATGTGCCCTGTCTGGCGGACATGTAGACCTTGCAAGGAACATATATACCAAATAATATTGTAATTATCCTATTACTCATAATAATTGAGAAATTCACATAACAAAAACACTTTAAAAAAATCAAGCAGTCGCTGAACCATGAAAATAAGGTCAAGAACTACGGACATATGACAGGTAAACGGTAAACTCTGACCATTTGCAGAGCTGTTGAAATTTTTAAAAATCTGTCGTACAATGGGTCTAACAGACTTGTCCCCCTTGTCAGACCCTAGCTTTGAGGTTTTGCCAAACCTGCACTTTATTTTATATAAACTGAGCATTTCAGTAAGTCATGTTCTCGTATGCATCATTGAAGTCATTCTAAATATAACAATAGACTAGATAAAGGCAAATACAAAAATTACTGGACTCCAAGGGAAATGTCGAGAAGAATAGACAAGTATGTTTCCACAAAGTCAAGAATTCCTCACCACAATCAACAAACAGAATAAATGTCACATCTCAGACTTATTACAGGCTTTTTCATAAAAAAATCGTAAAGGGTTGCGCAGAACCCTGTGTCTCGCCTACGATTGCTGCTGACAGTGTAAAAATGTAATGTTGACTTAAAAAGTGTGTCCATTTATCAGTTAAATACAGAATTAAAAAAAAATCCAAACTTTTTCTTTAGATGCTTTTTCTTGGTCTTAAAGATTAGCGTCTGTCCATGTTTCATAACAATTCATGAAGGTTTACAAATTTATCATGTCAAAAAAATTCAAATCCCAGACTGTCTGTAAATGTTATCTATAAAAAACGAAGTCCATCTATCATGTCTATCAGAAAAATACTAAAAGCTCTATGAAAGTTTGACAAAGTCATTGATGTGTAACAAACTTTAACCCCAGACTGTATATTTACTTGTTTATTGTAAAAAAAACTAAGCCCATTTATCAGTAAAATACTGTCTTTTGGTCATAAACAAGCTTCTGTCCAAGTTTCAAAAAATTCCATGAAGGTTTGATAATGTTATTAATGACTGAAAAACTTTAACCTCAGACTAAATCTGAATATAAAAAAGAAGATGTGGTATGATTGCCAATGAGACAACTCTCCACAAGAGACCAAATGACACAGAAATTAACAAATATAGGTCACCGTACGGCCTTCAACAATGAGCAAAGCCCATACCGCACAGTCAGCTATAAAAGGCCCCGAAATGACAATGTAAAACAATTCAAACGAGAAAACTAACGGCCTACTATGAATTCATTATTATTCGTTGGATACCAATTTTTGTGGGTTTCTTGGTTACAAGTTAACCACGAATTCAAATGTCCAACGAATTACAAATTTTCATTAGGCTTTATATGCAGAAATTGACAAAACCACGAAATCAAATATCCACGATAATCCAAATTTTTCTCAATCCACGAAAATTGATACCCACGAAAATAAATGAATCCACAGTAATTTAAGTACAAAAAATGAACGAAAAACAAATATGTAACACATAAACAAACGACAACCACTGAATTACAGGCTCCTGACTTGGGACAGGCACATACATACAGAATGTGGCGGAGTTAAACATGTTAGCGGGATCCCAACCCTTCCCCTAACCTGGGACAGTGGTGTAACAGTACAACATAAGAACGAACTATAAAATTCAGTTGAAAGAGGCTTAACTCATCAGATGGGCGAAAATACAAATACTACAAATACAAGTGGACGTGGCCGGGTACTTGTACATCCAAACAACAAAAAAACACCAAGTACTGAATGTTTACTGTAAGTCCATTTATTAGTAAAAAACGGAACGATGAAAATAAATATTTTAAAAAATTTTGCTCTGGATACTGTATTTTGGTCATAAAGAAGCTGGACCTAAATTTTGACGCCGCCACCGACGGAATCGAGGAACGCTATCGACAAAAAATTGATGGTTAAAACATGGATTTATACTGATGTACATATGATGCCTTTTCTCGCCATAAACCCCATTTTATACTAAAACTGGAACACTTATACACATCCTAATCACCAACACAAGAAATGGATAGTCATTGAACCATAAAAATAAACCAACAGCAACTTCAAGCATTATATATTCTTTGTTCATGCAAGCCTATAAGTCTATTTTTTTTAAATTTTGCTGTTGATTTCTCACTTTCAGAGAATGAATGCTTAAATATTGTCAGCAGCTAATCATTACAAGCAGGGCATTGTCGATTTATAAAGATAGTGATAAAGTAGAAAATAAACCTATAGTAGCTGTAACGACATAAACCCCTGATTCGTGCCATGGACCCATCATTTTTACACAATTAGACGGTGCGAAGCTATAGATGGAACGGCGGACCAGTTTAAGGACGACTCGAGTGTACACATCGAGTGATCATGCCCAGTCACCTGATGCACTGGTACCCGGATGTGAACTTTGGCACTTTTCGTTTCTACTTGTACGAAGTAACTGCGGGACATGTCAAAATTATTTGTTGACACAGAAATTGGAATTTTAAAAGAACTTTTATCGGACCGAAAACATTGAAATTGTTAACCGGTCAAAGAGTCAGACATGATAGCTATGTCACTCGGATTGCGTCTTTTTTTGTCGACGACGAGGGGGGTTTATAACGATCTTGACTAACCATGAGGGTCTCGCACGGTCGGCCCTGGCTTGCGCCTTTTTGGGCATTTAAGAGGCCCCTCATTGGGGTGTCCAAGTAATCACATAATCACAAATTGTTGGCCAATATAATCACATATTCATTAATTATTTTTTTAAACAACATAATCAAATAATCAAAAATACAGTCCTAGATTATCAAATAATCAAATAATCAAGAAATATTTGGTCTGGTAATCAAATAATCACTATAAAAACGGCTAAGTAATCACATTATCAAAAAACCCATGAGGAGGCTCATTTAAATAATTTATTTTTACCTTATGGTAATCAGAGACATATATACATGTATATATATGTCTCTGTGGTAATTGATGTAATTTTTAGTGACAAAAAGAAGAAACATAACATGAATAAAAAGTAAAATAAGCTATAATTTGATAGATAAAACAAGGATTTGTATCCTTGGATAAAATAAATAAATAAATAATTTGGTGAATAAAAATAAAAGATAAAAATAAATAGAACTGTAATTAATTAAATAAAAATTAAAATGAGAATGCAAATTTTAATAAGTAACAAAAAAAAAATAGAAGCCACCAAAAGCCGGAACAGGAGAAAGGCTAGGTCAAGCAAACAACAGTGAGCGACAGCAACGTTGCCATGGTACACTAGCAGCCAAGTAAAGAGCGGAGAAATTTGTTATGCCAAATTGTGTATGTGAATTTATTTGCCAAATATTTTGTTTAAACCGAAATAGGCCTAAAAATGTGTATTTGAATTTAGGAAAAATAATTAGTACAAGGTTTTATATGTACATAAAAAAAAGAATAAGTAAATAAAATAAATGAAAACCAAAGGGTACATGTACAATTTTGACTGCTTTGTGCTAGCCTACTGTTATTGCAGGACTTTATTGATTGATTGATTGATTGATTGGTTGGTGTTTAACGCCACTTTCAAAACTATTGTGCTATTTCGTGGCGGTCAGTTTTTATTGGTGGAGGAAGCCGGAGTACCCGGAGAGAACCACCGACCTTCGGTAGGAAAACTGACAATCCTAGTCAATTAAGATTGGAGTCGAGTGCTCCTGCCCTTTGCGGGATTCGAACTCACTACCTCAGTGTTGTTGCAGGACTTTAAAGTGCTAGTACACCGGAACGCTGTCCGCAGGAAGACAAACGCCTCACGCTAATTAAAACTGGGTTAGCGCAAACCAGATCTTGCGATGTACTATTTTTTGAGTCTTTGATTTGACTTGAGGCTTAATGATTAAAAATTAAAAATAAATAACAGAAGTCCGAAATGGTAGTCACAAAAATAATTTTGGTGCCGCGAATTTGGAAAAAAACCAAAAAGATTAGCGCGAGTAACTGTTTAGTTAGCATAATTTCAATAGTTTTATTGTTTTAACATTACACATTTTTTTGACTGATCAATAAATTCTAATTTATTTTTATTCTTATTTATATATTGTTTGCTCTTTTTCTTCTTTTTTTCTCTTTACTTCCTTTATATTTATATATTACTGCCGGTCACGGCCTGACTCCATTTCTGAGTCACTGACCGGTAACTCTTGCAAAATGGTTTGGTTGTCTTGATGAGCTGGTCTGTAGTACTGCCGGTCACGGCCTGACTCCATTTCTGAGTCACTGACCGGTAACTCTTGCAAAATGGTTTGGTTGTCTTGATGAGCTGGTTTGTAGTACTGCCGGTCACGGCCTGACTCCATTTCTGAGTCACTGACCGGTAACTCTTGCAAAATGGTTTGGTTGTCTTGATGAGCTGGTCTGTAGTACTGCCGGTCACGGCCTGACTCCATTTCTGAGTCACTGACCGGTAACTCTTGCAAAATGGTTTGGTTGTCTTGATGAGCTAGTCTGTAGTACTGCCGGTCACGGCCTGACTCCAATTCTGAGTCACTGACCGGTAACTCTTGCAAAACAGTTTGGGTGTCTTGATGAGCTGGTCTGTAGTACTGCCGGTCACGGCCTGACTCCATTTCTGAGTCACTGACCGGTAACTCTTGCAAAATGGTTTGGTTGTCTTGATGAGCTGGTCTGTAGTACTGCCGGTCACGGCCTGACTCCATTTCTGAGTCACTGACCGGTAACTCTTGCAAAATGGTTTGGTTGTCTTGATGAGCTGGTCTGTAGTACTGCCGGTCACGGCCTGACTCCATTTCTGAGTCACTGACCGGTAACTCTTGCAAAATGGTTTGGTTGTCTTGATGAGCTGGTCTGTAGTACTGCCGGTCACGGCCTGACTCCAATTCTGAGTCACTGACCGGTAACTCTTGCAAAATGGTTTGGTTGTCTTGATGAGCTAGTCTGTAGTACTGCCGGTTACGGCCTGACTCCAATTCTGAGTCACTGACCGGTAACTCTTGCAAAACAGTTTGGTTGTCTTGATGAGCTGGTCTGTAGTACTGCCGGTCACGGCCTGACTCCAATTCTGAGTCACTGACCGGTAACTCTTGCAAAATGGTTTGGTTGTCTTGTTGAGCTGGTCTGTAGTACTGCCGCTTACGGCCTGACTCCAATTCTTTTTTTGTCAATCGGGTCCGACGATTTTCAACAACTCTGCTTTCGTCACGTGACCAATGTCTTGACCTTAAAATTTCCCTGTCTAACTGTATTAGATTTGACAGTTATGTATACGAAAACAGAATAATGTAATCCTGGATTCCATGTAGGAAGGAAAGAAAATTGAAGTGCTCGCGTTAATCGATCAATGTATGGGTACCACATACTACAAGGTTTCCATTGAGCACTATTTCCCATGTGTAACGTCATTTATTTTGGGTTGTTTGACGATCATTTAAGGTAATTCTCGACATATATATTGTTTTCTAGAATTAAAAGCACGAAAAAAAATGTCCAATTAGTTATAAATAACCTACTAGCACTCTAGATAAAGGCAATGACACCTATTTCAGTATTCCCGAGGAAAAGCGAATCTGGTGTGCTAGCATAGCCGGGCAGATTAACCGCCCAAAAATACTGCTATCAGTGTTTAACAACAGACGACTTTTGAATACTTATCTCGAATCTACTTTTGATTACTAACCCCAATATAATGTAATGTTATTTTAAAGCACTGCGCTCTCTAATGAAATGTTGCAAAACGGCTACAGATTTATTTTCGAATTTGTGTACTTTCAAAGAGGAATTCAGCAGAGACTTTTTTCACACAGTTTGCTTGTACAATATAACAGTGCCTTTAATCGTTATATTGTACAAGCAAACTTTGTGAACAAAATTCTACAAAATAACACTCTTGAAAGTCAATACTGCGTATTGAAATACGATTCCCATATACATTTAAGGTCAATTCCCGTTACACAAAATCAGTTTATAAATACTGGTATACATAGGAACAATTTATACATTAGTCCCAGGTTATTCTTAAATCAGTTTTTGAAGTTCATTAATAATATCTTACCGAAAAAACTTCCAAATTTGTACACGTGATTTGGTTCACTCAATACAGAATATCCGAAGTATGGTGCCATGTGGTAGGCATTCCCAATTCCGCCAGGTTTTCCGTGTCCAATAAAGCTGTCATCATAGTTCGACAAAGGTAGATTTGTGTAATGCACTATGTTCAACCCAATCGGATGACCACAAGCAGTCGACAAGAGAATAGCAAATATTAGTAGTTGGTGCATCTTGTTCAAAGCGGTTTATGAGTTGTGAAGAACATTACTAATGATTATATTATTTTTTGCATATATTTCGTTCCTATATGTCACTTCAGTTCACTACATCAAAAATGTAATCTGTCAAAATATACAAAAAAGGTAATATGAAATACACGTGGATAGATAATTACATTCTTCTATACAGATCTTAAAGTTAAAAAAAAATCCAAATTTCATGATCTTTTGGTTTTTTTACGATTTTTTTGTTTGTAAGTAAAGAAGTAAAAAAAAAATGTTGTTACGATCATACCATATATCATATCTTTTTAATGTATGATCTTTAATATTCCTAATACACTGATTAAAAAAAAAGAGGTTAAAATATAATTTAAAAAAAAAACAAGTTTTAGATAATTTAATTTTGAAAAATTTGGACAATTCTCATCTTAATTTTAATATCAGAAAATTGTGTATGAATGAGATTGTCATAGTCTTTGGGTCATTAAATAAAGCAGTTGTGGCATTTAAACTGCTGTGCAGTCATATTAAAAGTTCATATAGCTTAATATCAGTACAGAGAGAGGACACACGACACTCATTTGTTGAATGATATGTTTTCATTAAAATAAAAATAAAACAGGACTACAATTAGACTAAAGAATAACGTTTTTTGTTTTAAAACATAATTACATGATTTATCTTCATTTATAAACCTTAATTATTTCACCGTCTCTGACAATAGAAACCACACATACCTTATATAGTTATACAAATCCTTGCCTTATGTAAACAGGGGCGGACATAGGTCTTGAGCACATGAGGCCCGCGCTCCCAAAAAATAGAAAAAAACATCATTTTTTTTTCAATAGTGATCAATCAATAGAAAAATCAATGTTTCAAATTACTACTAGAGAAATCGAGGACAGACCATATGGCGTGAGAGCATAACAACAACAACCAGTCATCAGTATTTCAGTGGGTTTTGTGTGGATGTGTGCAAGAACAGTTATTGAATAACAATCAGGTCCTTTATATTTTAGTATCACAGAGGCGATGAAATATTGCGTGTATTAGAAATTAAGGAACAAGAATGTTTTTACGTTTGTCTTAAATTTCGAATAGAAGGAACCATTTGAAGTAGATTAACCGTATACCGCCATCTTGGATTGTAAAATAGCAGTACACAATCGGTCTAGTTCTTTGCTTAAATCTGCAAGTTTTGAGTCAGATTGAAGTGTTAGTGATTTATTGCAATATTTCGACTGTTTTAACAAATAGCAAATATTTGTTTTTGTTCGATTCAATTTTTCAACTTAGCCGTATAAGGAGAGATTACTCTTTTAGTAAACATTTTATAAAGGAATGTAAATACATGCAGGAACATATATATTGATATGATATACTGTTCCCAGATACATGTCAGCACATATGAGCTATGTCCTTGTCAGTTAATTCATACATATTAAGATGTATCCGAGATCCATTACCAGGGTATTTTAACTTTTCTATATAAATAAAATAGCTTAAAAGCAGCCATTTGGATTAAGTTACACCAGTATTATATGTCAATAAAAAGATTTGTTTTGTTTTGATTAGACATGTAACAAAGGGACGAAAGATACCAGAGGGACAGTCAAACTCACAGATAAAAAAAACTGACAACGCCATGGCCAAAAACAAAAAGACAAACAGACAAATAATAGTACAGATGACACAACATAGAAAACTAAAGACTAAGCAACACGAACCCCACCAAAAACTGGGGGTAAAATTCCAGCCCATCAAATATATGGAGTATTGGAAATTGTGGTAAAACTAAACTTGTAATGGTTAATTAGTTTAGTTAGTCAAGAAGTAGCATTGGGAGCCCTGTTTTGTGACATATGGCTCTTTATCCTTAAAAAAACAAAGGCTATAAATACTCAACTTTACAAAACACTTCTTCATTGAAGTTTTACACTAACTTTGATCTTTTGTGGCTGTGGTTTCTCATAGCACACCCCTAATGTTCATATCTATAACTTCAGTGGTCTCACATAGCACACCCCCTAATGTTCATATCTGTTACTTCAGTGGTCTCTCATAGCACATTCCCTAATGTTCATATCTATAACTTCAGTGACAAGTGCATAATCATTGATATCTTTCAATACATAATAGATCATTCAATTCTCATAAAATATTCATGACTTAGATGTCCCAGGATTATCAAGAAAAATCCAATTAAATCATGGAAGTGCTTGAAAGGCAGTCTCTTAAGTTCACACAATTTACTGTATTATTCAACGACTTTTAAGTATAAACTTTCATGTAAATTTCATTGGGTAAATGGGCTTAATAGGGCCATTGGGATTTTTGTGCATGACAACACTTTTAAGGGTTAAAATTTTTTCAGCATTATTTTGTTCCCTACAAAATGTCATATATCCTTTTTTTGAGTGTGTTGTACAAACATAAGCTTTATAATTTATGCACTTTTTTTTTAACTGCATATGATTGTTGTACCATTTTCATTGAGCAGAATAATAAAATCTTTTCTTGTTCAAGAATAACCGACTATTCGACCTTTTCCATAGGTAAATGTTGACCTATACATTACTTTTACAAATTGTGACTTGGAAGGAGAGTTGTCTCATTGGCACTTATACCACATCTTCTTATATCTATACATACATTGACGTGATACACTGTAAAGAAGACATTTTAGGAAAATGATTTTAGTTACTGAATCATTTTAATATAACAGTGTGACTTAGATATAAGCATCATTACTAAAAGGGTGTTTATCGACCGTCTACTCATGAGGGTATCGCATGGTCGGGAGTAAGGATCATTACTAAAAGTGTGTTTATCGACCTTGTCTACCCATGAGGGCCATCCATGGTCGATAACAAGGATCATTACTAAAGGGGTGTGTATCGAACCTTTTCTACCCATGAGGGCATCCATGGTCGGGAATAAACACCATTACTATAGGGGTATTATCGACCTTGTCTACCCACGAGGGTCTCACATAGTCGGGAATAAGGATCATTACAAAAGGGGTCACAGTATCTATCGACTTTGTCTACCCATGAGGGTCTAGCATGGTCGGGAATAAGGATCACTACTAAAGGAGTGTTTATAGACCCTGTCTACCCATGAGGATCTCGTTACCCTGCGATTTCTTATGATCAGTCCATTTTGCAACTATAACGAGCTTGTTTGGTTGTCTTGAGTTGTTCCTTTGTGGGATGGAATAACATTGGTGGTGTTATAGATTTTCATTGTAAGGAGAGAGCATAAAGTTAAATTGTCTGAGGAAGACCGTATGTCTTTCTGTATCTTCTTTACAGTTGTTTACATTATTGATCAGTAGAGGACTACCAGAACTTGAAGTCTTCTGAGCCTGTAACGAGTTCTGATAAAGAACAGTACTGCTTAGAAATGTCATTCAGGCCATTGCTGAAGTCGCTGTTGCAGAATTTGCAGAAGGCATGCCATATCCCCATTAGCTATTTTGTCAACATTGTTCTCCCATGTTTTTTGGTACCATCATGAATCAACACACTTTTACTTCTTTTCTAATTGTGGATTAAGGAAAACTATTTTGCAACTGATAAAAATCATCCACACTGAACACAAGTTTTATTATTCCAATACACAAGCAAAAGAAGATAAATGAAAACTCCAAACACATTCAAATCTTGTTAACAATGTCGTCATAAATCAGGATATATAAGCATGATCACATGAAAATTTTTTTTCCCGATCACAACCATGCATTCCATACAAATGGTTGAAATAGAGCAAGTAGGCAGGTATTTCAGGTATGAAATTTCATGTAGACTCGACCCTTAAAAGCACAATTATGTATCACTACACACCAAAACAAATACAATACTTTGGTAACTTTTATTTCTCCTTTAATCATTTTTAAAAATGTTTTTCTGTCTATTTAAATACTGTGATAATGGATTTTGTTCAATCAAGTTGAATTATTTTCAATTTCAATTTCTAATACAGAAAAAAGACATACCTATTTATCTTGAAACAACCAAATATTGTATTAGTAATGAAACAACCAAAGGTTGTAATAGTAATGAAACAACCAAAGATTGTAATAGAAATAAAACAACCAAAGATTGTAATAGTAATGAAACAACCAAAGATTGTAATTGTAATGAAACAACCAAAGATTGTAATAGTAATGAAACAACCAAAGATTGTAATAGTAATGAAACAACCAAAGGTTGTAATAGTAATGAAACAACCAAAGATTGTAATAGTAATGAAACAACCAAAGATTGTAATAGTAATGAAACAACCAAAGATTGTAATTGTAATGAAACAATTGAACTTGTTCACTCAGATTTACTTTAACAGGTATTCAATTGGCTGGAAGAAATAATAACGAGTCAGCAATAAAATACTGTGGCAAAATATTTGTTTTCATTCAACAATTTGAAAAATTCAAGGTATCAGCAAACAGGAAATAGATGTCAATCACATCCAGAAAGTGCTCACAAGTTTAAGCTTTTAAGGTAGTTTTTGAGAAAGTTTGACAAAAATATTTGTTTCATTTAACAAGTTGAAAAATACAATTGAAGGCCTTACAGTTGCCTATAATTGCTTACATCCACTTCATTTGAACTTTGGTGGATAGTTGTCTCATTGGCAATCATACCACATCTTCTTATTTTTATACAGTATTGGTAAACAGGAAGTAGGTGTCCCACAGATCCAATAAACTGCTTCGCTGAGCACAGCTTGATACAACCGCAGAGGTCCAACCCTGAACAGCTGGGGCAAAAATGGACACAATATTCAAGCTTGATACAGGTCTGAATTTGGATTGTATTAAATATTTGACATATTATAGGTTTCTGAATAAATGTAGTCAAAGAACTTGAAATTGGTTATGAATTGAATTTATATTCAATTAAAGATTTCTTGCTGTTGTGCAATACACTGTGCTGTTGCGCAATACTTAGTAAATCTGTTGTCAGACTATAAACAAATAAAGTTCAATGAATCTCAATGTCATATTAGAAATTTATGAAAATGTAAAGGGAGCTTACATCAATAGATATAAACAATTCACCAAAGTTTCATGAGAATTACTGACATCATTTTTGAGTTATTGTCCAAAAACTGGAAAATCCCCCCTTTTTTAATGAATAAAACCCCATAACTCAGAAATGTAAAATGTAAAATTTATAAAATTCTAAACGGAGCTTACATCAATAGATATAAAAAATTCACCAAAGTTTCATACAAACTGCTGAAAGCATTTTTGATTTTTTATTCGAAAACTGGAAAATCCCAATTTTTTTCTGAATAAAACCCTGTAACTCGGAAACGTAAAATCTAAAATTTATAAAAAACGAAAGGGAGCTCACGTCAATAGATATAAACAATTCACCAAAGTATTATGCAAATTGGTTAAAGCGTTTATGAGTTAATGTCCAACATGTTGACGACAAACAGACAGACGGACAGAGGTATATCATAATACGTCTCGTAAACGGGCGTATAAAAAGTGTCACATGTTACAACTCATCGTTGTCAAGCTGATGACTATATATGAAGTAATTCTGTTTAGTACTGGAGAAATATGTGACAACAAATTTAAAGTTCATTCAACATATTGAAAGATTTATAGTATCAGCTATTAAAGTAGGTGTCCAATAGATCTGAAAAGTGCCCATTCTCTACAAATCATCTCTGTCAAGCTGCTGACCAAATATGAAGTTGTTCAGTTCAAATATTTCTGAGAAAAGTGTGACAGAAACTTTTGTTGGACAAACTGATGGACTGACAAACTGATAGAATGACAAGGTGAATGCAGAATTGCCCCCTATTCGAAAGTGTGGGTATAATATTGAATACTACACTTAACAGTTTATTTTACATCTCTGATAAAACCACGTTTTAATTAATTTTTTTTTCGAAATTTATTAAACTAGAAAATAGCATATTTAACATAACAACAGTATAATCTAGTTCAACAAGTTTGGTATTATTACCTTTATACCCCAATCAGTCATAGTTATCTTACTTGTTCTTGCTGAAGAAAAGTTCTAGTGAAAGTGTAGTGATAAAAATTATCTTTGAAATAAAAGAGAGGCAAAGGATACCAAAGGGACATTCAAATTCATAAGTCGAAAACAAACTGACAATGCCATGGCTAAAAAAGAAAAAGACAAACAACAGTACACAAAACACAGCATAGAAAACTAGACTGAGTAACTAGGACCCCACCAAAAACTGGGGGTGCTCCAGAAAGGTAAGCAGATCCTGCTCCACATGTGGCACCCTTCGTGTTGCTCATGTTAGTACAAACCCGGTGATAAGTCTAATTCAGTAGATAGCATTCATGGAAAAGGGATTGTAGTTAGGACAATTGGAACATATCTGTTGTCATCTGTGAAATGGGTATTTCCATAATGGTCAACCAACTTGTGATGGAGTCCGTAAGATTTACGAAGAGATGATTTAAATTTCACCACTTAGAACTCTTGGTTTAATAGCTTCCTTGTGAGCAGCAACCCTCTATCAAGGAAATCATGATAAGAAATACAAGCCCTGGAGTATCGTATCAACTGGGAGATATATATACCCCATCTGCGGGTGCTGCTGGAATGTTGCTACATAGAAATGGAAAATTCACAATAGGGAAGGTGAAATCATCTCTTTTGTCGAAATAAAGAATTAAATAGTGGAGCCACCAGTAAAACTCAACATTATAAAGTTCCTAACTAAATATCAAATCATTTCTTAGATTTTGAGTAATGCATCACAAGTTACTGCTAGATGAGCAACAAAAAGAATAACAGACAAGGTCGTTGCAGTATACCACACACCTAACGGATATAAGATGGGGTAAAACTTTGTATTACTGGCAATGCAAAAACCCAGTCAGCAGAGTTTTCAATATTTCCTATATATTGTAAGGACAAAAAAACAAATATCTACCTCTCTAAAATAAATTCTATACAAGAATCAATGCAATATTCAATATGACTTGTTTTAATCATCAAATCCAGTTGATTCTTAAAAAACAAACGAAATTTAAGAAATATTATAAAGTTAATAACACATAACACATTGACAAATCTCATGTAAAATATTACATTTAAAACTAGTGTCGGTCTTTATTCATCTCTAATACTGATTTACAGTGTAGTTAAAATGTCCTCAATCATAACATGTAGGAATAATAAAATGATCAGCATAATCTTGTAATGTTCATTTAAAACTTTATGGATTCATATGTCTTATTTTTCAAAGAAATGGAAGAATATAAATATAGCACTGGCCCAGTGGCGGATCCAGAACTCTTCAAAAGGGGGGGGGGGGGGGGGGGGGGGGGCCCGCTCCAGTCATGCTTCAGTGATTCCCTATATAATCAACCAAATTTTTTCCACGAAAGGGGGAGGCCCCCCAGGCCCCCCCCCCTGGATCCGCCTATGACTGCTACAGAAATCTATTAACAATGGTTAGTTTAATAAATGATCACACAAAGACTTTATCAATTCAAGTAACAAGAATCAAATATTACTTCTATAGGTCATGAACTAGAAAGCTCTATGATTCGTACATATCGCTTGTTCGCTAGCTATGATATTATAACTAAAAATGCTATAACAAAACAAAGTCATCAAATAGTTAATCTCAATATTTCCACATCCGTAACAGAACTTCCTCTTCTTAATGTGTGCATTGAAAAAAAGTTAAGATTGAGGATATTGGCTACTGTCTCTGGGTGCATCACAAAAAAAAAAACCCAACTAAAAACAGCTAAGCATCACACAGCATCTTCAGACTCTGTTTTATCATGCTTCCTCTTGGGTCTGTATCTGAAACATTAAATCATTGGGAAAATGAATAAGAACCATTGTATAATTCTACTGGTCGTCCTCTCCATCTCCTCATCAGGGAATAATTCTCACAAACCATCTATCATAACAGGTTTGAATATAAACTAGAGGCTCTAAAGAGCCTGTGTTGTTCACCTGGATCTATGTGCATCTTCAATGGCCGCTCTCCAACAGACTAGAATATAACTCGTGACTAAATCTCTTTTTTGTTGATCATGTCTGGCTTATCATTTTTACTGTTAACAAATCTTTATTTTCTATAATTTATGCCCCCCCCCAAAAAAAAAAAAATTCATCATTTCAGGACAATAACTCCTATAAGAAATCAACTAACAATTTTGGCTATGTTGATGTAATTGTAGATCTTCTCTTGCTGATCATTTTAGCTGTTTAGAGTATAGAGTATTTCTTTATCTACCAAAAATGCAAAAATCAACATTAAAGGGCAACAACTATAAAGAGTTGACAGAAAATTTCAACCATGCAGACATATTTGTAGATACGTTAATAAAGCACAATTGAGTTAAAATAGTTCTTTCCACGTTATTTCATCATGAAACTACTTGAAACAATCGGAAGATAAAGGTATCAATGATATTTTTAGCATTTTTGAAGAATTCGGATGCATAATTAAATCTCAAACCCGCGCACACATGAACTAGTTCAAACAACATGGTTCTGTCGAATTTTCACTTAAAACCTTTTTTACTACCTTTTTCAAATTTATCATAAAATCACATTTTAATACATATTTCGGAAAGGCTAAATCATATACTTAACCTTTTTCTGAATTATCTCTTGTGGAGAGTTGTCTCATTGGCAATCATATCACATCTTCTTATTTTTGTATATGAATATAATTAATCAGACTTGTCTGGACAATACAACAGTTTTGAAAGCCATGATCTAATATAGTTTTCAAGATACATGTAATGGGCAAAAACACAAAAAATCATTAAAAGAAAATGTTCATTTAAGGGTAATAACACCTATTAGGAGTCAACAGATGATTTGGGCTATGTTGACTTATCTCTTACCTTTCCCAATTTCTGTGATTTAATTCTGTAAAATCTTCTACATTTGATATATCTTTAAGATATTTTGATAATTTTAAAAGCTCCGTGTCTTTGTGTCGATTCAAATGTGCTTCTCTAAAAGCTCGGATCTGAAAATGAAAATGATTGAAATCAGTAATAATGATTAAAAATTGAAATATTTGAAAAATAACCTAAACTTTGTATGTAACACCATTATATAAAGGGCATCCAATAATTTCATCATTCTTTTTATGGTTACAGTTTCCTCCAAGTTTGGATGAATTTGAAATGTTGAAATTAGAACAACATCATACAAAACAGTTTAAACTTGCCATCGCCTGCTCTGTTCAGACAAGTTTTATCTCTCACTGTGTTATGTGTATCTTTAAGGCTCAAGCTTAACAGAAGTTCATTCAATAATGAACTGTGCATACTAAACCAAATATCTCCTACATTAGGTATATTCCCTTTAAATGGATGTGGGATAGAGTGAATGGACTTCCAAAATCCTTTTACAAAGAACATACTTTCTTTTGAGTAATTTTGCATACATCAAATGTACATACAACCATAAACATGATAAATGACCCATAACACATGTCCATAAATTAAACTTCACACATTCATTTTAATGGAACAGCACTCACTGAATGAACTGTTTTTTCTAGATCAATTTTTGTTTTGCATTTTTTCAGTTATTGCAGGAATCTCATTCATATGTGAAACATAGCCAAGGTTGTATCTCAAATTTAATTTTTAAACATATGAATCTTAATTTGGGAAGTGCTTTGCAAATAAAACAAGAATAAAATGAAAATGATCCTTACATGATCTATCAATGACAATTAAATATACAATTCTGCATAAATTATTATTCTGAACATGATTTGCATGATAAACACTTTGGTCTATCAGTTAAAAATTTGAAGGATGCTGAACATTTGCATTTTGAGTAACTGATGGTGAAATAAATAAAAAAAATGCTTCGCCGAGCGCATCCTGAAACGACTGCAGAGGTCAAACCCTGAACAGTTGGAGCAAGTTTGGACACAATATTCAAGCTTGATACCGTCTGAATTTTGATTGTGTTCAAATTTTTGACATAATATAGGTTTCTGACACAAAATAAATGTGGTCAAAGATCTTAATAAACAGCTGTGCCATGAATGCATGATACGCCCGTCGTCTTGTGTGTGAATTTTTATGCAATAATCATAAACAGTTTCTGACATACGGCACGACATGCGAAAACCCCCTTTTTTTTTTACAAAAAACTCAATATCTCTTAAAATAAAATTTTGAATCAAAACCAAAAAGTATACAGATCTTTAGATTAATATAACTAAGAAGTGCGTAAAATTTTAAGCAATAATCATAAATCATTTTTGAGATACGGCGCGACATGTGAAAACCCCCCTTTTTTTTTACAAAAAACTCAGTATCTCTAAAATAAAATTTTGAATCAAAACCAGAAAGTATACAGATCTTTAGATTAATATAATTAAGAAGTGTGTAAAATTTTAAGCAATAATCATAAATCGTTTTTTAGATACGGCGCAACATGTGAAAAAAAACACACACCTGTTTTAGTTACTAAGTCCTGTAACTCAAAAAGTTTTAATCTTATTTTCACCAAAAAGTATACAGATCGTTTGACCATCATAAGAAACAACTATATTAAGTTTCATGAAATTTGGATAAGTCGTTCTCAAGTTACGGTGCAACATGTTTACGCCGGACAGAAAGACGACATTTGTATACCATAATACGTCCCGTCAAAATTTTGACAGGCGTATAAAAATTTGAAATTGGACATTTAATTTACCTAGTATGGTCCGATATTCAAAATCAACATAAACAACATGGTTAGATTCAGCATATAAAAAAACACCAAAAATTTTAGTTGCAATCAAACAAAGTTTAATTTTGGACCCTTCAAATTTTGATATGGACTAATTTGAAAACAAGGCCCAAAATAAAAAATCTAAATGTGAAATAAGATTTAGCATATTATAGAGCCACAATAATTCATTTTTTGATGAAATCAATCAAAGTTTCATATTGGACCCTTTGGACCTAAATGTAGACCAATTCAAAAATGGGGCCCAATATCCAAAAAAGTAATACAAGGTAAGAACCTCCAAAAAATTAAAGACTTAATTTAATCCCATTGAAATTGGTTAAAAAATTTGTATTTATTTCCAACTGAAGATTTCTTGCTATTGCTCAATACTGTGCTGTTGCACAATACTTAGTTAATCTGTTATATATAATAATTTCTCTAATTCTTCGTCAATTAGCCTCGCATTTTAAATTTGAAAATTTAACTGTCTCGGGTGGATAAATATCGTATCACACTCAATGCAGTGGTAGAATCTATATTTACACACCCTATTTGGTGTGTATCTCCTGCCATATCAGTATTTGTTGCTTTTATATATAAATCAGAAATAATCAATGGAAAAATGGAAAATTTTTGGGAAAAAAACCCCCAAAAATTATGAAAAAAAATCCCCCCTCCCCAAAAAATGTTCAAAAATTTTGAAAAAAAAATGAACCCCCCAAAAAAAATCTGAAAAAATAGTCCCCCCCCAAATTTTTTGGAAATTTAGAAGATTATTTTCTTTTCAGGAAAAATGTACAATTTCAGTGAGTTCCACACACTTAAACACAAGTTATTGTCTGGAAACTAGAAAAATGCTTGTTTTTGGCCCCTTTTTTTACCCATAATTCCTGAATGTTTGGGGCAATTAACCCAAATTCAATCCCAGCCTTCCCTTGGTCATATGGAACCTTGTGGTACAATTTCAGAAAGATCCATACACTTACACACAAGTTATTTTCTGGAAACTACAAAAATGCTTGTTTTTGGACCCTTTTTGGCCCCTTATTCCTATACTGTTGGTATAGTTGCTCAGTACTCGCTCGGAAAATCATCTTCAAAATGAAAACACGAAATTATACCAATTTAACGTTGTCTTATGGATGTAAAACCCTCAACATTATTACCTAGGTTAAGATAATAGTCCCAGGGGTTTTATACCATAATTAATATCTCATTTACTACATGTACTAATTATGCAAACTGGCAATAATCTAATCAATTAATTAATAAACATCTATAGAAAATGACTACTCAAACAACAGTATTTGGGAATCGTAAAGAAACATATTTAATGATCAACAAAGGGGTGATAATTAGAACTTAATGATGCCTTTCACCATTCTCGGAGGGTTGACATAGGGTGCAACGAATTTGTTCTTATTTAGAAATATTATCTTTTCAATATTTTCTGGGACTTTTCGACTTTGTTCAGTCTAACAGTTCTGCTGATTAAAATGTTTGCTCTGACGACACAGCGGTGGTGGAATGTATAAGACACGATTAGCTAAAAGTGTAAGCCTTGAAAAGGTGCTCTTGTACATAACTTACATCTGTTTGAGGGAATTTTAAATGACAATTAAACACAAACATTTGAAACGTATTTTAATATTGATTAATATTCAATTTCCCGTAAGGCGATCTTAATAAAAACATTTTTTTCTTTAAGAAGACAACAACATTCTAACAGGAAAACGATTAGTCAAGTATAATTTTGGTATTCGATACTCGGTACTACTGAGCGATACTCCAGTACTCGAGTACTCGCTGACATCCCTAACTATTATATTCAAGATAATAACCGAAAACTGCAAAATTTCCTTAAAATTACCAATTTAGTGGCAGCAACCCAACAATGGGTTGTTAGATTCATCTGAAAATTTCAGGGCTGTAAGAACTTGATCTATTGAACATTTTTACCCCAGTCAGATTTGCTCTAAATGCTTTAGTTTTTGAGATATAAGCCAAAAACTGCATTTTACCCATAGCCATGGTGGCCATGTTTTTTGACGAAACAGAAAACAAGTAAAACTGTGAGCTACTGCTCAATGATGATACCCCCGCCCAAATATTTCGGTAAACAGGAAGTTGTTGAGTGATGAATCTGAAAACGCATCACACAGTATAGCTGACTTATATAAACCCTGAAACCAAATTTCAGAAATCCTTGTCAAGTAGTTCCTGAGAAAAATGTGACGAAAATTTTCAACTTGGCTATCATGTGTAAAATAATACAAGTGTTCGGTAAACAGGAAGTTGTTGAGTGATGAATCTGAAAACGTATCACACGCTGTAACTTACTTATATAAACCCTGAAACCAAATTTCAGAAATTCTTGTCAAGTAGTTCCTGAGAAAAATGCGACGAAAATATTCATGGGACGGACGGACGGACTGACGGATGGATGGACTGATGGAAGGACAGACAAGAGGTAAAACAGTATACCCCCACTTTTTTTAAAGCGGGGGTATAATAAAACACAAACTTTATTCTAGGTACCCTAAGGATCATTCAGCTTAAGTTTGGTTGGAATGAGTTCAGCAGACGATGATGGATGCCAAGTGATGTCAAAAGCTCGCATTTCCTTTGGAAAGGTGAGCTAAAAATGAGGATATATCAAGGCTTCTTCATAACAGTTAGAAATACGTGTGTACTGCATTTCTTGTGTATAGTGGCATCATTATGAGCAAATACTTTCTGAAAAGAGGTGCATTTATGGGTAGGGCTAGTTCACAAGCCATCGTTTTTTCTCAACCCTGTATAAAATAATCTATTTCCACTGACTTACTCTGAGTCCTGTTTTTGGGTTCATTATAAAGTTTCTTCTGATATCATCAAACATTATTGTGTTGGATGCATCCCATTGCTTATATTTGCCCCATATGACACCTAATGGTTTTACCTGGAAAATACACGAGAGACATATGATTCAAAATATATATGTAATTATACCAGGGCTTCCAAAATTATTTTTAGCCAGCCGGACATTTTATATATTATCCCGATTTTAATCCCTTAAGACTAAATAAACAAAAGGCAATTATGGTAATCAGTTGCCTAGTTGGACATTCCAATGATTGATATTTAAAAAAAAACGATATTAAACTTTCTTTGATTCAAATTCGAAGTTCTGACGTAAACTGTTAAATTGGCAGTGCATCATCCGAAGTGTGCAACATCAGCGTACTTATATCTGCCTTAGACTCATTATTTGTGCAAAATAACGTTGTCAAAACCTTTACTTTCGTTTTTAAATCTGAAACCGGATGTTATCTTGACAATGTTAAAACAAGGACCAGAGACGGATACGTAAATTCCGTGTACGTTTGCAAAGCATGAATGAGTGTAAGTAGCTCATTCTACGTTATTTCTGCAAGAAAATATTCGAAATAAACGTGAGATAAAGGTATCAATGACAATTTAAGCATTTTTTAAAAGAAATTAGGATGCATAATTAAATTTCACTCCTGCGCACATGCACATGCGCACACGTGTACTAGTTCAAACAGAGACATGTCTCTGGTTCAAACAACGTGGTTATGACGATTTTTCATTTTCACCTCTTTAATTTTTTCATCAAATCTTATTTGTAAATGTAAATCTTTTTGACTAAATTAATAAGATGCAAACCGGTGAAATGTAAGAAAATAACTTTGAATAGACTGATCAATGTCCGGTTCAAAATAGTTTACCTGTTACCTGAACAGGTAAATTTCAGATGTTCGACAACTAATTAGCCTTGATTAAAATGAGAAGGTATTAAAGTAGGGGTTGTTTTGATAGTACTTAATGATCATGTCACTTTTATGACCGGAAATGTGTGGCTGTTAAAGGCAAAAGGTTGGGTCAAAAAGATCGCGAATTATGTTAAAATGACAGTCTCTTAAGAAAGCCTTGAAAAATAAAAAGTAGATGACCGTTTCGTGCTTTGCCCAGCCGGACGTTTACCTGACATTATACAAATGTCCGGAATATATGACCGTTTTGGAAGCCTTGAATTATACTCTACATTCAGAAATATTATTGAGTGCATTTGTTTTTATAAAAGTGTTTATCAGTTGGCAAACATGTTAAACAAATTTATGTCATTGCCAGAAATACAGCATTCACAAATTGCAACCCAAAAATTAGTTCAGCAGGTCCAGGGACACAGTTATTTTCCTTTGATTTTCGTTGTCTACAAATAGAGTCAATAGTGTGGACAGTGTATAACTTGCAAATTTTGTTCATACACCTTCCAAATTCATATCTTTATATTTTATGCATAAAATAGTAAGTAGGGGGTTGAAATTACATGTTAAAATTTGGGACATGAATTTTTAGGTAAAGTAGTGATTTGGTCCAGTTTGAAAAGGTATTTTGAGTTAGAGCCGACAGACTTTTCTATAATTTTTATATTTGTCCCAAAAGTAGTGCACTACACTGTAAAAATCTTTTGTGGATAGAGCAGGTGCGATTTTTTTAATTTGTGTTTTTGTATAAAAGAAATGCACTACAAAATAACTGTGTTCTCAGGCCAGCATGGGAAACAATAACTATAAAAAACTTACAGAATACAATTTTGTTTACAACAAACCTTAATTGTCAAATACTAACCTCTATGACTCCATATTTTGGTGTGTGTACACTTATCATTGCCAGTGAGTCTAACATAAAACATAGTTTATAATTAGAATTACTAGTAACACCCAGTTCTTTCATTTTCACTTCAATCCATTTCATCGATGTTGCAGCTGAAATACAAATTGAAAACATTCTAAAATTTGTGGAAATGTGCAACATAGTAAATTGTAGTAGTCAAAGTTGATTTTAGTTCTTAACATTTTGCAGTTCTATGATACTCAAATGAACATACTCAATTACTCTAATACTCTATCACTATACCCAATGGACATACTCAATTATTCTAATACTCTATCACTATACTCAAATGGACATACTCAATTACTCTATCACTATACTCAAATGGACATACTCAATTACTCTAATACTCTATCACTATACCCAATGGACATACTCAATTATTCTAATACTCTATCACTATACCCAATGGACATACTCAATTACTCTATCACTATACTCAAATGAACATACTCAATTACTCTAATACTCTATCACTATACTCAAATGAACATACTCAATTACTCTAATACTCTATCACTATACTCAAATGGACATACTCAATTACTCTAATACTCTATCACTATACCCAATGAACATACTCAATTACTCTAATACTCTATCACTATACTCAAATGGACATACTCAATTATTCTAATACTCTATCACTATACCCAATGGACATACTCAATTACTCTAATACTCTATCACTATAACATCAAATACAGTATACGGTTACAAAATTCATTTGCAATTTAATCATTCATTATAACTTTAAATATAAAATAATGGTAATACTAGTTACACTGACTTCATCCTCTTACACAGGTAACACATGCAATACCTGCCTCATATCATCAATTTGATATTCTCTATAGGTAACACAAGCAACACCTGCCTCATATCATCATTTTGATATTCTCTATAGGTAACACAAGCAACACCTGCCTCATATCATCAATTTGATATTCTCTATAGGTAACACAAGCAACACCTGCCTCATATCATCAATTTGATATTCTCTATAGGTAACACAAGCAACACCTGCCTCATATCATCATTATGATATTCTCTATAGGTAACAAGGGTACAAATCGTCTGAACAGTTAGCTTCAAATACACATGATTTATACCAATGTTCAAACCAACTCTTTATGTTCAGTTGTAGTTTATTTTAGATATCATAAGTTTAACACAAGCATAACTTAATTCCACATACTTCTAAATGTTACAAACTTACACCATATTACAATATCATAATGTTCATAGGCAGACTGTAAAAACTCATGTAAAAATGGTCTGATCAACTCATTAAATTGCTCTGCCACTGACCTGTGATCTAAAATTTAAGGATTTTTATTTTAAGTTAACAAAATTTTACAATTCCTTTAAGCAACATTAAAATGCCTAAATGTTACTTGACTGATAAACATAAATGCATTAACAATTATTTTCTATCTACTAGTTTGCTAGAAGTGTATATAATATTAGTATCCCAGTTATGTAAAATTTTGCATTGTTTAGAGAAGAAGCAAGAAATGTATGACTAATTAATACAAAGGACTTATTTGGCCATAGAAATTGAACTTAGTAATATCATTTGCAAAAAACCTATAATTATGATCTTAAATAAGCAAATTTAGATAAAATAGATCCTTTTTCTCTTTGCTGATCATTTGAACCATTTTGATAGCATTCAAAGTAAGATATTTTACACCATTTTAGCCAGACTGCCTGTTATTATGCATTTGTAAGGTATATTTCCTTCTGAAAAAACACAGGTCACACCCTTCGACCAAAATAAATGTTATACAAAGATGTATATAGATTAGATACACATCCTAACAAAAAATCATGGTGGTCCTTGCTTGTGGCCAATGTCTTTTGAAGCAGAACCTATAAAAATCTAGCCCCAAAAAAATTAGTCAAAACTATGATTTTCTAGTCTTAGAGTGCATATTTATGACTTATAATAACTTCTTATTGTGTCAGAACTTGTTCATTTTCTATTTGTCAGATATTTCTGATCATTTTGTCATTAGATGTTGACAATTATTACTGAATTTAAATTTCATGAAATTATAGGGCCAATATTGACCCTTAATGAACACAATCCTTTCAAGCAGAACTACTAATACTGCATATTTACCAAATAATGTGTAATCTATATCTAAAACTAAGAGTTTTTTTCCTGGTCTTGGTTCATTCATAACTTCAATTTTATACTCTTTTACTCTTCTTTCAATCTTTGCTAAATATTCTTCTCTAGAAAAAAAACATCATTGCTATAATAACAAATTGAATAAATTTACAAAGTGGAATCATTAACAGAATTGCAACTTAAAACTTTCAATGAAAAGACATGCATGCTACTAATGTGTGGCCCACAGTCTTTGAAATTTTGTATATTTTAACATTTTTGTTTAATAACAATCAGCATCCAAAATAGTAATTGATGAATCTGAAACAAACCTGTTCTCTATAGCAATTTCTTCTTCTTCTATATCAAAATCATTTATAACTTCTGGTAGATCTGGGGGAGGTTCCTTCACTTTATCCTGTAATAAAAAATAATTGTAGTTTATAATTTTTTCTGTCTCAATGACAATTACCAATGATTCTTTCCCATCATATGTAACATAAATTCCACATTTCCTTATTCATATTTGTTTAAATTAGCTGTAATAAAGCATCATTTCATTCTTATCATTTATTAAACATTAAAATGTTAACTCTTGTTAGAGAGGTATTCAATGTATCTATGGTCACCTAAAAACAAAGTCCAAACTTTTACTGTGCTAATTGAATTTCTTAAAAAAAAAAACATTGGGTATTCCGGTTCGTCACTAAAATGCTTAATGTCAACTGAGACTGATGATACAAGAGATCGGTCCTTGTGATTGAAACGTAAAGAACGAATTAAAATTTGTGAAATAATTTAGATTTCCATGTTTTATAACATATTTGAACATGTACTATCAAAAACAGAAACTATACTACACCACTGCCTTTCAGACCTTGTTGATGTCAATTTTTAACTTTCACTGTTAATAAAATCTTTATTTCCAACCTTTCAAATCATAAAAGGAAAAATTCTAAAAATTTAAAAAGAAGGAATATATCTGTACGTGAAAGATTGGGAAAAAATTTGTCGTATGATATTTCAATAGAAAATATGGCCATTAATTGGAGTTGGCAATCTCTTGTACTATATATCTCTGATTTCACTTTTAATTTAACTGATATTATCACAGTACAGTTTTATAAATGTTTATATATATCTTTACAAGAAACAAAATTTACCACACACAACTCTTTTCATACAAGTTACGTTTCAATAGATACAATTCTAAGTAGAATTTTGGTATCAAGGAAATTTTCAACAACATTGGTGGTAAATCATTTTTTCATACTTGCACCTAATGGTACCTGTCCCAATTAAATGTTTTTTGTTATTTATAGAATTTGATGTTGATGTCAGATATTTGGTGATCTCTGTAAGTCAGACCTTGACTTCTGCTATTTTTTCTATATTTCCCTCCAGATGTCTTTTCTGGTTATTAGACGTTTGGGTTGCTGTCACATTGATATAAGCACCAGATCTTTTAATTCATAAATCGTATCTCTGTAAAATTGAAGCAAGTCAAAACTCATACTACAGTCTGCTTCTAGTTTAAGTAGATTAATTCATTTACTAACTGGAAATAAAGTGATTTTTTTGTCTCAGGTAATTTAATACAGGTCAGCAGACCAACAATGTAGTGAAAAAGGCCATTTGGTATTATTTCAAAGACTAATGGTCAAAGAAGAATGTATACATTTGAAGAGTGGTCATGGTGGTAGGAATCTGATCAGGATGATTGATGCCTCTGTTTTGTAAATGGTCCATTACTTACAAGTTCCTCTTCTCTTGTCCCCATCATCATTAATTTTGTGTTTGGTTTCAATTTCATATCTGTCAGTAAAACAGTATCTTCAGGTGGCTTTCCTAAAATAGAAAATGAGTATATACTGAATATCATAAAAAATTTAAGAAAAATAACCTTTAAGGTAGTATGGGTGTCTTTCGCCATCTTGGATTGTAAATAACAAAGAACCTAAGGTACAGATTTTCAATCAAATTAGCAAAATTTGATGAGGAATGCAGATAATGTGAATTTTCATTTAAAAGAATAAATTTACAAGATTTAACTTATAAATATGAATTATTTTTACAAATGTAGATTATTTTGGCTAGATTTTTAATGTTTTAAAATTGGCATTTCTAGGGGAGGTAGCTCTGAAATAGTGCATTTTCTGAAGGAATCTACATGAAATTTTGCTATTTCATATTTTAGGCGGAAAAAATGTACGGTGACCCTATCTTTTCTTTTGATATTCTCAAAGCATTTTCTAAAAGCTATCTTTTCGCATTCTATTTTACAATTCTATCATTTAGTTTAGCTTCTAATCACATAATGATGTTTTTTCCTGTATAATCCATACAAAATGTGTCATTTTGTCTCAACCTGTAATTTCTCCAGGCATCCTCCACCAATAAAAACTGGCCGCCACGAAATAGCCCAAAAGCGGTGCTTAAAAGTGGCGTTAAACTCCAAAAATCTAAAATCTAAATCTCAACCTGTAGCTTGAGAAAATGCTCGGTGACCTATCATTATTATTATATTTTTGAACATATCACAATATATACTATGTATTGGCAAAGTATGAACAAATTCTATGATTTTTAGTTTATACTCCCATACCACCTTAAATAGTTTATGAAGCAGAGATTTCTAATAATATAGACTGCAAGGGTAAATATTTCCCCATCTGAATCACAGTAGGCTATGTAGGGGTTAAAGAGTCCTCCATCCCCCCTTCCCCCGAAATTTTAAAGGCAGAAAAATTTAATCAAGTGCAAACAAAAATTAGTTTTACCATCTTCCAGCATTCTACATTGCATTGGGTAAAGAAATGCTACTATCTACATTGAAATGGCTGAAAAATAAATAACAAAATGTAAAAATACAATGTACATATAAATTTGAAGAAGCAGGGAAAATATTTGCTTTATTATTTATTGACAACGGCAGCTTGATGCAGTCATCAGTATGTTCATGATAGTGACAGATACACATTGTAGTCCATGAAAAGATTTTTCTTCTAAGCCTAACAACAATATATGGATCCTGGAAAGATTTTCTAAATAATGAAATCATATAGCTTAGTGATTATACATGGATTCAATCCAGGGTTTAATGTATTGCATTAAATTAGAGTGCAGGAACTATTAGGTTGCTGAATTGCTGTTATTCATACATTCTATCCACCTCTCATTGAAGAGCAACAGCCCTGAGATGATGACAAAATGTATGGAGTTTAATTTCAAAGCTAAAATTATGGTGACTGTTCATGATTTCATGCCACTTCACGTGTTTTAATACTGTTACAGTTGTTTGCTATTTAAAAAATAAGGTGGTGAGATTGCCAATGAGGCAACTATCCATCAGAGTTCAAATGAAGTGGAAGTAAGCAATTTTAGACCAACATACAGCCTTCAACAATTTGAAAGACCTACCCCATAATTATATAAGGTCAGCTATAAAAGGCCCCAACAGTAATTTTTCTAGTTAATTTGGGGCAATTTTATATTTTCTTACCTTGCACTAGAAAACCTTTAGTAAAAAGAAAATCAATGAATATGAACCACAAGAATACCCTAGTTATTAGACTGCTCAATGTGTTACCCTATCTATTAGTTTCTGTGAAAACAAACTATGATTGTATATATATAGCAACTTCGTTGTCTAAAATATCTTATAAATTAAGTAGAGATACCTCCCATTACATTAATGTAAGGATTATTTCGAAAGCATGGACATACACTTTATCGATTTTGCCTGCCATTCTTGGACATCACAGCCGTTACATAAAATTTTGACATCACAAAAAAAAAGTGATTGTTGTATGACGTCAATAGTTCAAGTGTGGCAAATTCTCAGGTCCACTATCACAGGTTACCAAATAGTGATAAGTTCTATTCATCATTTATGATGACTTTATTATAAAATATGACAAACAAATGAGAAGAGATTCAACATGTTAGATATACAAGCACTTAGACTTTTTTAAATGTTGTTTTTTTTTAAGACATTTGTATAACTTTGGAATGTTATCATGGTTATGTAGATGTGTCTATTTGATAAGATCACTGCAGTGTCTGATAAATTACATATTTGCATATCCTGTCTGGTAGCAAGACAACTCTCCTCACTAAATGAAAAGGAGTTCAATGGTGTAAAAGCACAAAATAAGAACAAACTTGAAATCAGTTGCAGTTGGCTTAACTCAATAGATAGGTACGAAGCACAAAACATGAGGCTCCCAAGAGCCGGAATTGGTCATCTTATAAAATTTATAATTGTTTCCATGTACACAACTGACCCTTGATTAAAACCCCTAGAACTGTTTTTGCAATTCTGAAAAGTAAATTTTGAACAATCCCAGATAAAAAACATAATTTAATGTCAACAAATCTGATTATTTAATGTCAACAAATCTGATCACTAGTATGACAATATGGACATGTTGACTTACATGTTCATTTTTATTTTGCTGATCTTTTTTGATTCTGAAAGTTGGTCTAACTCTTAAATACAGTTTTACCAAAAATGAATAAAAATCACTACTTGGGTGAAATTTTAACTTCTATATTAAAGGAGTCTGTTGACAATTTCTGCCTTGATGACTGATTTGTAGATCTTATTGTGCTGAACATATTTGCTACTCTTCTGTTTCTACTCCTTTAATTAAAGAGTCGAGTTGGCATTGGACTAACTCCTTTTCATAAGAAGGGCAAGTAGGCAGGCCTAAATTCAGTGTAAAACCCTTTTCATTAGTACAAAGAAGCATTAATTCAGTGGGATATGTCTTCTTTTTTTAAGTGGGGCGAGTTGGCAGGCCTTAAATATACGACATTTAAACTCTTTTCATTAGTGTGGCGAGTTGATAGGCCTAAATCCAATGGGATTAAACCATAACCTGCCAACCTCTGAAACCTTCAAAGAGGGAGATTTTGTGCGAACGACATTTCCAAGTTAAATATATGACCTGTTCATTTATTCATCTACAAAACACCAATAAGAGTTAATAGATATACTTTATTTCTTCAATTTATGGTTATAATATTATCTATACAACGTGTTTGTTTTTTTTTGCCTTTTTCAATACCTCTAAGTCTCATAACTCACATTCCATATTTTGATTTTGTTGTGAGACTCACACTAGGCACTAAGCATGCTTTCAAACGTCGTACAGATCACCAGAAGAAACAGAGAAGTTGATTTCCGGAATTTCGCTGTTTGAGCGGGAGTCTTCCGCTCAAAACAGGAGGGTTGGCAGGTATGGATTTAACTCTTCTTCATAAGTGGGGCTAGTTCGTAAACCAGAATAGGCAAGTAGCTAAAATTTTCAATCTTTGTCTTGATGACAGGGTAATCTCCCAAATAAAAGTTGCGGCGAGCTGGTCTGGGACGATTTGGAAATGGGGCGAGTTGTCATTAATTCGTTCTGCCTTTACACCAGTGTTTTCAAAATCAAAGATTGGAACTGAAAGCACAAGTTTGTACCTTTAAATTTCATGCCCATTATTTTTTGTCTTTCCGGTAAAACCCCGGTCACATTTTTTATTTCTTTCTTTAAGTCTAACACAGTAAAATCGTCGTCTACATTGACACTGTACTCATTCCCACTCCATTTAACAACAAGACAAGATTTGTGTGAGTCTTCTCCCGCCATCTCTCAACAAACATGTAAAACTTGCTACATAGTTTCGAATTAATGATACTTTCCAATAACTTAGCAAAAAAGTAAGAGTTTTAATTATATTATGAGTTTTTCTATATATTATTAAATCGTCTAGTGTTCTGATTCGGAAAGTTTAATAGAAAAAGAATATCAAAGGATGCGTTCGGATAAGCATCTGTATCTGTATCTGTATTAGGAAATCCTTCCTTCAAAGGAGCACTTCGAAATGAATAAAAGTTTTTCAAGAAGTCTATATACACTTGGTTTGGGAATATAAAAAATAAAAATAAATGTACGCCCCGTGGGGTGTACATTGGCTACAGTCGCTGAGTCAGTAGAATTATCACATAAAAATTAAACAAAGACCGTTGTTAAAGCTACACATGTAATTTATGCAGTAAAAATATATTGAGGATGTTCGCTCCTCTATTTCAAAATAACAAGCTTTTTAAAAGACTGTTATAAATTGCTAGTATATAAATAACGGAGCTTAAAAAGCTGAAATTAATGAAAGGTCCAAGTCCTTGTTTTTTTTATATATGTAAGATAAGATATAAAGATAACTTTATTAGCACTAACACATAAAGTTTAACATGTTAATTAACATTAAATGGGGGATAAGACCTATAATCCGACAGTCCTGTAGTCTGACAGTCCTATAAACCGACAGTCCTGTAGTCCGACAGTCCCATAATCCGACAATCCTATAGTCCGACAGTCCTATAATCCGACAGCCCGATAGTCCGACGCGCGGTCACTTGTCTCCGAAAAATATACCTATATAGACATGTAACATTTGTAAATTGGTATATTTTTTCACACAGAAAATTATCAATTCAGTCAGTATGACGTCTTGTACAGGGTCACATTAATCCCATACGAAGCGGAAATGAACGCAGCGGGCTAAATTCAATCGGCAATCCTCGGATGAATCCGCTAACACTCATAGACGGTGGAACGGAATCGACTGAGTTTTGACGAATGGGGCTAAAACATGTTAAAGGCCAGTTAAATGCTTAATATGGGCATTTTTTTTCAGACATCAATATTTACGAAAATCCGTTCAAGCAAACTTGAAGCAAGGATTTGTATACTAATCCTTGCTTGAAGTATCAAATGACAGAGGAATTTGCGATGTTAATAAACGTACGATTTTACACATGACGTCGTTCTTCTTCTTCTTCTTTATATACAGAAAAACATCAACTGGTTGATGATTACTTTCTGGCGCATGCCTGGTTTAACAATATTGTTAATGATTAAAAATATATTTTTGATTTCATAATAATTTTTCAATTTTTATATATACAAATGTATATGTAAGTAATATTTTTCAATTTTTATTTTTAATTTTTGGTATAAGATAAAAACAAGACACATTAATCATGTAGGTGTTTGTAAGTGTCAAGGAGCATCTCTCTAGTGAGTTTCTCCTTGAAGCACTCAGTAGTGGTGCTGCAGGCTATTGGTTCAGGTAATTTGTTCCAGTCTTTTATAGTTTGGCAGAAAAATGAAAATTTGTAACTGTCTTTGCTGCATCGACTTTGTCGGTATGTTTGTTCGTGGCTAGACCTGGTGTTTGATTTGCTTTTAATTAGTATGTCAGTATGTGGTATGGCAATTTTGTTGTTTGTTATTCTATGGAACATATTTAATCTGCTTTTGAGTCTCCTTTCTTGTAATGTTGGCCAGTGAAGTGTGTTTATCATGTTTGTTACACTTTCAGTATATTTGTAGTTGGAGCATACATATCTCGCTGCACGTCTTTGCACTTTTTCTATTGAGTTAATGTTCTCTGTTGTGTAAGGGTCCCAGACAGAGCAGCAGTATTCAAGTTTTGGTCTAATAAGGGCTTGGTATGCTCGGTCTTTGATGGTTACTGAGTTTATTTTTAAATTTCTTCTGATGAATCCAAGGGTCTTATTTGCTTTTGATGTCATGTTCTGAATGTGTTTGTTCCATTTTAAATTTGATGATATAGTTATACCTAAATATTTTGCATTTTCAACTGTCTCAAGAATGTGACCGTGCATGTTATAATAAAAATGGATAGGTGTTTTCTTTGTGGTCACTCGAAGTATGTTGCATTTGTCAGGGTGGAACTGCATTAGCCAGTCTTGTTCCCATTTGATTGCCCCTTCTAGGTCTTCCTGGAGTTTAAGGCATTCTGATGTTGATTTTATCTGTCGGTAAATGATGCAGTATCGTCAGCAAAGAGCCTGATTTGACTGTGATGTAAATAGTCAGGTAAGTCATTAATGTATATTAAAAATAGTATAGGACCTAAAACAGTGCCCTGAGGAACACCTGATGTTGACGTGAAAACTTTTATGTTGCAATGTAGAGACCTGATTGACGGCAACAAAATACAGGCAAACTACAATTATAACATATGTACAATGAAGGACTGACAGTGGATAAGTATGAGAAAAATATATATATAAAAAAAACAAGTATCATTTGACAATGAGTTTCTCACCAACAAGCATTCATTCAAATAGTTCACAACAATTTTTAATACTGTTGGGGAATATGTATAATCAATCATATTGAAAATTTGGTGGGAAATGACTTACTCTAGATTTTTCATACATTGAACATTGGCACCTTTTTTTCTTTTTAAACTATGAAAAAATTACAATGATTTTATAAGATTTTCAAAAATAGCTTTTTTTAAACTATATGTAATAAAATTATGAAAAGAAAAGTAGGGATTAGTGGGCAAAATTTTTATTGGCACTACATGGATAAAACTAGAGGAATCCGAATATTTGACAAAAAGTCAAAATCAAGAATCGCGAACATCCTTAAACGTTGCTTGTCAAACTCTTTCTTTTATCGGTGTAAGTTCTTTCGAAACTAAAGGCGATTGTGTGGAAAGTGGTGGCTAGAAGATGGGAGGCTAGCCTGGGATCCTGACTCACTGCTCGACAGGATGCCAGGCTAATGGGAGGCATGTCCTACTTCCGAAATGACAATAATTCAGATCACCCACAGCTCGCAATCTGAACGCACCCTTTGTTTATCAATGGCGGAAAAACAGGTATCCAAGTTGGAAAATATGTTAAAATTGAGCTTTAGGGTTATGCACGACGATATATAAACTTTTTATGAAAACAAATCATGTATAATTGTTTTTCTCTCTGGAATCAGCAGGGTTACACTAATGTCTATACAATGGAAAAAAGAAAATAACTTTATTTCATTTCTAAAATTCTACAGATACCTATAGCTAGTAATAGTAGTATTAGCTTTTATATTTTTCTTCACAAGATCAATGTATGACTAAGGCACACTTTAAAAATTGTAGAATTTCTAGATTTTACCATTTATTTGAACTGTTAAAAATTAATCAAAATTTAGTTTTAAGACTTGACTGACCACATTGACTGACCACAGTCAATTTTGCCCTGACCCACAGAAAATGCAAATACTTTTGATTAGACGATTTTCGAGTTGGTGCACTTTCCCATAACTCATATGTCACAATGCTTTAGTTATTATGTCACAGTAAGAACCGATTGTACCATGACATCTTTTATGCTGACACAGCCACAGGTCAACTGGCGTAACTCGTTCATAAAAAAACATATAGATATTCATAAAGGTTCAACTTCAAAAATGGACAATCTCAAGGTTAATATTTTTTAAAATGAATATGAGAATAAAAAACAAAAACAAATATTTCTAAGGTTACAAAACTTGACCCTGACCCCCATGACCCTTTGGGCCTTCTTTTACTTTAAGGGTCCCTACACTTTAGGGTGAGATTAATTTATACCATAAGGTTAGGGTTTATTCATGGTTATGGTTAAATTAGGGGATGTTTTAGGTTAGAGCAAGGATTTGTTTAGTTTGGGGTAAAGGAAAGTTTAGTTTTGCTCTATATATGGGTTGGGATCCCTAATGTAAAAGAAGGCCCAACTTTGCCCTAATTGCAAGAAAACTGTTAAATATTTTTTAAAGGATAAACTTCAAATTTAACTCAAGATTTTTCTCATTTATTAAACAAAAATAAAAACATATATTATCATAAATTTCTCAAGTTAAAAATTATGACCTGACTTCAATCTTCTTTTTCATGACCAATGTGCTGACAAAAGGAACAGGAGTTCAAATTTACATTTGAAAGTTAAAAGTCAGAAATTTTGGCCAAAAAAAGTAAAAGGTCTACCTTTTTTCGTTGGATTGGGATACTCTTATTTACACACCAGCAACTTTATAGATACAAATTTCAAACCCATCCAAACAGCACTGAATTTATCATTACTTTATGTTCAAAGAAACCTTTTTATCCTACAAAAGAACTTGAGATTATCCTAGTTAAGAAGGACTTTTCAAAAATATTATGAAAATTATGGGTCATCAATCTTTTTACAAGCGACAGTTGTAAAATTTCCAAATTTTGGATTATACATGTACATGATGTACATATGATGTGCTTTCAGAAAAGAAAAATTGGGATCTCTGGACTTATTTTCTTGAAACAAAACTCAAAATAGTAAACTTACTATAAATTACTTTTAAAAAAAGTAAGATTATCTGAGTTATCTCCCCTTACATGTCTAAGAGGGACAAAATTGAATCAAATAAAAAATATTCTGTTTTTGTCGAGCCTTCGACTTTTGTCGAAAAAGCAAGACATAGCGATCCTACATTCCGTCGGCGGCGGCATCCACTAATATTCACTCTGTGGTTAAAGTTTTTAAAATTTTAATAACTTTCTTAAACTAACCTGCATTTCTACCAAACTTGGACAGAAGCTTGTTTATGATCATAAGATAGTATCCAGTAGTAAAATTTAAAAAAAATTTCTGGTTTTTCCGTATTTTACTTATAAATGGACTTAGTTTTTCTGCCAGGAAACATTACATTCACTCTGTGGTTAAAGTTTTTGAAATTTTAATAACTTTCTTAAACTATCCTGTATATCTACCAAACTTGGACAGAAGCTTGTTTATGATCATAAGATATAGTATCCAGAAGTTAATTTTGTAAAAAAAAAATTCTAGTTTTCCGAATTTTACTTATAAATGGACTTAATTTTTCTGCCAGGAAACATTACATTCACTCTGTGGTTAAAGTTTTTGAAATTTTAATAACTTTCTTAAACTATCTTGGATTTCTACCAAACTTGGACAGAAGCTTGTTTATGATCATAAGATAGTATCCAGATGTAAATTTAGTGACTTACTTGACTTAATCCACTTCGTCCCAAGGGGGACATAGGGCGACTACAGTTTCTCTCCATTTCTTCCTGTCCATGGCAGTTCGTTTTGTTTCTTTCCAGGTCTTCCCAATTTTACTCAGCTCTGTTGTTAGTCCCCTGCGCCAGGTGTTTTTTGGCCTCCCCCTTTTTCGATGTACTTGGGGGTTCCATTCTAGGGCTTGCTTGGTGATATTTGTGTCTTTTTTTCTGAGGGTATGCCCGATCCACTTCCACTTTCTTGTTCTTATTATCTGATGTAAATTTAGTAAAAGAATTAATTTTTTTTCCGTATTTAACTTATAAATGGACTTAGTTTTTCTGCCAGGAAACATTACATTCACTCTGTGGTTAAAGTTTTTAAGATTTTAATAACTTAAACTATCCTGGATTTGTACCAAACTTGGACAAAAGCTTGTTTATGATCAAAAGCTAGTATCTAGAAGGAAATTTTGTTAAAATTTTGTACCTATTTTTTCATATTTTACTTATAAATGGACTCAGTTTTTCTTCCAGTTAACATTACATACAGCCTGCAGTTAAACTTTTTAAAACATTTATTAGATTCATAAACTATCCTGGATTTTTACCAAACTTGGACAGAAGCTTCTTACAATCAAAAGATAGTATCGAGAGGAATATTTTTATTAATTTTTTTCCTCATTTTTGTTGAGCCTGCGATTAACAGCAAAAGTAGGCGAGACACCGGGTTCAGCAGAACCCTTACAAATTTTTCAATAACGTAATTATCAATTTAAGCACATTGGTTTGCAATCATTTAATAATTAATTGGCTTCCTTGACAACTATATTGCTGGTAAACGTGCTTAGATTGAACGCATTTCGATTTCCTCTGGTTTTATAGCATGAGCGTATGCCTATCACATGATCAATTGCATCATCAATTTCTGTTTCTCTTGGATTTTACCATTATTGCAAGCATGTATGATAACAGAAGTCTTATTTCCAGTAAAAAAATATTGACAAGAAGCATATTTTAGGATACTTTTTAATAGCTAAAGGATAATCTTGATAATGATAGGACTCAGCTAGTGTACAGAAATAAGAAGATGTGGTATGAGTGCCAATGAGACAACACTCCATCGAAGTCACGATGTGTAAGAAGTTAACAATAATAAGTCAAAGTACGGCCTTCAACACAGAGCCTTGGCTCACACCGAACAGCAAGCTATAAAGGGCCCAAAATGACTAGTGTTAAACAATTCAAACAGGAAAACCAACGGTCTAATCTATATAAGAAACGAGAAACGAGAAACACTTATGAACCACATCAACAAACGACAACCACGGAACAACAGATTCCTGACTTAGGAGAGTGCAAACAAATGCAGCGGGTTAAAACGTTTTAACAGGCGCCAACCTTCACCCTAACCTAAAACAGTAGTTTAACATTACAACATAGAAAGACACATTATAAAATATCAATTGAAATCAAAAAGACATATTAAAAAAAAAGTATCGACAGGCAGTGGGATAAATTAGGATTTAAGGCAGATTCCATATAAGAAATTGAAATGTCTGTCAAAATGAATAAATAAATAAAAATAATAATTACTGTTATTTTAAAGAAAATCTCTGAATGTTTTGAGGAATAATGATGTTAGAAGAAATTATAAAAATAATTTTTGGATATGATTGTTTCCGTTTAAAGTAGAAATGATTAAAACAAGTTGAAAAAATGCAAAAAATTTTGACAGAATTAACTCCCATTTTTTTACACAATGTTTATGTGTTGCAATGCTTTATGTTGACACTTGTATACTGGTATTTACTAGTGTAGTCTGGTTATTTAAACATCCCTGTTCCCAAATTTGTTACTTTTTTTAGTCAAAAACATCTATGATATATATTTTTTTTCACTTTCAAATATCTTGCTTTATAGCTCAGTGTCTGTCAATAAATCTTATGTCAGGAACATCACTGTAAAAACTTTCAAAATCATTGTAGGTTCCAATATATGCCTGTTAAAACTGTAAGTCATGCTGTGCATAAGAAAAAACACATGTTGATTCTAAGTTTCATTTAACTTTATTCAAGCAATAGTTTTAACTTATATGTTTCCTACATAAGATCTGTCAAACTTGTTTTCTTATGTCTGAAACATTTGAATGTGCTAACAGTTAAAGTTCTTTGACCTGTAGTGAAATCTTGTTAGATGTTAGGCTGCAGTATTTTCCAGGAGTTTTAAAAATGACTTTCAACTAGGATTTGATTTCCAATGTCAGTCAAAAAAAACAAATATATATTGTCTGTCAAAATATCTTATGTATGAAAAATCTTATGTCAGAATCAAGTCTGTCAAAATCTTATGTCAGAAACTCAATTTGTCTGTCAAATCTTATGTCAGAAATAATAAAATCTGTCAAATCTTATGTCAGAAAAAATAAAGTCTGTCAAATCTTATGTCAGAAATAATAAAGTCTGTCAAATCTTATGTCAGAAAAAATAAAGTCTGTCAAATCTTATGTCAGAAACAATAAAGTCTGTCGAATCTTATGTCAGAAACAATAAAGTCTGTCGAATCTTATGTCAGAAACAATAAAGTCTGTCAAATCTTATGTCAGAAACAATAAAGTCTGTCAAATCTTATGTCAGAAACATAATATTTAAGGCTTTGTTTATTTAAAAAGGATGATGCTCATAATTTTTTTTTTGGTCAAATTGTCTTTATCTTTATTAGTAAAACATGTATTCAAAAACAGAAGTTCATTGCTTATGATTTTTGCCTAACGTGCTTATGGGAGTTGTTTCACTTTCTTATATGGAATCTGCCTTAAACTTATAATAAATATGTATCATGTTATATATAGATAAAGCAATCTCTATATAGAAAATAAACGTAGATGTGTATTAATACATCCCAAAAAAACATTCGAAAAGAATACAAATTTAGTTATGTTTTAATTTGTTGATGACAAAATCGATATTTGTGCCAATGTAAACAATACTCAAATATCTTATTACAGCATTAACAAGATAACCTTTACTAATAAGTTTGTTTAAAGGTTTGATGAGTTGACACGGATCACATAGTGATTTCCGCACTATTAGTACAATATTACCATAAAATTTAGGATGTGAAAGACCGTTTTTAATAAGTTTTCTACAGGTACAGCCAAATTTACTAATCAAATCTTTGTATCTATGAAAGAATTTAGTAAATGTTTTAACTAATTTATGGTAACGAAATCCCTGACTTAATAATTTAACCAGGATGTGCCCACGCCCCACGGATGCATGGGTTAATGATATGGCACATCAAGACAGAAAATCATGCGTTCAGGACTCATGTTCATGCCTTAACAAGAACACTGAATTATATGTCAAAAAGACATAAAATTAGAATATTGCAAACAATAAATAAATTGCCTATAAAGCAATTGCCTTGATTTATATTCATCAGGAACCCTTGAGAAGTCTTAAGTTTGTACATGATCTAATAAATGTGTCAGTAGGTAAGGAGACTCACCACATTATTTAATTATATGAACTTTTGATTTGGGCAAGTGAGTTTAGAAAACGGACAAGTTGATTTTCTTGCAACTTGCCCTAATGGTCATGTTAAAAAAAATGATTATGTAGAGGCCTGTCAGAACGAGATAAAACACAGGATTTTCTTTTTTAGATGAAAAGTATGACAAATGAATTACATTCCTCTCTCAAATATTTCATTAAAGAAATGATTGTTTTCTGCTATTTTACAATCCAAGATGACAGAAGACTCTGGATATTCCTTGAAGACACAGTAATTGATTATTATTTTTGTTGAATTGTAGACTTCTGATCGAGAGAAAAATACATTGGCATGGAAATCCAAAACAGAGCAAGCAAAGAAAGGAGAAACCTTGAGGGAACTCCAGAAGTTAAATGTGCAGTTTGTATCAATGAATTTTAACATTAACAATGTGTTTTAATATTAACAATGTGTTTTAATATTAACAATGTGTTTTTTTATGTAAAATCTTACATGAAAAAATGAAATGCATTTTATATCATTGTTGAAAAAAGTAGGTTCCAGATTGTTTTTTACCAAAATGACATTTTATTTACATCATTAAATTCTCCTTTCAGGATTGCTGCATTAGAAAGAGAGAAGGCAACACATTTGTACAGCAGAAGAAGTGATTTTAGGGGAGATTTTAGTCAGTTGGAAGAAATAGATTCAAAGAGCAATGATGAGAAAAAGACTGAAAGTAAGTTATTCTGAATAATTTGCTCAATTCAAAATACAATGTAGGGCAACAAGCAAGGTCAACTGTATGATTTTGTATTCTCTAAATATAAATATAATCAGTACAGATATTTTGGTAAAGCTATTTAATTATTATTTGTCATTTTTTATTTTCCTGTATATATTGTTAATGGCAAGTCTTGGTTTTTACAGAAATAAAACTGAAGCAACAGTTAGAGAAGATAAGTCACATGGTTAAGAGATTTCATATGGAGTTAAGAGATATCAAGCCTACCCCTGAATGTAAGAACCATTAAAATAGTAGAACCTTATCAATACAAAGCAGTGTTGTCTTTATAAATGGGATTGATAATATAATTTCTAGCAATCTTATTTTCCGACAATCCAGTTATCCCAGAATTATATTAATCATTTAAGAAGAAGCTTGAGCAAATTCTAGACCATTTATGAAATTTAACCCAATCTTGATAACACTATTGTGACTCTCAAGTCTCGTGTTTTACAATATTTATGTCCAATCTGAGGAAAATAGTTTATCCTTGTCTTTGTGTCTCTTTTTTTTCCATTTTGATTTGGGTAAGTTTTGCCTTAAAATTCATTTCTAAGAAATTTATGGTAATATATCAATATCTTTAAAAAATGATAACAACAGTCCGCCTGTATTGTACAGTGCAGTTCTGAAACATTCAAGTCACTGTGGAATTCTTTTGATGATTGTCTAACTTAAGTTTAGATTTGCAGTAGTTTGAAAATACATGTGGATCAATAATTTTTAGGGGGAGCAAGAAAATCATTCTGGATCAATTATGTTTGTAGAGTTATTTTGCCGCTTGGAAATGTAAGTGATGTGGAAAATTGAAGTATATTGTTGGAATACATTTACTACTCTTTAGCAATATTGATTCTAGTATTAATTTGATGTTTTAGATTTTGTCTGAATTCAAAAATGATAATAATTCCAGTAAGACTGTTCTTTTTTGGTGCATGGATCTTATAGAAAAATCGTTGTTGGCTGTTAAAATAAATGAATTTATTTCTTTGGTCAACACATAGTCATACATGGATCTTGTGAAGAAAAACTACTGATCTATGGATAATTTTTGATACTTGCTATTCATATTGATTCATTTCATTGATTATTATATTTAATAGTTGTTGAAAAGTTAAAGATAACGATGGAAGAGATAGAAGGAACTATCAATGCATTTAAAGAACAACAAAGAAAACAGTAGGTACTTTAATTGATGGACTTACATGTATGTTTACAATAAGTCAAACTTTTAGTTATGGCTGTAGAATATTTTGCTGATTTGGAGTTCATAAATGTATAATAAAGATCTAGAGCAACAGATTCTGTAAATATTTACTTTTTTAGATAAATTCAAAAATTTGTCAAATTCCATCAGTTTAAGTTTTACATTATAAGAATTTTTGATTTGATAAGATGCCTTGGTAATTAAAATAATGTTGTCACAAACTAAAGTACATGCATGGAGTTGTAATACTGTGAATTTCAATTGAGAAATAAAGTTTTTTTGTTTTTTTTATAACTCCGCTAGTTAAATTAATGCAGAAAAATTGGACCTAACCCTTTACAAAAGTAATTGTATGTTTGCAGATATGAAGAATTGATGAGAGAAGAAAAAACAACTGCACAAGAAATTCAGGCTTTGGAGAGAAAATTTGAAAGTTGGAACCAAATGTCAGAACCAGTTGTTACTAAGAAACCACAACAGAAACCATTAGCCAGTGCCAGAGATATAACTAAAGACTTACCACAGGAGGTGGCACACTTTGAGGTGCATCTTAAAATAATAAACATATTTATATGCTATATGTTTTACATAAAATGCAGTTAAATTATAATAACATGGTTAAAAACATTCTGATAACTTAAGAATTTTTTAGCAGAAACTTTTGTGTAATAATTTAAGATTTGAATTTTTCAGAAATTTTTGGAAGAGACAGGAGGAGTAAGAGGAGGTTGGGATGAATATGATCATCAGACATTCTTGAAATTCAGACAGAGACATAATGTAAGATATGTATCATTTGTCAAACTTTCATTTATATGTCATTTTGGAATTTGTATAAATCATCAAACATTGATTCATTAACATGTGTAGCACATGGGAAAATTGTTTGTCATTTTATATATTTATTTGAATTGTATTGTCTACGTTGTTGAGGGATTTGAGCTTGACTTTTATCTTTCATTTGTATGATCCTGTTTTCACATGATGATAAAACAGATGGACAAGTACAATATATTATACTAGTAGTAAGTAGCTTAGATTCAATAATAATAATATCATTCTTGCAATGCTTTATATTTTGTTCTTTATGCTTTGTTTTATGACTTCAGAAATTGTCATTGATGTTTCCAGGGTAAAGAAATATTTATTCAGCATTCCTTGGTAGCCATTCCAACTAGAACTGAAGAAGAAATTAGGGACCATGAAAATTGGTATCAGTCTTATCTGTCATTAAATGAAAAGAAGAAAGAAAGTATAAAGAAATGGAGGAAAAAGAAGGAGGTTATTTGTTTAATAATGTTTTCCTCAAACTTCAGCGATTTTCAGTGATTTTCACCCTGTTTTCTATAAGAGATGTATTAATACATAAGTCTGTTGTTAAGAATGTGTTGCTGGGTACAATCGTGATGTTAATTTCAGGGATTGACAATTTTTGACCAATTGTATAAATCCAGTTTAAACTTACAATTTGATTTGCCAATGAAAATTTATTTTAAAATTGAAAATGCCAAAAAACACCTTAAAATTTCAAAAGAAGAATAAGCAAATTAAAAAAAAAAGCATTGCAAAATCTGAGTGAAAAAAAAAAATCATAGTGGAATAGAATTACTAGTAATACAACCGTAAATTCTTACTTGGCTGTGTATTTGAAATGTATACAGTTTTGATCTAACATTAATTTATTTACAAAAATTTGCATCCAAAAAATATATTTTTTTCCTGATCAATTCAAATATGTTATAAAAAATATACCATCATGTGCTATATTTAGAGATAGATGGAGTTAAAATTTCAGATATTTACTCAAAATTTCTTGTTTTTTTTTACATTTTATCTTTATGGGCAGAATTACCTTTTTGTTTCAAAAGATAAACACAAGAATTTTTTGTAAAATAACATTATATGTTAGTGATGTTATTGTTATTGTAATCAATTCTAATATGTAATAAAAAAAGATATACCTTCATGTGGTACATGTAGAGAATAATACAAATATAGGGCTTAAATTTTAGATATTTACTTAAAATTTCTTTTTTTGTTGTTGACATTTTATCTTTTGGGCAAAAATAACTAACTTTTTTGTTTCGAAAGATAACGACAAGCAGCTTTTTGTAAAATCATTTGGAATTATCTTTTCACATAAGTATGCTCTGAATTTGCATGATTATTCTCTGGAAATAATTCAAATTTATTAAATTTTCATGATTATATAAAAAAAACGACATTTTTTGTTGTAGATTTATCTAATTAAAAAAAATCATTGATATAAAAAAGAAGATGTGGTATGATTGCCAATAAGACAACTCTCCGCAAGAGACCAAATGACACAGAAATTAACAACTATAGGTCACTATACCGCCTTCAACAATGAGCAAAGCTCATACTGCACAGTCAGCTATAAAAGGCCCCGAAATGACATTGTAAAAAAATTCAAATGAGAAAACTAACAGCCTAGTTTATGTACAAAAAATGATTGAAAAACAAATATGTAACACATAAACAAACAACAACCACTGAATTACAGGCTCCTGACTTGGGACAGGCACATACATACAGAATGTGGCGGGGTTAAACATGTTAGTGGGATCCCAACCCTCCCCCTAACCTGGGACAGTGGTGTAACAGTACAACATAAGAACGAACTATAAAAATCAGTTGAAAGAGGCTTAACTCATCAGATGGATAAAAATACAAATACTTCAAATACAAGTGGACGTGGCCGGGTACTTGTACATCCAAACAACAAAAAGACACTAAGTACAGATCTGAGAGTACTCGCAGTTACTGACAGCTAGTTCAAAGCCACTAACAACTAATAAAAAAAAAATATGCATCTAAGACTAAATTATCAATCCGTACACATCCAACATCCAGTGGATTTAGTGTAAAGAAGTCATAAACAGTCAGAGAAAAACATGACCTTGTGCAATACCAAGATACAGGTATCGATAGAATGTAGATCCATGAATGTGTATATGTATATAACAATAATATTTAGTTTGCTTTTAATTTACTGATAACAAAATCAATATTAGTACCTATAAAAACAATATTTAATGATCTAATTACAGTGTTGAATTGGTAAACTTTTAGAATAAGTTTATTTAAAGGATCAATAAGTTTACCAGGATCGTTTCTAAATTTCCGGGCACGGTAAACAATATTGTCGTAAAAAATGAGGATGTGCAATCCTGTTTGAAATAAGTTTTCTACAGGTGCAACCAAACTTCAAAACCAAATCTTTATATCTGTGGAAGAATTTAGTAAAGGTTTTAAGTAATTGCAAGATGATTTTTTTCACAAAAATTGGTACAAATAATCTTCCTACTTTTTAAGCCAAATGTCATTTGAAAAAACAGTGGTCCATGTTTTCGTTTTCAAGCTTATGATTAAAATTAAAAAAAAAAATGATCTTTTCCCAAGATGTCACATTCTGATGTAACGAAAAATATCATTTTACATTACCGATGTTATTACCTCCCTTATAACTGTATTGTATTCCCTTTAAACTTAACTATCAATGCAATGTGGGTGAGTTTGAAGACTTGTACAAGTAGCAGTATTGCATTGCTATAATTTTATATTTAGTAGTGTTTGAATATTATGTCACAGAGGAAACCGCCTATCAGTCTGTCATTAAAACTACTGTAACTACCTTGAGATTTGGGGCTTTTTAAACAGTTGAAATAAAAATTTGAACAAAATCATGGATATCTTCTGGTTAGATGCCAAAAGATTGAATATGTTACATTATAACTAACATGACCATGTTTTGTAAAGATATAAAATTTTATTCATGTAGGAAGATAAGGATGATGTTATATCTAAAGTTGATCAACAATTGGAAGACGAGGAATCAAAGAAGGAAGAAAAGAAGAAAAAGAAAGAGGAAATAATTCAGGCTGAAAAAAGGGAACGTTATAAACAGTTAAATTCCTATAGGGTTAGTGCAAAATTTAATCAATATTTTATACCGGTAGTCTATATAATATTCTCTATTAGGGAAAGGGTATCGTTGCCAAAAAGTCCATTTATGTAAGAAATGTTAAAGGAGCTACCATTTGAATTTTATGGGGAGGGGGGCTAGTATGAAATTTGAAAAAAAAGGCAGGACAGGAGTTTTGAGTAAAAAAAAAGGCAGGATGAGCAACTTGGCAAAAAAAAATAGCAGGATAACAATTTATGTAAAAAATATCAGGATCAACTAAAAAAAAAGAAAAAAAAAGGCAGGACCAAATAGAGTGAAACATAAAAAGGCAGGACAGAGATTACAACTAAAAAAAATGCAGGACAAAATTTTTCATCCTAGCCCTCCCCCCATAAAAATCAAATGGTAGCTCCCTAATATTTGGCAGGTCTACTTTGCGGTTGGTAAACTGTCATTTATGTGCAACATGTTTGCAATTTTTTCACATGCTTTACTGCTTGAAGCTTATTATTCACTGTGTTTCATGAAAATTGATAGAAAGTGAGGTATATTATCCTCGTCTCATGGGTTTTCATGCTATTAAGAATGCATTGTGACGTCACAATTTCCATTGAAAAAGCATGCATAGTACGAATTCATATGACGTACGAAAACATATGATCTGACCATAATATTTTATTTTTCGTTTATCCTAAAATGAGCATTTATGTCCCATTTGCAAATGCTCATTTCCCTCCCCGTTTTTAAGAACTTATATATATGACAAAAAAGGTGAGAAAAAATTATTTTGACATTGAGGTTTTAGGAATGACAAAAAAGAAGAAAACAAATATGGTGATAAATCTAAAGTACACCGTAATTCTATACCTATTTATGTCTTCTGAATTTATTTATTTTTTTCTGACCGCCTGACCCAAATCTTTCACATCTTTCAGTCTTTCACATCAAAATTTGTAAACCAACAAATTGAAAAATTCTTGCCTAATTGTTGTTATGAATACTTTACATTTAGAATATAATATCTATATAAAAAAATCATAAATCTCTGGATAAATATTATGTTAGGTTTATTTTTAAATTTAAGGTTCAAAAAGAACTTGAAAGGGCACAAGCTGAAGAGAGGAAGTTAAGAGAAGAACTAGAGAAAGCCAGGAAAAAAGAGGAAGAAAGAAAAAGACAGGTAAAAAATAACTATACTCTGTCTTGCATGAGCTGTTTGAGAAGCAAAGAAAAAAATAATAATAACTTGATACAATGTTTTTGTTATGACAAGAGAATGAACTTTTGAGTGATGATGATAAGTGATAAGACGGCTCTATTCATTTTCAGTGTAGAATTTAAAAGTCTATATTAAAAATTATTTAAGTTAGTTAGGTTATATTGAAATCAGATACTCTCATTTGTCCATTGGTATTCATGTGAAGACAAAAACAGATATCAATACTATCAGTCCAGCAATCAGCTTTGGCAATTTGTGGGCAATTTCCCTCTTTTAACTTTTAGGAATGAAAAATTGGGTGTCAGTGGGTGCACTTTTTTTTGCACTTAACAGGTTGGGACCATCACTATAATAATATACAATTATGGCCCGTTGAAAAGGTGAATATCCAAAATTGTCAACACGAGAAGGTTATTTCACTGAGGGCGCAGCCCAAAGTGAAATAACCTTTAAGGGTTGACAATTTTGGATATTCATCGCTTCTAAGGGGCCACAATTGTTTTATTATACCGAACTATCAGTGGATGGGCATTTTGAATCATTGTAAAAGTACTTACCCTTACTTGAGTCAGTAACAAACACAAGTTGACGTTCAAAAATACATGTAATTTGTGTCTTAGAATTCTCGTAAGTACAACAAAGGTAGATTCTTTTTGTAAAATATTGATGGCCCTGAAAAGGACCGTTATTAGAGATATCATCGGCACAAAATGCACGTAAAAAGCCTTATTTCCTCTTCTCTCGATCAATTGCCTTCCTGTAACTTGAACGTTGCCATTTTGTTTATTTACGCCTGTGACGTCATGTTCATGAGTACAAATCAACAAACTAAAAAGGTTATTCGCCGGTGAATAATAGGGTTATTCAACGCTGGTGTAAATTTTTAGGGTTATTCGTTCTTCCTTGCAATTGAATGAAAACTAACTGAATTATTCCATGTCACGTGATAACGTTTTACCCAATAGAATTGTTTGAAATATATGTAAGGTATAGTAATATATGATAACCTGTTCAGGCAATAATATCTTAAATGGGATATACATTTAATGTGCTTTTAAACAAAAAATTATTTCTCAGATTTCAGAAAGACAGCAAAGTTATTATGTACCAATGGTGTCCTTTCATCTTCTGAACTGAAAAGACTGCTGAATATTTTTTTTTTATATGCCATTTCAATTTGTATATGAGGGTAGTAGAAAAGAAAAAGTTAAATCATATACCTTAGTTTTGTTGTTTATAAAGCTGAGAGTAGTTAAACCTTACGAAGTTGATAACATGGTGAGAAAATTTAGAGATAACTGTATTGTATTTGAAGCTTTGCGGACGTCCATCGGTAGTTTAACTGTCACAAATTTAGTTACCTGGCAACGCTTAGTGGAGACAGGTAAACGGATATTTGCGACAGTAAAACTACTGATGGACGTCTGCAAAGCTTCAAATACAATACAGTTATCTCTATTCTAATGCAAAATAAACAAATCATGCAATTTCAGTCATTATTTCAGTGTAAAATTTTCATTAAACGAAAATTCCGCGAAATGATTTTATCTTGTTTGGCGCCTAAACTAGGTGACGTCATAGGTATGCTTCCGGCATCAAACGTAAACACTGGGCGTTTTCTGACTTCTTGTCCGCTTCAGAATGTAATAAAATTTGATAAAAAGGAGATTTCTAGGTACAAAATGTGAGTTTTGTTGCTTATTATTGGAGAAATTACATGTCAATACATTCCGGTATTCAAAATGTCGTCTTCCTTAGTTACAGACAGGGAGATAGAGAATTTTACGCTTTTGTCATCCAATCAGAACCATTGATACAAAGTAATTGCATTAGAATAGGTATTCCATGTTAATATTCTTACTCCTATTATTTTTTTAGAAATAATTTAGATGATTTTCCAGGTGAAAAGAATAAAGTGAATTGTTGTTATCTTTGCAGATTGAGGCAAGAGAAAAGGTAGAAGAATTTAAACAACAGAAGAAAGAAGAAGAAAGTTTACGTAAATTAGAGGACGAACTATGGGAAAGAGCTCAGAAGGACCAACAAAAAGAGATAGCAGCAAGGGAACTTGTTAAATTTAGGGAAAGGGTAGGTTTCTGGTATTTATAAACATATTTTCAAATCAGATGACTGAAGTGCAAATCTCATTTCATAGTTGAATTAATTACCATTTGGTTTATCTTGTATGAAGTGTTTGACTATTTCATTAATTGTTCATTTTTACAATATTATAGTATTAACTACATTTAATATGAATTTTTATAATACTTTTTGCAATACTGTATTTCAATCAACTAGTTGTCTAAAACTCAATGTCATGTACTGTCATAATTGAAAGTTGCAGGCACAGATAAAGGATTTGAGGTTATAGGAAGGAGGGAAGGTTGAGGGGGGCAAGTAAACTGAATGTATTTACTGATTATTAAATTGCTTAGTTGACAGTTCTATTTATTTTAGTAATGTATAGATGGTTAACTATGTTTTAAAGGATAAGCAGACTGTTCTCCAGAGACTAGCCAACCAAAAAGCCAAAGAGGAGGAACAGAAAGAAAAAGAAAAGCGATTAGAGAAGCTCAAAGGACAGGTGTGTGCCTTAAACATTGTTTTTTTTTCTCATAAAAAATGATATTAAACAACATCTTTGAACTAGTTATGTTGGGACTAAACAAATCCTATCCTTACTACCAAGGATCCGGAAATTTTCCCAAGTCATTTCGGTCATTTTTTTTTGTGATGTAATAATATCGTGATGCACAATAATGCATTTTTCTGAGGGTGACAAGTCTTGCACATGGACAAGTAAAGTCCTTTTTTGTGAAGTATTGGGTCAAACAAGTGTAACTGTACCTTGATCTAACAGTAACAGTGATGTCTCTGAGTTAGAAACTACACGAGGAGACGTTTTGTTGTTGTGTATTGCATCACTGAGGTCGTATGCATAACCCTTTAAATTTGCATAAATTAAAAGAGGAATAATTACGGCATGTTTCATCATTTTGAAATAAAGTTATGTAAACCAATTAATAAACTGTGTTGAGTTTCTTATTGCATGTACAAGATATCGTTTGTATTGTTCAAATTGCTGCTGTTTGGATGAGTGTAAGTGATTACCGAATACACAACAAGATAATGTGTATTCACCTGGTTTACGATATGAGGATCAAAAAGGGGAAACTATGATTTAACTTTTCTTTGAATAAATAACTCAAGTCTGGTATAGTGATAACAATAAACAAAAGAAAGGATAACGCCCATTACATTCTGTGAGTAAGATGGTTTCAAAAAATCGGAAGTGCAAAAAAAACAACAAAAAAATCGAGATTGTTCATTCGCTGAGTATATTTCTTAAATAGGCTGTATGGCTTCAAATCTAAATTACGTTATTTAGTTTTAATTCCTTTTTTAAACATTTTTTTTTAATTCTGCATTCCTATAAATTATAGGCTTTACCACTTTTGCAAATCTATTAATATCTTTATCTGCCATTTCCTACCGAAAAGTTAAATAAGATTATCAATTAACCCATGTTGATCCCCATTTTCCATGCGCAAACTCAGTAAACATAAATCTATATTTAACAAACGTTGACCAAATCGGCTGATCGATTATAAATGGATTATATGTTTTATTTGGATAAAAATAAACAGATTCTCGAGTCAACAGTGTTATTTGTCTTCTTTAATGAATAAAATAATATCTGTTTGGGAAAATCTAGGTCAGAATGGTTAAAACGTTAAATTTGATGCACAGCAAATCGCCATATTGTTTTTATTGCTTAACAGGTGTTTACAGGTGAGATTTGTGTACATGGCCTTTATGGCTTTAATCAAGACAATAACGACACCCAAGCCGAATTCAAACTTCCTGGACATTGATTACTATCCTCAAGTGGTGATAATTACTATGTAAACAAACCTAGTGGCTTGAACCCAGACTTACCCCACGCTGTGACTCGACAGAGTCCTGTACATTGTTTTCACTTACATTATAGAATAAACAACAGACTAATGATAAATATTATTAAATCACTAACACAAATCAATAAAATTTTTATTTTGTCTCAAACAAATCTATTGTTCTTGATGACCTGTAAACAAAAATAAGTTCAAAATGGCGACCGATAAAACCCTGATCTCAATGAAATGACCGAAATTATTTCTGTAAAAAAAAAAAAAAAGACCTAAATCCCAATAAATCATTTCGGTCTTTTCAGTTTCCAAATCGGTCATGTCTGGCATATATGACCGTTTCCGGACCCTTGCTTACTACATAATATACTAAGGGCCATTACTCAATGAAAAGTATGTCATCTGAAATAAATTGTGAATGGCAATACAGTTTATCCACAGGTTGCACATATTCTGATAGAAACAAACTGTGACCCTTTAGTAACAGACTTGTTCCTAGCCAAACTCAGTAAAAATCAATCTAAATTTTATTGAATAGAAAAAATTTGTAAACACTCACTATTATGACTACCTTGATGATATTTTTTTGCCTTATTTCCTTTTTATACGTCCGTTTACGGGACGTATTATGGTATACTGTTGTCCGTCTGTCCGTCCGTCTTCAACATTTCGGACATTAACTCAGAAACGCTTTAACCAATTTGCATAAAACTTTGGTGATCTATTGACGTGAGCTCCCTCCGTTTTTTTATAAATTTTAGATTTTACATTTCCGAGTTATGGGGTTTTATTCATTAAAAAAAGGGGTATTTTCCAGTTTTAGGACAATAACTCAAAAATGCTTTCACCAACTTGCAAGAAATTGTGGTGAATTGTTTATAGCTATTGACATGAATTTTTCGATTTTTATATATTTTAGATTTTACGTTTCCGAGTTACAGGGTTTTATTCATAAAAAAAGGGGGATTTTCCAGTTTTCGGATAAAAAATCAAAAATGCTTTCAGCAGTTCTTATGAAACTTTGGTGAATTGTTTATATCTATTGATGTAAGCTCCGTTTAGAATTTTATAAATTTTACATTTTACATTTCTGAGTTTTGGAATACATATTTCCTCACCATGTTATTCATTAAAAAAGGGGGGATTTTCCAGTTTTCAGACAATAACTCAAAAATGCTGTCAGCAATTCTCATGAAACTTTGGTGAATTGTTTATATCTATTGATGTAAGCTCCCTTTACATTTTCATAAATTTCTAATATGACATTGAGAATTAATTGAACTTTAATTGTTTATAGTCGGACAACAGATTTACTAAGTATTGCACAACAGCAAAGTGTATTGCGCAACAAGAAGAAATCTTTAATTGAATATATAAATTCAATTCATATAACCAATTTCAAGTTCTTTGACTACATTTATTCAGAAACCTATAATATGTCAAATATTTAATACAATCCAAATTCAGACCTGTATCAAGCTTGAATATTGTGTCCATTTTTGCCCCAACTGTTCAGGGTTGGACCTCTGTGGGCGTATCCAGCTGCGCTCAGCGAAGCAGTTTATTTGGATGATGATGTTTCTGTGGTGCCTTTTTATGGTTTCTATATTTCCCAACTGGTTCTCTAGGCCCTTATCTGTAGTGATGTTTAAGATTTTAATGAACCTAATCTTTGTATTCTTATGGTGTTTGTTTATCCCAACTCGTTTACTATGCCCGTGTTTGTAGTGGCGTTATAGATTTCTATGAGCGTAATCTATGTATTACTTGTAAATTATTTAGTCTGTGATTTCGTTATCTGGAATGTTGCCGCTCATGGGTCACATCTATATTGTTGCCATTCTCGGATCACATCTGGATTGTTTCCATTCTTGGATCACATCTATATTGTTGCCATTCTTGGATCACATCTGGATTGTTGCCATTCTTTGGTCACATCTATATTGTTGCCATTCTTGGATCACATCTGGATTGTTGCCATTCTTGGATCACATTTGGATTGTTGCCGCTCTTGGGTCACATCTAAATTGTTGCCATTCTTGGATAACATCTGGATTGTTGCCATTCTTGGATCACATCTGGATTGTTGCCGCTCTTTGGTCACATCTATATTGTTGCCATTCTTGGATCACATCTGGATTGTTGCCATTCTTGGATCACATTTGGATTGTTGCCACTCTTGGGTCACATCTATATTGTTGCCATTCTTGGATAACATCTGGATTGTTGCCATTCTTGGATCACATCTGGATTGTTGCCATTCTTGGGTCTTATCACTTATGTAATTAGTAGAATATTTCTCTGAACATCATAATCCATTGATTTTTGGAATGAAAGTAATGCAGACGTCTTTATAATACCCCCTCTCAGAAGGAGGCAGACATACTTATTTATCCCTGTCCATCCCATTATATTTTTATACGACCGCAAAAAAATTTTGAGGTCGTATATTGGTATGACGTTGGCGTCGTCGTCGTCGTCGTCGTCGTCGTCCGGCGTCGTCGTCCGAATACACAATGGTTTTCGCACTCTAACTTTAGTTTAAGTGAATGGATCTCTATGAAATTTTACCATAAGGTTCAATACCACAATAGGAAGGTGGGGATTGATTTTGGGGGTTATGGTACCAACAGTTAAGGAATTAGGGGCCAAAAAGGGGCCGAAAATAAGCATTTTTGTAACTTCCAGACATAACTTGTGTGTTAGCATATGGATCTCTTTGACATTGTACCACAAGATTCCATATCACAAAGGGTCAATGCTGGGATTGATTTTGGGGTTAATTGCCTCAAAATTTTAGGAATAAGGGGCCAAAAGGGGGCAAAAAACAAGCATTTTTCTAGTTTCATGACAATAACTTGTGTGTAAGTGTATGGATCTTTCTGAAATTTTACTACAAGGTTCCATTTCACAAAGGGAAAGCTGGAATTGAGTGTTGTGGTAATTGCCCAAAACGTTTAGTAATAAGGGGCTTAAAAAGGGGTTTAAAATAAGCATTTTTAAGTTTCTAGACAATAACTTGTGTTCAAGTGTATGGATCTCTCTAAAATTGTATTACAGGGTACCATACCACAAAGGCAAGGCTGTTATTGAGCTTGGTTTGGGGGGAAAGGGGGGTGGGGGTGATGAATCATAAGGGGGGCGGGGGTCAAAAAAGGGGTAAATTTTTTTTTTCCTTTTTTTTTTGTTTAAAATTTACATTTTAAGTTAGTTATTTTTTATCACGAAGAGAAAGTAGGAATTGAGTTTTGGGGTTAATTGCTCAAACATTTATGAATAAGGGGCCAAATATTGGTCGAAAATAAGGATTTTTTTTAGTTTGCAACAAAAACTTGTGTTCAAGTGTATGGATCTCTGTGAAATTGTATTGCAATGTACCATACCACAAATTGAAGGTTGTGATTGAGGTGGGGGATGATGAATCAAAAGGGGGTTGAAAAAATGTGTGGGGGGTAGGATTTTTTTTTTTCCTTTTTTTTTTCTTTAAAATTTTCCATTTAAAGATGGTTGTTTCAGATTTATATATGAAAGAAAATAATAATGATACGGTTATATATCATGAGGAATTGAAATTTTAAATTATGTATATTGGAAATTTAGGTTACATTGGAAAGTAATAATTGGCTTTGGGGGGGGTGGTTATGGCTCTAATGTTTAAGGAATAAGGGGAAAAAAGGTTAAAAAACAAGGGTTTCCATTTTAATAGACAAATAATTGAGTAAAGAACATTATTTAAAAGCAGTGTAAGGTTGGTAATTCAAACTCATTTAAATATCTCATCTACACTGCTTTTAAATTATGTAAATTGGAAATTTGCCAATAACTTTATTGTTAATAAATGCATTGGAAATTTGCCAACAATTTTAGTGTAATAAACTTCATTGGAAATTTGCCAATATAAAATTTTGCTGATGAAGGTTTTTTGTTTACCTTTAGCCTTGACTATGAAGTCATTTTCTATTTTTATAGCCTTATGATGTAGTTGAATTATTTAATACTTTTATGATGTGTTTAAATGGGGTTTTATCATGTTTATGGTTGCAAATTTATTGTTTTAGTATAATAAACTCCATTTAAAATTTGCCAATAAAAAAAATTTTTGTTTATTTTTAGCTATGATTATGATGTCATTTTCTATTTTACTTTTATGGTTGCAAAGAAATTTTTATTTTTAGATATTACTGTTAAATGATGCTGATTAAGGTTTTTGCTATGTTTAGCCATGACTATGATGTCATTTTCTATTTTAATATCTGTTATGATGTATTTAAATGGGCTTTTATGGTTACAAAGGAATTTTATTTTTATACGACCGCAAAAAAATTTTGTGGTCCTATATTGGTATGACGTTGGCGTCGTCGTCGTCGTCGATGTCATCGTCCGGCGTCGTTGTCGTCCGGCGTCGTCGTCCGAATACATATTGGTTTTCGCACTCTAACTTTAGTTTAAGTGAATGGATCTTTTTGAAATTTGACCATAAGGTTAAATACCACAAAAGGAAGGTTGGGATTGATTTTGGGGGTTATGGTACCAACAGTTAAGGAATTAGGGGCCAAAAAGGGGCCAAAAATGAGCATTTTCTAGTTTCCAGACAATAACTGTGGAACGGTGTATGGATCTCTCTGAAATTATACTACAAGTTTCCATACCACAAAGGGATGGTTAGGATTTGCTTTGGGGGGTTATGGCTCAAACCGTTTAGGAATTAGGGGCAAAAAAGGGGGAAAAACAAGGTTGTCCTGGTTAATGGACAAATACTTTAGTACAAAACATAATTTAAAGCAGTGTAAGGGAGATAAATCAAATACATCATTGAAATTATCTCCCTTACACTGCTTTTAAATTATGTATAAAGTAATGGTTAATGAACAATAAAGATAATCTAAAACAGTATAAGGGAGGTAATCCAAATACAACGTTTTGGTTACTTCCCTTACACTGCTTTTAAATTATGTTTAAAGAAATGCATATTTATAAAGGAAGACCAGTAAAAATATCTGCAAATGTTTTCATCTTTTTTTTTTACAAAAAATTCCATATGAAAGATTTGACACTATATTTTTATTATTGCGAACCCAATGAAAGTTTTCCACAGTGCCATCTCTATCTTGACCAGGTATTTAAACTTTTGCAAGTTCACCTGTCCTATTGAATAAATACAATAGCTATTGTTCTCTGTGTAGTTTATTCTCTGGGACCTTTAAATTTCTTCTAAGAGAAATCTATCATTCATTGATTAAATTACCTCAGTAAAAAAATGATCTTATATGTAGACAAAAATACTTTTTTTATACTCATTAACTGCGTGTGATGATGTAGTTATTCAATATTAATAATATATTTTCATTCAGTTGAATATAAACATTGATTCAATCATAAAAAGTTGATTTCTGACAAAACTTTCAACATTGTTCCTTTTAAAAAAAAGATTGTTTGACATGAATAAGAACTTGAAAATAATGATGTTTCAAATTAAGATCTTCTTAAATGTATTCTATAACTAAACAAAAAAAAATCAAATTTCAATAGGAACATTGATAAAACTTTTGTTAGAAATTAACTTTTTATGATTGAATCAATGTTTGTATAAAACTGAATGAAAATATATTATTAATATTGAATAACAACATCATCACACACAATTAATGAGTATAAAAAAAGTATTTTTGTCTATATATAAGAATTTTTTTTTACTCAGGTAATTTAATCAATGAATGATAGATTTCTCTTAGAAGAAATTTAAAGGTCCCAGAGAATAAACTACACAGAGAACAATAGCTATTGTATTTATTCAATAGGACAGGTGAACTTGCAAAAGTTTAAATACCTGGTCAAGATAGAGATGGCACTGTGGAAAACTTTCATTGGGTTCGCAATAATTCTATTATAAAATAGATTAAGTTAGCACTATGGTAAATTTAAATGGGTAATTATGGTTGCCAACTCCATTGGAAATTTGAATTGAGATTATGACCATATCTTGAGGGAAAGAATTTTTTTGGGGGAAAAAGGGGGGGGGGGGATAAAAAGAAATTGTGGGGGGCCAATTTTTTCTCATTTCAGATTTCAGAAATTAAAAAGAATTATTCTTCAAATATAATTTTTTTTTCAAATTTCAAATATTGAAAAATTTCAAGAAGTAATCTTTAATTGCACAGTATGGCGCATTAGATTTGTAAAATCTTTGATCACATTTATTTATTTGTTATGCCGAATCTAACAGTGTATTTAGATTTTTAATTTTGGGTTAGTTTTCAAATTGGTCTACATTAATGTCCAAAGGGTCCAAAATTAAACTTTGTTTGATTTTAGCAAAAATTGAATATATGAGGTTCTTTGATATGCTGAATCTAAACATGTATTTAGATTTTTGATTTTTGGCCCAGTTTTCAAGTTGGTCCAAATTGGGGTCCAAAATTAAACTTTGTTTGATTTCAACAAAAATTGAATATATGGGGTTCTTTGATATGCTGAATCTAACCATGTATTTAGATTTTTTATTTGTGGACCCCGTTATCTAATTGGTTCATATTGAGGTCAAAAGGGTCCAAAATTAAACTTTGTTTGATTTCATCTAAAATTGAATTATTGGGGTTCTTTGATATTCCAAATCTAACCGTGTATTTAGGTTTTAATTTTGGGTCCTGTTTTTTAAATTGGTCTACATTGAGGTCCAAAGGGTCCAAATTAAACTTAGTTTGATTTTAACAAAAATTGAATTCTTGGGGTTCTATGATTTGCTGAATCTAAACATGTGTTTAGATTTTTGATTATGGGCCCAGTTTTCAAGTTGGTCCAAGATAGGGTCCAGTATTTAAACTTTGTTTGATTTCAACAAAAATTGAATATATGGGGTTCTTTGATATGCTGAATCTAAACATGTATTTAGATTTTTGATTATGGGCCCAGTTTTCAAGTTGGTCCAAATTTGGGTCCAAAATTAAACTTTGTTTGATTTCAACAAAAAATGAATATATGAGGTTCTTTGATATGCTGAATCTAACTATGTATTTAGATTTTTTATTTGTAGGCCCCGCTATCAAATTGGTTCATATTGAGGTCAAAAGGGTCCAAAATTAAACTTTGTTTGATTTCATCAAAAATTGAATTATTGGGGTTCTTTGATATTCCAAATCTAACCGTGTATTTAGATTTTTAATTTTAAGTCCCGTTTTTTAAATTGGTCTACATTAAGGTCCAAAGGGTCCAAAATTAAACTTAGTTTGATTTTAGCAAAAATTGAATTCTTGGGGTTCTTTGATATGCTGAATCTAAACATGTGTTTAGATTTTTGATTATGGGGCCAGTTTTCAAGTTTGTCCAAGTTGGGGTCCAAAATTAAACTTTGTTTGATTTTAACAAAAATTGTATATATGGGGTTCTTTGATATGCTGAATCTAACCATGTATTTTGATTTTGGACATTGGACCATAATAGGTAAATTAAAAAAATTCAAGTTCTTAGACCCCATTCTTTCTGTGTCAGAAACCTATGCTGTGTCAAATATTTAATAACAATCCAAATTCAGAGCTTGAATGTTGTGTCCATACTTGCCCCAACTGTTCAGGGTTCGACCTCTGCGGTCGTATCAAGCTGCGCCCCAGCGAAGCATTTTATTCTCACATTTTTCTACATGATTTAGTCTTAACATTAATTTGAGAATGCTCTACCATGTGATGAGATTTCACATCCATTGCTTTCCAACTTCCTGTTTACCAAACATATATAGGGGTGGTATCATTAGTGTGATGTAGCTCAGAGTTCAACTTGTTTTTACAGAAAATAAACTTTTGTTTAAATGAAATACAGTCTACAAGAAAAATACCAATTTAGAATTGATATGATTTTGTACAAACGCTCAAAAAATTTCAGTAAAACAAGTTTTATAGGTAATCAGACTGCTATTAAATATTTTCTTTGGATAAATCAAGTTTTGATAAAAGGGCTATGTTTTATTTCACAGGTTGAAGTAGAAGTTAGTAGAGATCCAAACAGACTGTTACAGCCAACAGCTGGATGGACTTCACGAACCAAAGATAAGGGGCCGTCTGGAAATGGACCTTTACTACACATACCACACAGGTATCTATAAGATCATTAAAGGAGACATGACACGATTTTTTTTTTTTTTTTTTTTATTAAATCAATAAATATTAGTCTTAAAACATGTTTTGTACAATTTTGCTGGTCAAAACCTGATAAATCAGCATTTTTCTGGTCAAAGAATCCAGCGCTTGTCATTAAGAATGATTTTTAATCAGATAACGATCACGTGATCGTGCTTACGTCAGTGGTTACAAGCTGGGAAAATGTCTCTTAACTGGACGATGTCGATACACTATGGACGGTATTGACAGCACTTTTCCCGATTACTGACAAACTATAAAGACATTGTGTGTGAAAAATAACCAAGAAAAGGATATTAATTCTTCATGCGAAGAGTCCAAAAACGACGATTTTTCAGACAATACCGATCGGATTGTTACCATACATATTTGGTTTGTCTGATGAATAAATTTAATAGACCGCTTTCTGCATTTTTTAATTTAAATAAAACAAGTTTTTAATCATGATTGAAAATATAAATTTCTAATTATTGATGATCAAATTGTTCTTTTTTTCTCTCTCTCTGTTACGGTAATGTTATAATTATGTGTGCGCCAGAAGCAGAAAAAAAAAAGATGGTAAAAGTCAAATTAGGCATTCGCAAAGTGTCCGTTTTAAATTTTTTTTTATTACATAGAGACTTTTAATATGTATAAATTACATGTATCACCAAAAGTTATGCTTATATTTTTTTTTGGTTGGAAACCATACATCACACAAAGGATTTGTATAGTGAAAATCCTTTATCACACTATTTCTGCATTAGGATATTCAATTAACTTTCCCCCTTTTATGACAATTCAATTCAATATTTTATTTACGTCTCATCGGTGTCTTCACCTAATGTATAAAATTAAACAATACAAAACATTTATTGGAGGCTGTTGTTTTAGTGATTAAATGTTGACACCTATAGCATACTTGACCAGGTGAAAGGTAAGAAGGCACCTTGGGCGTGTTTTATTGGTCTCTTCTGCACATCTCCAGAATGTCTTCTGGTGAAGAGTCCAAAAAAATGAATCTGGACCTCTTCTGGAGATATTCTACAGAAGATCAATAAAACAAAAATTCAATTTGCCATCGAATATAGCAGATTTTTGTTAAGTTTTTTTTTTTATCTTTTATTTGTTTTTCAATAGTCAGGATTTAATATACATGTACCCCTACACTACCACCTGACAAGGGTATCAAGGGGTTACATATAAAAAATAATTCAGTATACAATATATATCACTGACAAGTTGATTTTTATAATTATACATGTAGTATTTAAGGTTACATATAAATTTTATTTGATTATATTCTCTCGCTCTCTGACTTTCTCTCATACAATACAAATACTCTTCACTCATTTGCTTTGCTACAATATGTACATGATGTATCTTGACTTACATTTTAAAAACAAAATATTTTAAAGAAAAAACAAAAAAAACAAAAAAAACTCAAGGCTAAATATTTGCTCATGATATATAGATATTTTATTCTCTCACTTATATGAAACAATAATTAATTAAATATTACATGTAAAGGAGACCAAAATTTTTCACACACTTGGACTCTATTATTTTTCTTTGCAATTTAATATTCAAGAAATTGGTATTTCTTTATTCTATTCTTTAACCCAACCATATTTGGTTTTGTTTCATTTAATTTACATTTGTATATATAGTTTTTTGTAATTATGACTAACAGATTCAGTAATAAACTTTCATGTTTGCAACCAAGAAACACATTCTCTTTGTTAAGAACAAAGTTTACAAAAAAAAGTTTTACTGCATTTGAAAAAGACTGCCACAATTGAAAAGTTATTGGGCATTCAAAAAAAAGGTGTTCAATGGTTTCTTCACCAAGTTTACAAAAAGTACACATCTTGGTGTCTTTTAATTTAATTTTGTATAAAAAGGTATTAGTTGCTATGATTCTATGCAAAAATTTGTATTGAAAAGTTCTTAAATAAACATCTCTACATGATTTTTTGGTTATCCTGAAATATTCTGACCATTCTGTTGTATCAATAATCAACAGTTCTTCCCATTTCAAAAACTTGACTGTTGGTAGTTCAATAACTTTATTTACTAAATTTTTATATACAAATTTGGCTTTCACATTACCTATAATTCTCTTTAAAAAAATATCACCATTATCAGGCTTATCCAAATCTTGCTTTAAACAGTTCTCTTTAAGGTATTTTTTCATAGTCTGAGGGATTCTTGAAATCAGACCATGATATTTGATAAAATTGTTGATTTTTACTCTTTCTTGAAATTGCTCAAATTTATAAAAATTCATATTTTCTTTATTAATTAGGTCACTTACTGACTGCACACCTCCTTGTTTCCATTGAATATAATATGGGAAATCATCCAAAGAAGAAAAGTTCAAAATATCTAATGATAAAATGTCACTGACAGAATTCTCAGTATTAGGTTTTGCGATAGAAAAGCATAGTAAAACATCCTTCCAGAAAGGATTTTTACATTTTTTAGAAATCTCAATCAGCTTTTCTCTCTGTAGATGTAAAACCCTTTCACCCCCATACTGTATAAGGTCTGCCAGTAACAACTGCTGCCAGCCACCAACTGGGTTTGACATCAGTCTTTTTATCCAACTAATTTTTAAATAGATATTAAAGGAATGAAGATGTACCATATTAAGTCCACCTTGTGAAATATCACCAATAAGTGTGTTACGCTTAATTCTGTCTGGTTTTCCACTCCATATAAAATTATAAAATAATGAAGTGAGCTCTGTTAACCTGGATTGTGATAGGTTTGGCAATGCAGTCATTAAGTGTACCAATTTCGAAAGAGCAAGTGATTTAACTACTGTAATTTTCCCCAATAATGTTAGTTTACGATGTTGCCAGCTCTTCAGGATTGCAGAGACTTCTTTAATCTTCTTGGCAAAATTAATTTCTGTGATACAGTTTAAATCTAAAGAAAATTCAATCCCCAAAAGTTTAAAATTTGAATGTGACCAATGAAGTTTTAAGTCAGGACAAAGAATCATATCTGAATACTTTTTGTTTCCAACCCATAGTGCTTTTGTCTTTGAAGCATTTATTTTTAAACCTGAAATTTTATAAAAAGATTCAAAACATGAAAGTGTTTCCCTCAACGATATTTCCCTTCCATCTAACATAAGGAATGTGTCATCTGCATACTGGCTTAAAAGTGATTCATTATCATTTACAGTTATTCCCCTTATTTCAGGATTATCTTTTAATTTTAAAGATAGTAATTCAACACCAATTATAAATAAATAGGGTGAAAGAGGATCTCCTTGTCTGCAGCCTCTTTCCAATTGAAAAAACTTAGAAGTATGTCCATTATTTATAACACAACTTGATGCCCCTGAGTATAAAGTTTCAAACCATTTACAAACTGAAGGCCCAAAATTAAAACTTTTTAAAGAATTTTTTAAAAATAACCATTCTAAGGAATCAAAGGCCTTTTCAAAATCAACAAGTAATAAAAGACCTGTCTTATTATTTTCTTCAAGATAGTGCATTAAATCATATAAAAGGCGTGTGTTCTCACCCATAAATCTATCTTTGATGAAACCTTTTTGTGTATCACTTATGACAAATGGTAAAACTGGTTTAAGTCTATTAGCTATAACAGCAGAAGCTATTTTCATATCAGTATTCAAAAGACTAATAGGACGCCAGTTACTTATAAACTGTCTGTCTTTCCCCTCCTTAGGAATGCATGTAATTACACTTTGATACTGAAAATCAGAAAATTTTCCAACCTCGTATCCAAAATGAAGAGACCGAAAGATGAAAGGACCAATATCTTTCCAAAAAAATTTATAAAAGTCTACTGTGTACCCATCAGAACCTGGACTTTTACCATTTGCCATAAATTTTAACGAATCAGCACACTCTTTAAAAGTTAAATTTCCCTCACAAAAATCTCTTTGTTCTTCTGTGAGCTTAATGTTATGATTAAAAAATGATGAATCATCACAATCTAATTTTTTGCTTGAGTATAAATTTCTATAAAAATTTTGTTGTTCCGTTAGAATTTTTGATTGCTCTGATATATGTTGACCTTTATCATCTATTAGTTCTGTTATTGTTTTCTTTATAAAATTTTTCTTTTCTAATTTACAAAAATAATTTGAACATTTTTCACCATTCTCATGCCAGTTAGAGCGGGATCTAAGCAGCAAACCTTCAACCTTCTTTTGTCGACAATTTTCTAGTTCAAGTTTTTTATCAAGTAAAGATTTTTGAACCTCCTCATTTGGAGAATGGTTCATAATAGTTTCTAAATGTAAAATATTATTTTCAAGTTTGAGGGTGAAATTTTTTTCCTCCTTGGATTTATTTATGCTGTAATTTATGGACAAAGATCTAATCTTCATTTTCAATATTTCAAAAAATGTTTGATCATTACATGACAAATCAACAGAAAGAAGATCTTCCATATCACCTGACAGATAGTATTCCAAAATAGTATCCTTAATGCATAATTTAACCTTTTGTATATAATCTGCATCTCTGAGTAATTGAGAGTTAAATTTCCAGTAACTTTTGCCCCGTTTCTCTAAACAAGCTGAGAAGGTGAAAATAATTGCTGAGTGGTCAGTTCTATAACCTGGTATAATTTTAGTATTTTTCATTAGTGAAAAAAGGTCTTCTGAAATTAAAAAATAATCTAAACGACTTTGTTTTATAGGTGAGGACTGACGCCAAGTATATTTCCTATCTTCTGGATAGCATGTACGCCAAGGATCAAGTAGTTCAAAAACATCAATGATTTCATCAAGTTTTTTACGGGAGTTAGGGTTTCTATTATGTTTGATATTATATGTATCCATAAATTTATCTAAAACAACATTCCAGTCACCACATAATAAAACACTTGTGTTTTTAAAGGATAAAATGTTCTGCATTATTATATCAAAGAATGCAGGTTCATCTGTATTATAAACATACAAACAAGTTGGATGACATAAATGAATATGGTTGACTGGTAAGAGCTGAAAAATAGGCATAATTAGCGACAGATTAAAAAAGTTAATAATGCCTTCTTCCCTTTCCCATCCTTCATCTATAAATTTAAACTGACCACCACGGAATAGCCCAACTTAGTGTTGAAAGTAGCGTTAAACACCAATCAATCAAAATCCCTTCCCTAGAATATCAAATAGTCGTCCCTTAACTGTTATTGTCCGTGTAGTTCTTATATTTATCCAGCTTATCGTCCTACAGGGATGTCCTACTAAGACTGTCATACCATGAAAACGTTTATAACACAGCTAACATTCTAATATATCTGCATTCATAAATTTATTAATGTCATTTAGACTAAACAACGCCATGTTTGTTATGTGCCTCTGCCGTCTAAACTACCCATCAAAAAAGAAAAGGTGGAAGAGAGCCAGAAGATCTTCCCTATTCAAAAAAACAGAAATGGACCTCTTCTGGCTCACTACCGAAGAACAAAAAAATACGCCCCCGTAGTGTGATTTAGTCACGTGTTATGTTATTTACCTTTTAAAATCATACATTTCTAAGAAGAACTATCTTATGTTGAAATAGTTAATATAGTTATACTAGACTTCTAAAGTATGCTATTCCATCCAGACCCTTATAAATCTAACTTCAAATTTAAGGAATTACACAGAGTAAATTCAAATTCACTTGTTTCCACCCCTCTCTTCCAAATATCATTTAGCAATCAATTTTTTTATTGCTACCAGCAAAACGCTTGAGTCCAGGAAAAGATTCGCAACACATAATGTTCTTATTCAAAATATTTTTTTCTAAAAGGGGTCATTTGAATAAATGTTAGATTTTCAATCGGACTGAGCAGGAAAATGTTTACATGTAACATACTTCAGTCTTCAAGAACATGAGTTGTGTATTAGCTGTACTTGGCTTTGTTTGATCTAGCTAACAGTATTTGTGCGTTGTCTCTATTGTTTTAACTTTAGTGGTTTCTCTACTTTGTACCGATCTTTTGGTCCGAGTACACAGTTATTTCGTAGTGCATTTCTTTCAGACAATAAATGAAAATTTAAAAAATCCCACCTGCGCTTTCTCAATAATTTTTTTACAGTGTGTTGTACTATTTTGAGACAAATTATATCAAAATTATTGAAAACTTCATCGGCTCTAACTCAAAACATGGACAATTTTATGTTAAGGGGGTCTTGAAATCTTTTGACAGCTTCCAAAGTGCTAATTTTTAACATTTTTCAGCTGGACCAAATCACTACTTTACTTTAAAATTCATGACCCAAATTTTTTTTACAGTGTCATTTCACCACCCCCCCCCCCCCCCCCCTACTTGCTATTTGAGTCATAAAACATGGAGAAATAAATTTGGAAGGGGTATAAAAAAAATTGGCAAGTAACACACTGTCCACACTAGGAACGAAAATCAAAGGACGATAACTGTGTACTCGGACCTTTTGCGTTAGACTGGTTTTTATAGTTCTTATGTACTGCTGTAAGACCACTGTCACACGTTGGGAGGGGGGGAGGGAACCGTAGGCGCTCATAAACATATACCACCGACACATTTTGAATGTGCCTGTCTTAAGTCAGGAGCATATAGATCAGTGGTTGTCGCGTTGATTCGTGTCTGTCATTTTTTTTCTATGGAAATTATTTTGTTATAAATAAGTTAGTTTTCTCGTTAAAATTGTTTCACATTTTCACGTTGAGAACTTTTATAGCCAAATATACGGTATGGGGTTTCTCATTATTGGAGGCCGTACTGTAAACGACACTTTCTTCATTTGTTATAAAGTTTCCATTTTAAAAAGAAATGTTTTTCATCATCTGAATCTTTACCAACTAAATAGTTGTCAATAATTATATTCGATGTTCAATATAAAAAAAATGAGAATAGAAATAGGGAATGTGTCAGAAAAAGAATGTAAAAGACTTATGATTAACATTCTCGTATCATTTCCTTGTTTGCTTTTTATGCTTTTTGTCTAACAATTTCTTATGAAGTTATAGACTTGCAAGCATACAAGAATATTACTTTTCCATCTCAAGAAGTCAATTAAAAAATGCATCTGTTATAAACCTTTTTATATCTGCATATTCTTAAAAGCAATAAAAATAAGATCTATTTAATTGGTAGTGCATAGGGTATTGTATGGTCGTACTACAGGTATTCATTAAACATATATATGATCAGGTAGTTGTACCTGTTTTACTGTACACAACAATAATATATTCCAATCTCACCTGTGCCCTCCGCAAAACCAACATCCAGGATGTACACAAAGAGCTTTTGAAGTAATATTGTGTAATCACTATATGTCTTATCAATCCCCCATGTGGAGTGACACCTGAAGTTTGCAACTTCAAACGAGACCTGAAATTGCGAAACTCAAAAATATGTACCGTATACCTGTGATCTATGATGAACTCATGGCATGGCACCCGATACCCCAACTCTGAATTCCTTATGAAAGTGGGCAGAAAGAAGTGTAGTTTGGGCTTGTTAAAAAGTCCCATCTTTACACCTTCTTAGTCTGCGTGTCATTCAAAAAAAAAGAAAATATCATGTCAATATTCTTTTTAATTATATTGTTGAATCCATCGGCATCACATATAATCATTATTTATCCCTGTCATGCGTTTTGTTGGATAATAATCGAAACTAAATTTGTGCTGTACCCATATGTCAATATGAATGAATGTAACCACTGACGTAGTAGCCTCGTTCTGAGTGACTTCCGTGATGGAAATATGCATATTTGACAGGTCGATAAATCGTTGCATTAAAATCTCATTAAAATACATATTTTCCTAAATAGTTGACGCTTATATTGCTATCGATGTATTTTTGGGGAAAGTTAAGTATAAATAAACATTTTGAAACACAAATTGAAAATCGTGTCATGTCTCCTTTAAACACACCTGGACAAGGAATCAGAGAATAACATTATCAACAGCATTTAGATTTGTTCATTTTTTAGTTGGTGCTTTATTTTTGTACTATGATTATGATTAAGATATGACTAATGAATGATGTGTTAGTTATTGAGGTTCTCAATTTATGCCACTGCTTTTATTGGAGTGAATGCAGGCTAAGACTTTGGAGTTCATAATGTTATATATAAAAGATACAATTGTTTTATACCCTTTGAGTTATTTTTTGTCTCACCTGCCAAAAAAGTTGTGGAAGCCAGCTGTTTTCATCAATGGCAGCATCACCAATTGATAAAGTTTGTTATTAAGTCAGTTTAAGGGGAACCATAAATGACAAGTCAATGATATTTGATATGCAGAAGTATTTGCATTGGCACATTTGATTTCTGTTGATATCATTTGGCCATACCCCAAAGTTATGGTCTTTTGACTAAAACTTTTGCATAGGTATACGGTTGTCTTGGCATCAGCACATGTTAATTCCACAGAGATTGTTTTGCCCCATCCCTTCATTCATTGTCGATTGACTTTAAAACATTTGCATGCTTACATTTAAAGTTTGTGATAAGTTTACCAGTAATAGTTTAAGTGTTAAAAGTTTACATGTTAAAGTGTTGCCATTTAAATTTCAACATTTGCATTAATCTATCAAAATTGAATCTGGCAAGACATATCATTGTGTCAACAGTTTATTTAATAAAAACTTGTTAGTATTTGTTTGCAGGTTAGTATTTGTTTGCAGGGACTAATTTTTTGCTTCTTATTTTAAACAAATTTACATATAAAATTCTGTATATTTTTATCTTTATAGAGCTGTACCATCTTGGCGACAAGGACCATGAGCCTCTAACAAATAGTTTCTGGATGCAGTATACTTATCAGGTCCTATTCTCACACAGAAATATGGGCCTTTCTTGTCAGTGGTGATGTGGGCAAGATATACCAGCCAACACCTGATGCAGGGCATACAACGCATAGAATGTGATAATCAGTCATAATACATTACCAGTCAAATAAAGAAAAAGAACACTTCATTTGTGTGTCATTATTGCCACTTTTTCTTGAAGCAGGGTTATATTAATCCATGTTACTCTGTTCAACATCATTATTAACAAGTCTCACCAGATTTTGATAAATTTTAAGGAATAGGTAAACATTTAAGTTAATGGACATCAACCATATTTAGGATGATACTCAGGGCTCTGATCTACCAATAGTATTTTATTGGCTATGCAATTGGAATTGTAAGTAGTATGGAAAAGTATCATTGTGTACTCTTTCATGACTACAGTTCTCATTGAGGTTTAATGAATTTATATCAAGGGTCTACATCAACAATATCTTTGACATGTTTGAAAATCTTGAGTTTGACAGTATATTTTTGTCTCTTGCCGATGAAATTGAAAAAGCAAGACTTGGGCATGCTGTTTTGGGCATTGGTGGCATCAACAATGTTTAAGTTTGTAATGAGGTCAGTTTAAGGGAAACATAAGTGGTAGGATAATGCTATTTGGTATGCAGTTGTATAAGCATTGGCACATCTCATTTCCATGGCGATTGTTTGGCTCCCCTCACCCTCAGTCATGGTTCATTGATTTTGAATGTTTTGTATTATGTACATACCGGTATTAAAGTTTGTGATTAGATCAGTTTAAGATGAACATCTAATGTTAAGTCAATGAAATTTGGCATGCAGTTGCATTAGCAATTGTAAGTCTCATTTCCATGGAGATTATATGGCTCCACCCCTTCATTATGGTTCATTAACTTTGAAACTTTTTCATAGTTTACAAGTTAAAGTTTGTGTTTGGGTTAGTTGAAAGGGAACCACTTATGATAGGTCAATGGTATTTGGTATGCAATTTTATAAGCATTGGCATTTCACATTTCCATGGAAGTTATTTGGCCCTGCACATTCAGTCGTGGTTCATTGAGTTTGCATGATTTGCATAGTTAACATGTTTAAATATTGCCATTTTAATTTCAACATTTGCATTTTACCATCAAAATTACAGAATGAGAGACATATCTCTGTGTCAATTGTTTATTTAGTGAGTTATGCCCTTTGAAATGCTAATGATACTGACCTCAGCATGAAAAATTGAACCTCACCACTGCATTGTGAAATTGAGGTCAAGTTCTTATAACATAAAAAAGACGGATATATGTTCCACACAACAAAATCATATACCAAATATGATTAACCTATTATATTTACTGAAAACTGACCTTATCCTGATGAAATTGAGGTTGAGAAAATATAACATATGTAACATAGGCTAATACTCCTTGCTACCAATATACATACAATGAACATTAGTTTTGAACTGGGAGAACATGGTTAATTTTTAGCTCACCTGGATCAGAGGGACAAGAGGTTGTCTCATCACTTGGCATCCGTCGTCTTCGTCGTTAACTTACATTTTGAACTTCTTCTAGAGAACCACTGAATGGAATGAAACCAGACATAGCATGAATGTTCCTTATGAGGTGCTGACCAAGTGTTGTTACTTTGTAGCTGATCCATCATCCAAGATGGCCGCCAGCGGGGGCTTCATTTAACAAAGGACCCTATGGACAATACATACAAATGTCTTCTTTTAGAGAACCACAGAATGGAATGAAACCAAACATGGCATGAATGTTCCTTATGAGGTGCTGACCAAGTGTTGTTACTTTGAAGCCGATCCATCATCCAAGATGGCGCAAGAGAGGGACTTAGTTTAACATAGGACCCTATTGGAAATACATACAAATGTCTTCTTTTAGAGAACCCCTAAATGGAATGAAATAAAACATGGCATGAATGTTCCTTATGAGGTGCTGACCAAGTGTTGTTACTTTGTAGGCAACAATCATCCAAGATGGCTGCCAGTGGGGGACTTCGTTTAACATAGGACCCTATGGACAATACATACAAATGTCTTCTTTTAGAGAACCACTGAATGGAATGAAACCAAACATAACATGAATGTTCCTTATGAGGTGCTGACCAAGTGTTGTTACTTAGAACCCGACCCATCATCGAAGATGGCAGCCAGAGAGGGACTTAGTTTAATATAGGACCTGATGGGAAATACATACAAATGTCTTCTTTTAGAGAACCACTGAATGGAATGAAACCAAACATGGCATGAATGTTCCTTATGAGGTGCTGACCAAGTGTTGTTACTTTATAGCCGATCCATCATTTAAGATGACGCCAGAGAGGGGCTTAGTTTAACATAGGACCGTATGGGAAATACATACAAATGTCTTCTTTTAGAAAACTGCTTAATTTATTGAAACCGAACATGGTATTAATGTTTCTTTTGAGGTGCTGACCAAGTGTTGTTACTTTGTAGCTGATTTGTCATTGACCTTATAAAGTCATTTTCTACAATTTCAATGAATTAAATGGTAATTTCTGTAAACTTTACAAAAGTCTTCTGCTTTTGATTAAATTATGGGGCCAATATTAAACCAAATTTGGCCTCAATCATTATAAGGGTATCTGTTATGATTTTAATCTATTTTTACATGATTTCTAAAACCAAAGTAGAATCAGGTGAGCGACACAGGCTCTTGGGAGCCTCTAGTTTAGTTGTTATTGGCTTTGAATTAGCTCTCAGTTACTGTGTGTACTCTTAAATCGGTACTTTGTGTCTTTTAGCTTTTTAGATGAGTCAAGCCATTTTGATCTTTATCAAGTCTGCAACATTTTTGTGTCTTTTAGTCTAATGTTAGTTGCTTTTTGTGCATTTTGCCAATCTGATGAGTCAAGCAATTTTGATCTTTATCAAACCGGCAACATCTTTGTCACAGAAGTGACACATCAATAATTTTGTCAAAACTTCAATAAATTGTAACAGCAAATGTGCAATCAAGAATTTGTTACTTAAAAAAAAAACCTTTAATTGGAATTTTCAGAAATTTTGACAGAAGCTATTTTATGACCAAAAGACAGTATCCGAAGCAAAATTTTGAAAAATATTTATTTTCAATTTGGTCTTGCCTGCAAGACATAAGGATAACAATCTAGCTATGGCGTAAACTATTTGTATAAAGCTTTATATTTCAGAAGGTAGAAGACCTGGATGCTTCATCCCTTGTATGCAGACACCTTATGTTACGAAGTTTCCGTCTGTCATATGTCCATTGTCCTTGACCTCATTTTCATGGTTCATTGGACAATGTTAAGTTTTAGTGGCTTGGTCTTTTTCTCAACATTGTTCCTATTGAATTTTGTTTTTTTTGTGATTTGACAAATAAATACTGGAAAATGAGGATGTATAAATTAAGGTCTTCTTAAATGTATTCTTTAACTAAAAAAAAAATGCAAATTTCAATAGCAACAATGCTAAAAATTTTGTCAGAGATCAACTTTTTATGATTAAATCAGTGTTTATATTGAACAAATTGAAAGTATATTATTGATATTGAATTAATACAACATCACATGCAGTTTTGAGAGTTGATGCATATATTTTCATTTACTTAGAAGATAATTTTTTTACTCAGGTAAATTAATCAATGAGTGATGGATTTCTCTAAGAAGAAATTTAAAGGTCCCATTGAATAAACTACTTACATTAATAGCTATTGTATTTATTCAATGGGACAATAGAACTGACAGAAGTTTTAATACCTTGACCAAGAGGAGATGACTCTGTGGAAATGTTTCGTTTGGTTCACAATAACATAGTGTGGACCAGATCACATCCTGATACTCAACCTGACCACTGGAGCATGAACAAGAAGTGAATGTTACATTTGTTTGTCATCTTAGGTAAAAATGGGGATAATAAAATAAGAAGATGTATGATTGCCAATGAGACATCTCTCCAAGAGAGACCAAATAAAATAGAAGTTAACAACTATAGGTTACCGTAAGGCTTTCAACAATGAGTAAAAGCCATACCACATAGTAAGCTTTAAAAGGCCCAAAAATTACATATTAATCGTATTTGCTAATTATTTCTACTGCCATCATCAGTCACAAAAGTAAAACAAATGTGTTGCCTATATATATATTTAGGTCACGCTGAAATGCGATTGTATGACGCTGAAGTGTCTTTTGTTTTTCACACTGAAGTGTGATGGTGGCATTGTGACGCTATCTTGTTTGCTACGCTGAAGTGCAATGGTGGTAACGATGAAGTGTGATGGACTACATAATCTATATTTTTCATGTTCACGTGCTGATGTAGATTTCAATTTGTTTGTCAGAAGTTGCTTTTTATTTTATTTAAAGGAAAACATAAAGGTATTACCTGTTTAATTTAAAACAGTCATGGTAAATAGTCGTTGCATTTCCAGTCCTAACTGTAACGTTGTTGTGTAATTAGTAAATAGCTTGGACAACAAAAAAGCAATTGCTCAGAAATTGACCACTATAGCTGCTGTGAATTATCACAAGAAATGAGATAGATCACCCGGTAGATGGTTCTTTCTGCAACTGGAGAAACTATTGAATGTTTGGTATTTACATATAACCAACTTTAAAAAACTCTCATAATAGTTGGACATCTGTAGATTTTAAACTAGTAATTGCGTGTCTAATAGATCATCACACATCAGCGAAAGGTCCATTGCACTTCGGTGCAGACCATCGCACTTCAGCGTCCCCATTGCACCTCCAGTCCTACACATATATATATATATATATATTGCAAGTTTCATCAAAGGCAACTGCACAATATATACAGCTAAATGTCCCCACAGACTATCAAGGATGTGACATCAACACCAATTTTCTGAATAAGAAAAAATCTTTTAGTCATGTCACTGATGAGGTTGATGACTTGGAACAGGCACATGAACATGTTGAGGGGTTAAATTAGTTTTTATTGTCGAGCCTGCGACTTTTGTTGCAGAAAGCTCGACATAGGGATAGTGATCCGGCGGCGGCGGCGTTAGCTAACTTCTTAAAAGCTTTATATTTTAGAAGGTGGAAGGTCTGGATGCTTCATACTTTGTATATGGATGCCTCATGTTACGAAGTTTCCGTCAGTCACATGTCCAATGTCCTTGACCTCATTTTCATGGTTCAGTGACTACTTGAAAAAAAAGTTAAGATTTTTTGTAATGTTAGATTCTCTCTTATTATAAGTAATAGGATAACTATATTTGGTATGTGCGTACCTTGCAAGGTCCTCATGCCCGTCAGACAGTTTTCACTTGACCTCGACCTCATTTCATGGATCAGTGAACAAGGTTAAGTTTTGGTGGTCAAGTCCATATCTCAGATACTATAAGCAATAGGTCTAGTATATTCGGTGTATGGAAGGACTGTAAGGTGTACATGTCCAACTGGCAGGTGTCATCCGACCTTGACCTCATTTTCATGGTTCAGTGGTTATAGTTAAGTTTTTGTGTTTTGGTCTGTTTTTCTTATACTGTTTGCCATAGGTCTACTATATTTGGTGTATGGAATGATTGTAAGGTGTACATGTCTAGCGGGCAGGTGTCATCTGACCTTGACCTCATTTTCATGGTTCAGTGGTCAAAGTTAAGTTTTTGAGTTTTGGTCTTTTTTTCTAGTACTATATGCAATAGTTCAACTATATTTGGTATGTGCGTACCTTGCAAGGTCCTCATGCCCGTCAGACAGTTTTCACTTGACCTCGACCTCATTTCATGGATCAGTGAACAAGGTTAAGTTTTGGTGGTCAAGTCCATATCTCAGATACTATAAGCAATAGGTCTAGTATATTCGGTGTATGGAAGGACTGTAAGGTGTACATTTCCAACTGGCAGGTGTCATCTGACCTTGACCTCATTTTCATGGTTCAGTGGTTATAGTTAAGTTTTTGTGTTTTGGTTTGTTTTTCTTATACTGTATGCCATAGGTCTACTATATTTGGTGTATGGAATGATTGTAAGGTGTACATGTCTAGCGGCCAGGTGTCATCTGACCTTGACCTCATTTTCATGGTTCAGTGGTCAAAGTTAAGTTTTTTGAGTTTTGGTCCTTTTTTCTAATACTATATGCAATAGTTCAACTATATTTGGTGTATGGAAATATTTTATGATCTATTTGGCAGTCACACAGGTTTTATTTGACCTTGACCTTATTTTCAAGGTTCATTGCTCAGTGTTAAGTTTTTGTGTTTTGGTCTGTTTTTCTTAAACTATAAGCAATAGGTCAATTATATTTGTTGTATGGAAGAATTGGTAGCTGTACATGCCTGCCTAGCATGGTTCATCTGACCTTGACCTCATTTTCATGGTTCATTGGTCAATGTTTAGTTTACTTGGTTAATGTTAAGTTTATGTGACAGTTGTAATAAAGCTTTATATTTAGGACTATCAACATAATATCAATGATTAGTAAAGAAGGCGAGACATTTCAGCGTGTGCACTCTTGTTCTCAATCAGTGGACTTACAAAAGGTAATACAAGAGTATATATTTAAAACAATTAGTTCAGGAAAAGCACTTTCAACCGGGCACAGGCTGAAACAATGTAGTCTACTATATGAAGCAGAAACAATGTAATAGACATACCAAAAATATTTTACTTCTAAATAAAAAGTAAGAAAACTAGAGGCTCTGATGAGCCTGTGTTGCTCACCTGTATTTATGTGCATCTTTAACAACACTCTAACATTGTAGATTAGAATATAATTAATGACTTGCAGCATCAACTATTTGTATAAAGCTTTACATTTCAAGGGGTAGAAGACCTGGTTACTATATACCATACAGATGGGTATTAATGTTAAGAAGTTTCTGTCTGTCATACAACCATTGTCCTTGACCTCATTTTCATGGTTCAATAACTTCTTCCAAAATCTAAAGTTTTTTGTCTTGTGAATTTTTAAATTATTATGATTTATAGGATAACTAAATTTGATGTACATCATCCTTACAAGGTCTACAGTTCCGTCATCAGGCTTCATACATGACCTCATTTCATGGATCAGTGATCAAGGTTAAGTTTTCATGTTCAAGTCTGTACTCAGATACTATAAGTAGTAGGTCAAATATATTTGGTGTATAAAATAATTGTAACATGAATGGTTATTTTTCCTTTAATCTTCGAGTGAGTTAACTTCGGTTATTTTTAGCAGAGTGCTGAATGATTTTTTAGTTATTGCACTCTCCAGTCCAGCCGTGTGTCGCTTGTCATAGGAAAAGCAAAGAATGGGAGGAGCTTAGACCAGTGCTCTAACTTCCATCTCAAGTTTGTTATTTCACTGTCTAGCTCTGCCTCTTTGGCCTAGTAAACAATGAAATCAATGACCATAAAATGTCCTAATAAATTTTAAACAAAATACATACACAAGTTGTCAACAGTAAATAAAAAAAAAAATCAGGAAAAAGGGGGGGGGGGGGGGCTTGCCTTAAAACTACCCAAACTTGTAAACCTAACCCTAAATTAAAAATGGTTTCCTTTACTTCAAACAAATGAATGCCAGAGGAAAGCTACTAAAAGGAATAACGTGGTCTATAAAAAAAGAGGCGATATTGATAAATTGGTGGATACTTGTTTTTATCGTGTCAAAATGAATATTCCAAAAAATTGTCACTGGATTCTTAGTCGTTTCATTTCCTCAACTTTTTAAAGGTATATCTCGGTGAATTGAGCATGCTTAAAATACTTTTCTCTAATTTTTGTGCTATTTTCACATTTCTTGATCGGTGTGAGAAAAATATTTCTCCTCGCTAGTGAAATATCTGTTCTCGGCAATTGATTAGTCGAAATTTGATTATGACGTTAAAATGTTTTGTTTTCTTCTGAATTTTCCTATTGTGACGTCATGAAAAAAGGAGACCATGTCTGATGACGTCGCATATAAAGAACACAAGTTTCTGAAAATCTTTCAAAAAACGAAGGATAAAAATCATCAGAGAAACAGATTCCGACACCATAACTTGTGTATTACGATATTTCTCGCCTAGCGCTTTAAATAATAAAATTTAACTGTCTCGAGTGGAGAAATATCGTAATACACTTGTTGCAGTGTAGGAATCTATATATCTCTGGATCTTAAACAATCAACAGACCATTTATTAATCGATCATTTTCATGGTGTTGGGAAAGGCAGAAAACCATCACAATAAGTTTTAAAAAGTTTCCTTTGTTTATCTCTTCTAAAACTACACTTCCTATTGGTTTTGAAATCATGCAGTATGGTTTACATCTAACAATATTTTACATCTATCTCCTCAAGAATTTTCGCCTGGAGAGGGGGGCACTTCAGTGATGCAGAAATTTCTCTCTGGTCTTTAAACCATGATGAAAGTATCACGGCAACAATTCATTTACATATACATCTATCATTAAATCAAATCCTACTAAAAAGTCCGTTCCTTGAGTTCATTTTCTGAAAATTAGAGACATTTTGTCATAGAAAGCGACATGTGTCATCGCCCATTTATGTTACAAATCATAAATAGCCACGCCTTACTCATTTACATATTTAATCCACTCAAAACTACGCTTTTGGTACATTAAATATGTTAATTCGTAAAAGGCGTGCTATATATATAACTTGTAAGGTAAACATGTCTGTTTCACAGGTTTCATCAGAACTTGACCTCATATTCATGGTTCACTGTTTAATAATATGTTTTCAAGGTTAAATGCGTTTCTCAGATACTATAAGCAATAGTTTATTTTAGGTCAACTTTATTTGGTATATGGAATGATTGTAAGGTGTTCAAGTCTGTCTGGCAAGGTTCATCTGAACTTGACCTCATTTGCATGGTTCATAGGTTAATGTCATGTTTTCAAGATTAATATAAAAATAAGGAGATGTGGTATGATTGCCAGTGGGACAACTACCCACCAAAGTTCAAATGAAGTGGATGTAAGCTATTATAGGCAACCGTATGACCTTCAACAATGAGAAAAACCCATTCCATATACATTGTAGTAGGCTATAAAAGGCACCACCATGAAAATATGAAACATTTCAATTTAGAAAACTAACAGCCTTATTTATAACAAAACTTTGTGAGCGGTCAACCCTCCCCTAACATGGGACAGTGGTGTTACAGCACAACATAAGAACAAACTATAAAAATCAGTTGAAAAAAGCTCAACTCATCAGATTGATACAAAGCAGAAAAACATCAAACAGAAACACAGACTGGACATTGCAGGTAATTTATCCATCCCTCATCCCTAACAACAAAAACAAAAACACAGACTGGACGTTGCATGGTATTTATCAATTCCTCATCTCTAACAACAAAAAAGACACTAAGTACAGATATGAGAGTAGTAAAGTCCATTTCTCAGAAACGGGGCTTCTGGCGTACACAATTTTAATCCTGGTATCTATGAAGATTTTATATACTATAAGCAATAGTTTATTTTAGGTCAACTTTATATGGTGTATGGAATGATAGTAAGGCATACAAATCTATTTTTTTAAATGTAAAAAGTTAACTGACAAACAGACTGAAGATGGAGCAAAAGTGATGGTAAAAGGGCATCCTGCCTTATAGCCAGGTAAGCTAAAAACAGTATATGTCATCTTCTGGCCAAACAAAAAAAAACCATACTATTTTGTTTTGAACATGTATTGATAATAATCTAAAAACAATTCTGTAAGCTAAAGTTTTAAGGCTTTCCAAATTTTCCTTCCAAGAAATCCACCCATTCTTGTAATGTCTGTATATCTGATAGTGGCTGAAAGAAAAGATATATATATATATGTGTATATACAGGTTAATTTAGGCAAGTTTCAGCTATTATCAAAACTAATTACTGTTAGTATTCTGCTTTCCAATTTAGTTTTATTTCCACTATATAAGTTAATTTACAATTGTGTTGCCAATTTTCTTCATAAATAGTCTTAATATTAATATCAAATAGGAAAAAAAAAACAACCTCTAATTACATTTTCCCCAAAGTAAACAGTTTCATGGAAATCAGTTGACTTAAATTGGTACAATATGAAAAAAATCAATTTGTAACACAAAACAATGGATTAAAAGAGATTCATCTCAAGATCTGTGCAAGTGAATATTTTTAGTGTTTAGTGAGTTTTTCTAACATTACTGCTGAACTTTCAATAATCATGCTCATTAGCACCTGAAAGGTAAGAAGACTGCCAAATGGTAGTTAATGTTCCCTACTGGTTCAACTAAATAGAATATTGAAAGGTGTCACTCTATTCCAACATATTATTTTGACTCTGAACAAACAAGTATTTTCTCTTAATGATAAACTGATGAAAGCTTTTGTAGAAACATGAAATATGCTGTTGAAGTCTTCTGTTGAAGGGGGATTAAACCCATGGCCTTCAGCAGCAAGGTGAGCATGCCACAATGAAACCATTGAGGGATAATAAAAAGTATCAATTTACTGACTGTTTGGTTTAAGTTAAAAGATAACATACCTTACAATCCTCTACATATACATTTGCTGGTAGTCCACTGGTATTGGTTAGTTATCTCCCCTTTAAGTTAAAAGATAACATACCTTACAATCCTCTACATATACATTTGCTGGTAGTCCACTGGTATTGGTTACAGTTATCTCCCCTTTAAGTTAAAAGATAACATACCTTACAATCCTCTACAAATACATTTGCTGGTAGTCCACTGGTATTGGTTAGTTATTTCCCTTTTAAGTTAAAAGATAACATACCTTCCAATACTCTACATATATATTTGCTGGTAGTCCACTGGTATTGGTTAGTTATCTCCCCTTTAAGTTAAAAGATAACATACCTTACAATCCTCTACATATACATTTGCTGGTAGTCCACTGGTATTGGTTACAGTTATCTCCCCTTTAAGTTAAAAGATAACATACCTTACAATCCTCTACAAATACATTTGCTGGTAGTCCACTGGTATTGGTCAGTTATCTCCCCTTTAAGTTAAAAGATAACATACCTTACAATCCTCTACATATATATTTGCTGGTAATCCACTGATATTGGTTACAGTTATCTCTCTTTTAATTTAAAAAATAACATACCTTACAATCCTCTACATATACATTTGCTGGTAATCCACTGGTATTGGTTACAGTTATCTTCCCTTTAAGTATAAGATAACATACCTTACAATCCTCTACATATACATTTACTGGTAATCCATTGGTATTGGTTACAGTTATCTCCCTTTTAAGTTAAAAGATAACATACCTTCCAAAACTCTACATATATATTTGCTGGTAGTCCACTGGTATTGGTTAGTTATCTCCCCTTTAAGTTAAAAGATAACATACCTTCCAATCCTCTACATATACATTTGCTGGTAGTCCACTGGTATTGGTGAGTTATCTCCCCTTTAAGTTAAAAGATAACATATCTTCCAATTCTCTACATATATATTTGCTAGTAACTGGTATTGGTTACAGTTATCTCCCCTTTAAGTTAAAAGATAACATACCTTACAATCCTCTACATATACATTTACTGGTAAACCATTGGTATTGGTTACAGTTATCTCCCTTTTAAGTAAAAAGTTAACATACCTTACAATCCTCTATGTATAGCTGGTAGTCCACTGGTATTGGTTAGTTATCTCCCCTTTAAGTTAAAAGATAACATACCTTACAATCCTCTACATATCCATTTGCTGGTAATCCACTGGTATTGGTTAGTTATCTCCCCTTTAAGTTAAAAGATAACATACCTTACAATCCTCTATGTATACATTTGCTGGTAATCCACTGGTATTGGTTACATTTATCTCCTCTTTAAGTTAAAAGATTACATACCTTCCAATCCTCTACATACACATTTGCTGGTAGTCCACTGGTATTGGCTAGTTATCTCCCCCTTAAGTTAAAAGATAACATACCTTCCAATCCTCTACATATCCATTTGCTGGTAATCCACTGGTATTGGTTAGTTATCTCCCCTTTAAGTTAAAAGATAACATACCTTCCAATCCTCTTCATATACATTTGCTTGTAATCCACTGGTATTGGTTACAGTTATCTCCCCTTTAAGTTAAAAGATAACATACCTTCCAATCCTCTACATATACATTTGCTGGTAGTCCACTGGTATTGGATACAGTTATTTCCCCTTTAAGTTAAAAGATAACATACCTTCCAATCCTCTACATATATATTTGCTGGTAGTCCACTGGTATTTATTAGTGATCTCCCCTTTAAGTTAAAAGATAACATACCTTACAATCCTCTACATATACATTTACTGGTAATCCATTGGTATTGGTTACAGTTATCTCCCTTTTAAGTTAAAAGATAACATACCTAACAATCCTCTAGGTAAACATTTGCTTGTAGTCCACTGGTATTGGTTAGTTATCTCCCCTTTAAGTTAAAAGATAACATACCTTACAATCCTCTATGTATACATTTGCTGGTAATCCACTGGTATCGGTTACAGTTATCTCCTCTTTAAGTTAAAAGATTACATACCTTCCAATCCTCTACATACACATTTGCTGGTAGTCCACTGGTATTGGCTAGTTATCTCCCCCTTAAGTTAAAAGATAACATACCTTCCAATCCTCTACATATCCATTTGCTGGTAATCCACTGGTATTGGTTAGTTATCTCCCCTTTAAGTTAAAAGATAACATACCTTCCAATCCTCTTCATATACATTTGCTTGTAATCCACTGGTATTGGTTACAGTTATCTCCCCTTTAAGTTAAAAGATAACATACCTTCCAATCCTCTACATATACATTTGCTGGTAGTCCACTGGTATTGGATACAGTTATTTCCCCTTTAAGTTAAAAGATAACATACCTTCCAATCCTCTACATATATATTTGCTGGTAGTCCACTGGTATTTATTAGTGATCTCCCCTTTAAGTTAAAAGATAACATACCTTACAATCCTCTACATATACATTTACTGGTAATCCATTGGTATTGGTTACAGTTATCTCCCTTTTAAGTTAAAAGATAACATACCTAACAATCCTCTAGGTAAACATTTGCTTGTAGTCCACTGGTATTGGTTAGTTATCTCCCCTTTAAGTTAAAAGATAACATACCTTACAATCCTCTATGTATACATTTGCTGGTAATCCACTGGTATCGGTTACAGTTATCTCCTCTTTAAGTTAAAAGATTACATACCTTCCAATCCTCTACAAATACATTTGCTGGTAGTCCACTGGTATTGGTTAGTTATTTCCCTTTTAAGTTAAAAGATAACATACCTTCCAATCCTCTACATATATATTTGCTGGTAGTCCACTGGTATTGGTTACAGTTATCTCCCCTTTAAGTTAAAAGATAACATACCTTACAATCCTCTACATATACATTTACTGGTAATCCACTAGTATTGGTTAGTTATCTCCCTTTTAAGTTAAAAGATAACATACCTAACAATCCTCTATGTAAACATTTGCTGGTAGTCCACTGGTATTGGTTAGTTATCTCCCCTTTAAGTTAAAAGATAACACACCTTACAATCCTCTATGTATACATTTGCTGGTAATCCACTGGTATCGGTTACAGTTATCTCCTTTTTAAGTTAAAAGATTACATACCTTCCAATCCTCTACATATCCATTTGCTGGTAATCCACTGGTATTGGCTAGTTATCTCCCCCTTAAGTTAAAAGATAACATACCTTTCAATCCTCTACATATATATTTGCTGGTAGTCTTCTGGTATTGGTTACAGTTATCTCCTCTTTAAGTTAAAAGATTAAATACCTTCCAATCCTCTACATATACATTTGCTGGTAGTCAACTGGTATTGGCTAGTTATCTCCCCCTTGAGATAAAAGATAACATACCTTCCAATCCTCTACATATCCATTTGCTGGTAATCCACTGGTATTGGTTAGTTATCTCCCCTTTAAGTTAAAAGATAACATACCTTCCAATCCTCTACATATACATTTGCTGGTAGTCCACTGGTATTGGATACAGTTATTTCCCCTTTAAGTTAAAAGATAACATACCTTCCAATCCTCTACATATACATTTACTGGTAATCCATTGGTATTGGTTACAGTTATCTCCCCTTTAAGTTAAAAGATAACATACCTAACAATCCTCTATGTATACATTTCCTGGTAATCCACTGGTATTGGTTACAGTTATCTCCTCTTTAAGTTAAAAGATTACATACCTTCCAATCCTCTACATATACATTTGCTGGTAGTCCACTGGTATTGGTTACAGTTATCCCCCCTTTAAGTTTAAAGGATAACTTACCTTCCAATCCTCTACATATACATCTGCTGGTAGTCCACTGGTATTGGTGAGTTATCTTCCCTTTAAGTTAAAAGATAACATACCTTCCAATCCTCTACATATATATTTGCTGGTAGTCCACTGGTATTGGTTAGTTATCCCCCCTTTAAGTTAAAAGATAACATACCTTCCAATCCTCTACATATATATTTGCTGGTAATCCACTGATATTGGTTACAGTTATCTCTCTTTTAATTTAAAAAATAACATACCTTACAATCCTCTACATATACATTTGCTGGTAATCCACTGGTATTGGTTACAGTTATCTTCCCTTTAAGTATAAGATAACATACCTTACAATCCTCTACATATACATTTACTGGTAATCCATTGGTATTGGTTACAGTTATCTCCCTTTTAAGTTAAAAGATAACATACCTTCCAAAACTCTACATATATATTTGCTGGTAGTCCACTGGTATTGGTTAGTTATCTCCCCTTTAAGTTAAAAGATAACATACCTTCCAATCCTCTACATATACATTTGCTGGTAGTCCACTGGTATTGGTGAGTTATCTCCCCTTTAAGTTAAAAGATAACATATCTTCCAATTCTCTACATATATATTTGCTAGTAACTGGTATTGGTTACAGTTATCTCCCCTTTAAGTTAAAAGATAACATACCTTACAATCCTCTACATATACATTTACTGGTAAACCATTGGTATTGGTTACAGTTATCTCCCTTTTAAGTTAAAAGTTAACATACCTTACAATCCTCTATGTATAGCTGGTAGTCCACTGGTATTGGTTAGTTATCTCCCCTTTAAGTTAAAAGATAACATACCTTACAATCCTCTACATATCCATTTGCTGGTAATCCACTGGTATTGGTTAGTTATCTCCCCTTTAAGTTAAAAGATAACATACCTTACAATCCTCTATGTATACATTTGCTGGTAATCCACTGGTATTGGTTACATTTATCTCCTCTTTAAGTTAAAAGATTACATACCTTCCAATCCTCTACATACACATTTGCTGGTAGTCCACTGGTATTGGCTAGTTATCTCCCCCTTAAGTTAAAAGATAACATACCTTCCAATCCTCTACATATCCATTTGCTGGTAATCCACTGGTATTGGTTAGTTATCTCCCCTTTAAGTTAAAAGATAACATACCTTCCAATCCTCTTCATATACATTTGCTTGTAATCCACTGGTATTGGTTACAGTTATCTCCCCTTTAAGTTAAAAGATAACATACCTTCCAATCCTCTACATATACATTTGCTGGTAGTCCACTGGTATTGGATACAGTTATTTCCCCTTTAAGTTAAAAGATAACATACCTTCCAATCCTCTACATATATATTTGCTGGTAGTCCACTGGTATTTATTAGTGATCTCCCCTTTAAGTTAAAAGATAACATACCTTACAATCCTCTACATATACATTTACTGGTAATCCATTGGTATTGGTTACAGTTATCTCCCTTTTAAGTTAAAAGATAACATACCTAACAATCCTCTAGGTAAACATTTGCTTGTAGTCCACTGGTATTGGTTAGTTATCTCCCCTTTAAGTTAAAAGATAACATACCTTACAATCCTCTATGTATACATTTGCTGGTAATCCACTGGTATCGGTTACAGTTATCTCCTCTTTAAGTTAAAAGATTACATACCTTCCAATCCTCTACAAATACATTTGCTGGTAGTCCACTGGTATTGGTTAGTTATTTCCCTTTTAAGTTAAAAGATAACATACCTTCCAATCCTCTACATATATATTTGCTGGTAGTCCACTGGTATTGGTTACAGTTATCTCCCCTTTAAGTTAAAAGATAACATACCTTACAATCCTCTACATATACATTTACTGGTAATCCACTAGTATTGGTTAGTTATCTCCCTTTTAAGTTAAAAGATAACATACCTAACAATCCTCTATGTAAACATTTGCTGGTAGTCCACTGGTATTGGTTAGTTATCTCCCCTTTAAGTTAAAAGATAACACACCTTACAATCCTCTATGTATACATTTGCTGGTAATCCACTGGTATCGGTTACAGTTATCTCCTTTTTAAGTTAAAAGATTACATACCTTCCAATCCTCTACATATCCATTTGCTGGTAATCCACTGGTATTGGCTAGTTATCTCCCCCTTAAGTTAAAAGATAACATACCTTTCAATCCTCTACATATATATTTGCTGGTAGTCTTCTGGTATTGGTTACAGTTATCTCCTCTTTAAGTTAAAAGATTAAATACCTTCCAATCCTCTACATATACATTTGCTGGTAGTCAACTGGTATTGGCTAGTTATCTCCCCCTTGAGATAAAAGATAACATACCTTCCAATCCTCTACATATCCATTTGCTGGTAATCCACTGGTATTGGTTAGTTATCTCCCCTTTAAGTTAAAAGATAACATACCTTCCAATCCTCTACATATACATTTGCTGGTAGTCCACTGGTATTGGATACAGTTATTTCCCCTTTAAGTTAAAAGATAACATACCTTCCAATCCTCTACATATACATTTACTGGTAATCCATTGGTATTGGTTACAGTTATCTCCCCTTTAAGTTAAAAGATAACATACCTAACAATCCTCTATGTATACATTTCCTGGTAATCCACTGGTATTGGTTACAGTTATCTCCTCTTTAAGTTAAAAGATTACATACCTTCCAATCCTCTACATATACATTTGCTGGTAGTCCACTGGTATTGGTTACAGTTATCCCCCCTTTAAGTTTAAAGGATAACTTACCTTCCAATCCTCTACATATACATTTGCTGGTAGTCCACTGGTATTGGTGAGTTATCTTCCCTTTAAGTTAAAAGATAACATACCTTCCAATCCTCTACATATATATTTGCTGGTAGTCCACTGGTATTGGTTAGTTATCCCCCCTTTAAGTTAAAAGATAACATACCTTCCAATCCTCTACATATATATTTGCTGGTAGTCCACTGGTATTGGTGAGTTTTCTCCCCTTTAAGTTAAAAGATAACATACCTTCCAATCCTCTACATATATATTTGCTGGTAGTCACTGGTATTGGTTACAGTTATCTCCCCTTTAAGTTAAAAGATAACATACCTTACAATCCTCTACATATACATTTACTGGTAATCCATTGGTATTGGTTACCGTTATCTCCCTTTTAAGTTAAAAGTTAACATACCTTACAATCCTCTATGTATACATTTGCTGGTAGTCCACTGGTATTGGTTGCAGTTATCTCCCCTTTAAATGGGTAACCAGGGGGCATCTTCAGTGTAAACATTATGGTGCCTCCTTTACCAACTAACACTCTTACAAGGCCTTCATCTTGTATCCAATCAACAGCATGACTACAAGTCAAACTTATAACATCAACAACATGACAAATAAATTTCATTTTCAACAAGATGACACATTACTTTCAATGTCAACAATATGACACATAACTTTCGATATAAACAACATGACACATAACTTTTGAGGTCAATAACATGACAAATAACATTATTAATGTCAACAACAAAAGTTTCAAGGAGAAGGAAAAGATTTTTGCAAAAGTTTAGAGACGACAAGGGATGAAACATGCTAATTGATAGCAATAGCTTACACTGACCCTTTGGACCAGGTGAGCTTAAAATGATGAAGCATGTTTCTACCATTGTTTTCAATGTAGACATGAATATTACATTGAGCATAATCTGTAAAAAAAGTTTGTAGGCATGGTTTCAAAATGTTTTTCTGTCAACATGACATGTTTTCTATAACATTTTTTAATTTTTGTTTGTTTTGCAACAAAATAAATTCAAGCCAACTAGGTAACCACTTGGGATCAAATGCAAGGAATCTCTTCAAAACTCATGGAAATGATAACTTTGATTTAGGCTCTGTTAACAGACTGTAGCTGATACATTGGTATTAGTTTTGTTAACTCACAATGCATCCTTTAAAGAAGACTTAAGCTATTTTAAGTGTTTACTTTTGTTTTTAAAAGCATACATTTTCGAATACTGGATTCTTTTTTCAAGTTTCTACTTTTGAGAAGCATAAAATAATGGATTTATCTTTTCTATTTAATTTAAAAGCATTTGGATGTACAAGTAAGTTTACACAATCTCACTTGAGTGTATGTAAAAAAGAGGAGGGTATTTTGTTAAATGTACCCTCAGTTTTATATGTTGACCTATATGATACATAATAAACAGTAAGGATATCATAAAACAGAAATATGGAAAAAAAGATATTTTATTTAAAAAAAAAATCATGTACATGACATATACATATAAATACAGTAATACATAAATACAAAGGGATTCGGAAACAAGGTTTCCCTTACTGTAAACCAACTAATTTTCACGAGCCATTTATTTTCGAGACTTTCACGAACACAAAAATAACGCAAATATAAATCGTGGTGAATATGTAAAACTTAGATCTTTTTTTAAGTAATTACATCAAGTAAATTTAAAAATCGCAAAATTTAATCTCAGCAAAGTGGACTTGAAAGGGCAAAAAGAGATATAGAGTATCCGCGAAAATAAATTGGCTTACAGCATATTAATCCGTCTCCCTGTCAAAAAATTCTTTCAAACAGATATGGATGTTTAGATTTCAAATTTTGTTTTAATGAAACAAGTGCCAAGCCTGTAATTTTTACCTTTCAGAAACTTTGTCAATTTCTGTCATGATAGGATAATACATGTTCCATCTTTCTCTCAGCTGTGTGATCAGTGATCTTACATCATTAGTCCTCACTGCTTCCTCTATCAAGTCTGTACAATGTAATGTTTCTATATTCACCTGTATAATATATTTAATATAGTACCTCACACCTGTAAAACTAGATAATGCCTGCCATACAGTAGCAACATACCAGTACATAGCCAATATAACTAAAATCTTTGATAACCCCTTTTTAAAAAAAGAGAGGCTCTAAAGGCTCAACAATGGACACTCTCCAACACTGTAGACGAGAATAGAATTCATGACAAAAATCTTTGTTTTGTTGATCTTGTATTAATGATCATTTAGTATGTTTAGTTTCTCTCTATCTTCTTTAGTGTTTGCTCAAAACACATAAGAGGGTAAAAAAATCCTGATCTAAGGCAGGGCTTCCAAAAAATATTTGAGCCAGCCGGACATTTTATATCTTATCCCGATTTTAATCCCTTAAGACTAAGTCACAAAAGGCAATTATGGTAATTATGGTAATCAGATGGCCATCCCAATGATTGACATTAGATTAAAAAAAAAAACGATATTAAACTTTACTTTGATGTGAATTTGATGTTCGGACGTAAACTGTTAAATTGGCCGTGCATAATTGGAAGTATGCACATCAGTGTGCTCATAACTGCCTTAGACTCTTTATTTGTGCAAAATTACGTTGTCAAAAACTTTACTTTCGTTTTTAAAATCACATTTTCCTGATACCGGATGTTGACCTGACAATGGTAAAACATGGACCAGAAACGGATACGTAAAATACGTGTACGTTTACAAAGCACGACTGAGTGAAGTAGCTCTTTCCACGTTATTTCTTCAACAAAATACTTGAAATGAACGTTAGTTACAGGTATCAATGATAATTTTTATCATTTTTTAAGAAATGTAGGATGCATAATTAAATTTCCCTACTGCGCACATGCGCACACGTGTTCTAGTTCATACAACGTAGTTCTTACGATTTTTCATTTAAAACCTTTTTAAATTTTTCATCAAATCATGTTTATAAACGTATTTCTTATAATTTCAATCTTTTGGACTATATCAATTAGATAGAAACCGCTGAAATGTAAGAAATTAACTTTGAATAGACCGATCAATTTATACGATGTCCGGTACTGGAAATAGTTTACCTGTCACGTGAACAGGTAGATTTCAGCTGTCCAACAACTAATTAGCCTTGATTAAAATTAGAAAGTATTGAAGTAGGGGTTGTTTTGATATTAATTAATCATCATGTCACTTTTATGACCGGAAATGTGTGGCTGTTAAAGGCAAAAGGTTGAGTCAAAAAGATAGCGAATTATGCTAAAATGACCGTCTCTTAAAAAAGCCTTGACAACTAAAAAGTAGATGACCGTTTCATGCTTTGCCCAGCCGGACTTTTACCGGACATTATACAATTGTCTGGAATATATGACCGTTTTGGAAGCCTTGATCTAAGGGCAATCACTCATATAAAGAGTGACAGTCTACTAACTATATCGGCAAATTTTGACTTGTAAGTAGATCTTGCCTTGCTGATCATTTTTGTGATTTAAAGTGTCTATTTACCTATTTCAATTTTTATCATAAAAGGCAAAACGCAAAAACAAATGTAAAAATCATCATTAAAGGGCAATAACTCAATAAAGAGATGTCGGACAAATTCCTCCATATTGTCTTAATTACAGATCTTGTCTTGCTGATCATTTTTGCTTATTTAAGTTTCTATCTATCTATTATAATTTTTAAGATATAAGGCAAAAACGCAGAAAAAGGGCAATAACTCTAGTAAGTAGTCAACTGACGATTTCCACCATGCAGACATATTTTTAGATCTGGTCTTGCTGATCATTGTAATTTAAAGTTTTTTTCTATTCTATTATAGTTTTCAAGATAATAGGCAAAAATGAAAAAAAATTGAAAATTTGTCATTTAAGGGCAATAACTCCTATAAGAAGTTGTCTGTCAGTTTTGACGTATATGGACAATTGGTAGAGCTCTACATTTTGAACGTTTTTGCCCATGTCAGATTATCTCTTTTTATAACGGTTTTCAAAATAATAGACAAAACTTGCATTTTACCCCTATGTTCTATTTTAAGCCATGTCCGCTATCTTGGTTGGCAGACAGGGTCATCGGACACATTTTTTAAACTAGATACCCCGATAAAAATTGTGGCCAAGTCTGGTTAAATTTGATCCAGTAGTTTCAGAGGAGAAGATTTTTGTAAAAGTTACCAGACGACAAGGGACGCCAAGTGATGAGAAAAACTCACCTGGCCCTTTGGGGCAGTTGAGCTAAAAAGGAATTGCTTACCCTTCAAGAGCACCTGAGATTACCCTGTTTTATGAAGTTAATGTTGCTCAGTCTTTATTTTTCTATATAGTGTTTTGTGAACTTGTTTGTCTTTCTTTTTAAGCCATGGCACTGTCAGGTTCTCCTTGAGTTTTGAATGTCCCCTTGGTATCTTCAGCAACTATTTATAACATTGAGATAAAAACACTATTGAAATGCTTCAGGTCATCTAAAGGCTACTTACATCAGCATAACTAAGTTTGACATGGCCATACTCATCCTGTCTCAGCGTCATTGTAAGGTATAGTGTAGCTTCTGTCTGGGAAGTGTTTACAAATTTTATTTTGATTTGATTGTTATCTGCTGGACACTCTTCAATTCCACCAAGTCTTTGCATTTCTTGTAGCAGTTTTTTTAAACTGGAAGAACAATAAAAGGCACAGAGGTGTGAATAATAAAATCAACAAAACATATATCAATATGTATGACTTGACTGAAACAAAACATTCTGGAAGTATCACAATTATAAATCCTTGTGAAACCAACCATGGTCAATAGAATCAAGCAATTTAAGAATTTCAGACTATTATGCAGGTATGCAATAAATTATCTAATTCATATCTTTTATAAATAAGTTATTATGCATACATAAAATTGTCATTTATTCATACTTAGCTAAATCCTCTTTTGCAAGGAAATTCTTGACTTGTTGTTCCTTCTGGATATTAAGCTTCCCGTCTTTTTCATTCTTCATTCTCCTTGAAACTGTTTGTACTAAATCTCTATAATTCTGTATTTGTTTTACCATAGCCTCTTGTGTTTTTCTTCCATTTTGAATTTCCTTATCTAATTTGTCTATTTGCTCTCTCTGTATAAAATGTTGAGAATAAGAGTTATGCCAGTAGTGAATGACATGCCAATCTTCTCTCCTACTTATTGTTAACTGTGGAATTATTCTGATATAAAAAAGTCCTAAATCTATTGAACTATAAAATCGTAAATCTTTAAAATCATAAAAGAACTTGTTGTCATGAAACACTATATACAAATTTTGAAAATTCCCTTCAAAGCAAACTTGATTAAAAGAACTACTTGTAATTAATCCGTTCTTTGAGAGTAGTTAAACTTAAAATCTGAAAGCCTTTAAAATCAAAAGAAAGTCTCTCTTCATGGAATCAAACATAGGATAAACATTTCAAAAGATGAATTTTATCAGAAACATACTTGGAATTGTTTAAATAATTATTCTGGAAAACAAATTAAAAAAAACATCAAAATTAAAAGCAACTTGTCTTAAAGGGGCATTAGCTGTCAAATTCATGTTCACTGATTTGACTCAAATTCCCATATTTGATTTATAACATACTAAAACCAAAATCCAAATTACAAAAAATCTAAAATAAACAATTAGCAATGCATGCACTCGATAATATGTATCAACATATTGTGTGTATTTTTGTCTAGACGTCATCTAATTAACCATCGAGATGACCTCCGAAGACTGCTGACAGTCATATAACCCGATATAAACATATGGTTCATCCTTGATTCACTTTCAATGTTGAAATTCTTTTCCTTTTAATAGCTGAATACATGCGTAACCCATCTCCAGCTAAGGGGTTAAATTGAAGGTCACATGAATACGGATTCAATGAGGTCTAATTATTCCCTTGCAAGTGAATAATTCATCAGCGATGTTTCTTTGCTCATTTTGACAAAATTTAACCAAATTGGCTGCTAAAAGTGAATTATTACTTCACTATTTCACTTATATTAATGATTGAACAAACAAAAATCATATTCTATTTTTTTTTTTATATCTTGTTGCTAATGCCCCTTTAAGAAACCAAACCTTGCAAAGACTTTTGTCATGTTGATATTACAGAATCTAACAAATGGATTCAATTTTCTAGCTCAAATAATCAGAAAAATTTATCTACACAACTGTGCAACAAGTCAATGATCTATGAAATGTAGGTAAAATAGGGACACTTGATAAGAAACTTCTCAAATCCCTCATAGCAAATAAAAGTAAGGCAGAGTTATCTCCCTTTTCTTGACGCTACAGGCTTTTAAAAGACTCCTAGATGTATGACCATATCAATTGCATGAAGATAATCATTGAAGATACTTAATATTCAAAAACTAAACTCAGAAAACCAAAGTGAATAAAATATGAAATGATGGTTAGAGTTTTTGATAGGAAGATGACAGTCTCTAGTAGATGTAGTAAACAGGATGAGGATGAGCAATAAATCTCTAAAATACATCACACAGTAGAGCATGCTCATATGAAGCTGGATACCAAATTTTACAAATCTCTTATTTGACAATGAGCAAAACATGACCAAAATTTTAAGGGAAGGAAATACGGACAAATGTAAACCAGTTTATCCCCTCCTTTTTTGGAGAGGCAATATAGAAAACCCAAAGTAGGGATCTCCATGGAGGAAAATTTAATGATGGAGGAAATTTCACCATGACAAAACCCCACGTCTACAGCGTGGAGTGATCGAAGATTTCATTCCCCCATTTCCATTTAAGGAATGGTGAACAGACTGATATATTGCTTATTATGTTTATTTCATCATAGAATAACCAATATAATAAAATTCTTCATTAATTGTCATTTGTAACAATTCCAATGCCAAGCCTGCATGGCTGACCCTTAGTCAAGAATGACCACAAGCTGTCCTTGAGGTTCCCAAGTCGTTTTCTTGCTATTTTGGTAATTGTTTAGGGCTTAAAAATCTGGGGGATCTTTTTTTCACTGTCAAAGTCAGAAGTCATGAACCAGTATCAACGATTTGCAGCATCAACAACAAGAAGTTTCGTAACTGTTTTGTGAAACATTGAAGAAAGATTTGGAGGGCAAACGTTTACAACTTAAAAGGTTTTAATGACTTTAAATTGCAAATTTCATAGTAATATACTGTGCAACATGCATCTTTTGATTCTGAATTCAATCCGGATGTATCAATTTGATTGTAAACTACGAAATGAATTAGGAATTAAGATACAAAATTTCTTCAGATTGTCAAGTTGCAGTTAATCAGTTAATATCCATGCATTTACTTTTAAACTTGTAAAGTGATTCACTTTATCTATAATTGCTATACTCGTGTTATTTGGCATGAAATTATGTTCTGTTTTACGTCTTATTTTGAACTCTTTTATAAGGGGGGATGCTCAATGCGTAGGTCATTATAAAAGCATGTATTCGACTTGTTAAACGTTTTCTTCGTAACTGGATTAATTTATTTTTTAATCTAAATTTTCATTAGCATTTGCTGAAACTTTATTAAATAATGCAGTCAATCCTCAATCTTGATCTAACGATCTCCTGTCAGGTGTGTTGATATACCTGTACAAGTGATTAGCGATCTTCTGTCATATATCCCTCAGGGCTTTTAGACCCTTTGGATTATATAAAATAAGTCTAAGGGTTATGCAGTTACATGCAATTGATTATAATTGCTATCAAAAATGGCGGCGGCTAGCAAGACTAAAACAAATTTTGATAATGCTGGGATCATTTGACGATGGGGAAAGATAATTTTATGATGGCAGAAGATATTTTAACGATGGCGGTGCGCCATCATAAAACAGGTCATGGAGATCCCTGCCAAAGCAATATGTGCATGTCACAGTTTTACTTTGAGTTAGATTCAGATGTTAACTGAAGTCTATGAAACAATGTATATCAGAGTGGCTTAGTTTTGAGAAATGTTCACCTACACCTGTCCACACATTTCAAAAGTTGCTTGACTGTTCCTTCCTTATTATCTGATCTCAATTGTTAAAGTCCAATGAAGCATGAAATTAATATCAATTATTCCACTTTTTGAGGTTTACCAGACAGTTTCCATCTTTTATCAACAAATGTCTCTAAACACACCTTTATAAATTGTTAACTTAATAATTGTACCGTAGGCTAGAGACCTTTTCTGTACAATAACCTTGATTTGATTTGTAACACACCTTTTTAATTTTTACTTCTTCTAGAGTACCATCAAGAGAACAAGTCCCACCGATAGCTTTCATTTTTTCTTCATATTGTTTCTTTATCTGTTCTGCCCGTGTCAGCTAAAAGTATATAAATCAAAACAAGATTTATGATATACTGTAAATTCAAAAATTGTTGCAAGGTTTTTAACAATGCGAATAATATGACAAAGTGAGTATCACAATAATAAGAACTGGCATTCTGATATTCTTAAACATATATCGTATTCCTGAAATCGAAATAATCTCACATTTTTGTCCATTTTTCAAAAATCGATACATTGTTACTATTTATATCATAAATACCTTTTCTCCATCTTCTGATATTTTATTCTCAAGATCTTCAATGTTCTTCAGTAAAAGATTGTGACCTAAATATACAATTACATTTAATATCACTACAGGCTGACCAGCTCTTGTTGCAAACTTCTCTTAACAGAAATTACATCTATCAGGACCACCAGAATTCCCCCATTTGGCATTTGTTGTCAAATTCTGTGATTAATAAGTCATTTGATTGATTGCTGGTGTTTAATTCATTTTCAGCACTATTGCCTCTATCGTGGCAGTCAATTTATATTGGTGGAGGAGGTAAGTGTCTGGAGAGAACCACCAACCTTCATTAATTAGTAATCCTAGTGGCAGTCAGTTTATATTGGTGGAGGAGGTAAGTGTCTGGAGAGAACCACCAACCTTCATTAATTAGTAATCCTAGTGGCAGTCAGTTTATATTGGTGGAGGAGGTAAGTGTCTGGAGAGAACCACCAACCTTCATTAATTAGTAATCCTAGTGGCAGTCAGTTTATATTGGTGGAGGAGGCAAGTGTCTGGAGAGAACCACCAACCTTCATTAATTAGTAATCCTAGTGGCAGTCAGTTTATATTGGTGGAGGAGGCAAGTGTCTGGAGAGAACCACCAACCTTCATTATTAAGTAATCCTAGTCATTTGAAACGAAACATGCACTTAATCGGTAACAATTTAATACCGGTACTTATAAACTAGAAAACCATCATGTCAGCAAGAACCTGACTTGCACATTTTTGTGGACTGATGCAAACATAGCAAACGTTCATGAGATAAATTCTTATAAAGTTTGACCCTAGGAATAAACTTAGAATGTGTTCTACATAGATACCAAGTTTTGTTTAAATCTGAGTACTATGAATGTATTGTATTATTATGACAGCAGTTTAAAAAATGAATGACTTACAACACTGGGTATCAATTTTGAATAGCACATACATTATACCTATATCTATCAATTATTGTTGAAATCCAATTACAAATAAATATTTCCAATAATTTGTGATTATTAAATAAAAACTAAGGTTTTACCATATATTATTTTGGATTGTCACAAAAATCAATTAAAAAAATCTGTAATTTGGAATATCATTTCATACCTTTAAAATGACTTTTTCCTACCCTGTCACAATTTAATTATCTTAAAATTTGTGATTTTTTTAAACAAAACTAAGTTTTTACCATAATTTTGTTTCCAATTTTCACAAAAATAAAAAGAGGCCTTTGTTTTATAGTTAATTCAAAGTAATACTATAATGTCCCTTTGGTATCTTTTCCTCTCTTTTGCCTGTAAATGGTCTGTAAACTAAAACATGGTTGCCCTTAAGTGGAGTGATATTTTCAGCTGGAAAAATATTTAAAAAAATCATGAATATCTGCTGTAAAAGCTACATTGTATACACAGGAAAATTTGCTCAGATGGGAGATAACTCCTATTTAAATTTTAATGTTAAAATATTGAAAACATAATACTAAAATGTGTACCTCCTTCTGCTAACTCTAACAATTCATCAATCTGTAACCTTTCTTCCATTATCTTCTCTTTTATTTCACTACATTTCTGTGCTGTGTTTTTATACTGTTTAACTAACAGAATAGTAGTATATACAATCATAACATGTGAAATACTAATACAATGAGAGAGATAAAATCATAACATGTGAAATACTAATACAATGAAAGAGATAAGATTAATTATATTGTACCAATATTATCTGGAGGTCTACATGGAAACTAGCATAACAGTCATCAAAGAGAGTCTTTTTAGTATACATCATTTTACATTTAGTTTACCTCCATAGTATACTTATAGAAATCATGTTATTGACACAGCATTTACTTAGTTTTAGAGAGCTATGAAGTATATTATAATGAAATGATGCTTTTTTATTAATAATAGAAGATAACTTATCTGTCCATCATCTGTTAAATGTTAATTTTCTCTTTCCTGATAAAAGAAGGACCAACAAAGAACAGACTGGAAAACATAACTATTGTAGGGGCATAAAAACATATTTATTGTAGGGGCATAAAAACATATTTATTGTAGGGGCATAAAAAATGCTGTCTAAGATCAATCCTATAACAATTCATTCCATAATTTTAGTACAAAAAGAGAGAAGGAAGACATTTACATTCCAAACATGTTTGCACCGTCAGATTTTCTGTAGATATCATGGTTTTCAAGAAACAAATGTATAACACAATCAACTACATTTTAGTCATTTGTTCTACATAGATATAAGAAGATGTGGTATGAGTGCCAATGCGACAACTCTCCATCCAAGTCAAAATTTATAAAAGTAAACCATTATAGTATATCTACATGTATTTTTCAGTCATGGCTACCATAATCAGGAATAATATATGTAATGCAAAATCAGATAAACAGAAAACACTTTTGTACAGTCTGATAATACAATGTACTAATATTTTGAAAAGAATCAGTACAAATATCCACAAAATTATATAAATATGTTTACCCATTTCTTCTTCTTCTTGTTCTGTTGGCCATGTGTCTTGGTCCTGCTGCAAATACTGATAAAACAAAAGCTTCTTTCCTTCTGAAGTGCAGTTAACCTTTAATTCTGGCTTAATCTGAAAAAGGATATTTCACCTTAACAATTCACCAGTCAAGCTGCTGACTAAATATGAAGTCATTCTGTTCAGTAGTTTCTGAGAATAAGTTGTGATGAAAATATTTGTTGGGTGGACAGACAAGGTGATTGCAATATAGCCCCAACTCCTAGATTCAGGTATAATATTTGAACAAGAAAACACTCTACTTTGATATTGGAAATGTTGATGTTTAAAGAATTGACTAAATTAACAATAAGGGTTAAAAAATTCTGAGGGACATAGATTAAAGATGAAAAACTTGAGTTATCAAACTTCAATTGAATTTCCATAGTAATTTCAATTTTCAATTTTATTATAATTATTTACACAGATGGAGAAAAGTAAGTGAACCAAAAATTATAAATCATGAAACATTTTGTGTCTAGTTGTAGACAACTCCTAGATGTTCCAGCATATAAATTACACAGTGGTGCTTTTTTACAATACTATCTGTTGAATCTTATAAATGTTTAATTTAATTTAATCTTTTGTATGTTTTTCTATTCCATGTTTAATCCAACCACAATTTTTGTGCGCCTGTCCCAAGTCAGGAGCCTCGTTTCAGTGATTGTCCTTTGCGGCTGTCTACTCTATTTGTTTTTTGTTTATTGTTTTTAGCATAAATATGGTTGCTGGTTTTCTCTTTTGAATTGTTGTCCCTTTTTTATACTGGGGCCTTTTACAGCTTACTATACAACATGGGTTTTGCTAAATTTTAGAGGCCATACAGTGACCTATATATCCTGTCCTTTGGTCTCTTGTGAATACTAGTTGTCTCATTGGCAATCATACCACATAATGTACATGTATTATCTCAAACACAATCTTGTGTAATAAGTTATTACCCTTCTTTAGTCATATGAGTGTTTCTTTTGTCATGTGCTGAATACTGGTGATATGTTATGTATAATAGTTATATCTTACCATCTGTGATCCCATAAGTTGTTCAGATAAATCAGACAATTCATTTTCATTTGGAATATCAAAAATCTTTTTTGACCTGTATTCCTCAAGGATTCTAAATTGAAACAGAAAAGTATACATTTGAAAAGTTTAGTCTTATCATGATAATGGACCATTTAAAGTTGCACTGCACTGCATTGCAGAATAAATGTGGATAGTGTCCACATGTGGACACAGATGATACCCCCACTTGCATATCATATAGTTATAAAGGGACATAACTGAAGAACGGTAAAAGTGACGCTACCCAAATTTATACTTGATCTGAGTTTTGTGGTAATGAATATTGTGTATAGGTTTCATAATGTTTGGTTGGGGCAAACTGAAGTAACAGAATGGAAACTAAAAATTTTTTTTTCCTTTTTTTTTCTTTAAAATTTTCCATTTTAAATTGGTTACTTCTGATTTATATATAAAAGCAAATAATAATGATATGGTTTGAATAGGTAAATTAAAAAATTTTAAGTTCTTAGACCACATTCATTCTGTGTCAGTAACCTATGCTGTGTCAAATATTTAATTACAATCCAAATTCAGTGCTGTATCAAGCTTGAATGTTGTGTCCATACTTGCCCCAACTGTTCAGGGTTCGACCTCTGCAGTCGTATCAAGCTGCGCCCCAGCGGATCATTTTATTCCATTTATAAAGGGGCATAACTCTAGAACGGTTAAAGTGACGCCACCAAAATTCAAACTTGATCTGTGTTTTGTGATAATAAGCATTGTGTATAAGTTTCATTACATTTGGTTGAGGCAAAACTTAAGTTAGTGAACGGAAACAAAAAATTTTGCAATTTTTCTAATTATAAAGGGGAATAACTCTAGAACGGTTAAAGTGACGCCACCAAAATTCAAACTTGATCTGTGTTTTGTGTAATAAGCATTGTGTATAAGTTTCATTATATTTGGTTGAGGCAAACTCAAGTTAAGAGAACAGAAACCAATTTTGGGGCGTATGGACGGACGTACGTACAGACGGACAAGGGTAAAACTTAATGCCCCCTCCGCTACGCGGGGGCATAAAAAAAAGATAGACAAACCTATTTTCAGTCAATACTTTTGTCTTTGAAGAATGATAGATAAGATTCTTGAACCAATCATATGATATTGTGTTTTTATCATATGATATGATTTCAGTTTCCTTTGCTCACTTTTTTTGCAAAATTTAAAGAAATTTTTTTTTTTTCCAATCATACTCTCCATATTCCATCTATCATGTCTATGTGAGGAAAACTTCAATATGTAGAATACATTTGTATAAATAACAAATATTATATAATTAGAGAATTGTTTGATCAAATTGAAATTTTATGTATTCTAAGAGTTGGTCATGCTATCAAGACATTTTAGGTCAATCATTATAAATGGAAACAAAGGAACTCGTTCTTCAATTTTCAGGTAACATTTTTATGGAATTATAGAACTATTTGATTAATATATGATATAAGTAAACAGCAAGTCATAAAAGGGTTTACAGAACGCAAGGATTCTGAATTTTGTCTTGTAAATGATTTACACCTGAAAACGACGAAGATAGACATATCAGCATGTTATTTATATAAGTTTACAAAAAGAATTGAATTATTTATCAGGTGAGTTTTTCCCTAGAAACTCATTTCAGTTCATATCTTATAAATTGTATGTAGAAAAAAGCATTAAAAGATTCATTTCATTAGGTAAAACAAACTGAAGAAATTCAAAATATTAAACAACTAAATTTGTTTAGACCGGTGGTGTTAAATGTGCACCTCTCAAAAATACTGACAGAAAGAATAATGATTATCAATTAATTTTACTTTCAAAAAGAGTCTTAAAGAATGTATGTGCAAAGTCGAACAGGAAATAAAATGGAAATTTCAAGATGAACAAAAAATTTTAAAAAATAGCTTACACATTACTTTTCTACCAATTTGCCCGATACACAGTGAATAACGAGCTTCAAACCCATTAACACATGAAATAAAAACATGTTACACAAAAACAATTCTTTACCACCACTTCAAAATCAGATTTCTAATGTACAGTGTGTGGCCATAAGTATTCATCACTTTGGATTTTTCACTATATATTTCATATAAAACTACGTTTTCTCAAAAAATTATTTTGTGGTCATTTGTGGTTTGATTATAAGCAACTTGGTACCAATAGAAGCAGAATTGTCACAGGTTTATTTGTTTATTTGGTTGTATTTTTATTGTGGAGCATTTTCATTGTCTCATGAGATAAACACAAATATCATTTTCTGTTCAGAAATTTGCTATATATTTCAACCAAATTAAATTGTGAAAAATAATTATACGTGTTCACATCAGGAGAATACAAAAACAACTGAAGACAATACATGTGTACTATGACCAAATAAACAAATATTCTTTAGACAATTCTGCGTCTTTCAACACCTAATTTATAAAAATCCAACCATAAATGCCTTCAAAATCTATTTTTTTCAAAACATGTTAAAGATATATAACAAAAAAATGTAGGTGGCGAATACTTTTGGCCATGTACTGTATTTCATACAAGTTTCGTGAGGTCCAAAACAATATCAAGAAATACCGGTCGGTAGGTACAAATGTTGAGATCATTGATGCACTAACAACTCTAAACAAGCCTACATGTAGAGTTCTGGACTTTCTAAATGACAAGGCATGGACTAGTGAGTTGCTACAAACCGAAACTGTATGTTTTCAATATCAGTCACACTTGCATGGTGTATTATCATGATTATAATATCATGACCTATTTACTTTGGATCTTATATCAACTGAATCTTTGTAATCTAGATTATTTATTACTAAGGTTCATGTGGACCCAATAGCCAAAATGACTGCGTTTTCACCCCAAAATTTACTCTAGAGTACAGACAAACCTGTGTGTCTGGAAAAGTTTTAAGGCATAGCATGCCCTAGATAAATCAAATTCAAATGCATTGTATGTTTTAGAAAATTAAAAACCTGAACTGGATTTTGCAGTGCACTTTTTTTTCATTCCTACAGGAGGTGCCAAAATAAACAAAGTTCTGAAAGAGGTTTGAGAACTTCCCCATAGGTAATAATTGAAATGGAAAATAGAGGGACAATAGATACCTGACAATAATTGGTGATTTAAACTGTGTCACTGAGTGGACCATATCAAGTGAAACTCAACTGTTTGTTAATTTCATCAGCTTCTGTAGGGACGAAAAAAAGTGCACTGCAAAATTCAGTTAAGTTTTTTATTTTCCAAAACATTCTGAAAATGCATCCATTTTAGCCATATGTACATGTATGTATCCACATTAGCAGAGGTATAGGGAGAGGGTTGAGATCTCACAAAACATGTCCAACCCTGCCACATTTTTGCACCTGTCCCAAGTCAAGAACCTCTGGCCTTTGTTAAAATTGAGAATGGAAATGGGGAATGTGTCAAAGAGACAACAACCCGACCATAGAGCAGACAACAGCCGAAGGCCATCAATGGGTCTTCAATGCAGCGAGAAACTCCCGCACCTGGAGGCATCCTTCAGCTGGCCCCTAAACAAACAAGTATTCTAGTTCAGTGATAATGGACGTCATACTAAACTCCAAATTATACACAGGAAACTAAAATTAAAAATGATACAAGACTAACAAAGGCCAGAGGCTCCTGACTTGGGACAGGCGCAAAAATGCGGCAGGGTTAAACATGTTTTTGAGGTCTCAACCCTCCCCCTATACATGTACCTCTAGCCAATGTAGAAAAAACAAACGCACAACAGTACGCACAGTAAAACTCAGTATAAGAAAAGTCCGAGTCCGATGTCAGAATAGGAAACAAAAGAAAATAAACAAAATGACAATAATACATAAATAACAACAGACTACTAGCAGTTACTGACATGCCAGCTCCAGACCTCAATTAAACTGATTGAAAGATTATGTCTTCATCATATGAATATCAGGCACAATCCCTCCTGTTAGGGGGTTTAGTATTATACCGTCATAAAATATATGAGAAGAACATAACCCGCGTCATACCAACAACTGGTTTTAGAATAAATGTGTTAATTTCGATGCAAAGACCCTATAAGTGAATCAATATTAAAGCCAAAATATGCAATCTTTAATGACCTGACAACAGTATTGTAACTATTTCCCTTCTTAATAAGTCTGTTTAAAGGTTTTGTTAGCTTTTGAGGTGAATACTGACATTTTTGTGCTTTGTAAAGAATAATACCATAAAAGATTGGATGTGAAATACCCGAACGTATAAGATGTCTGCATGTTGAGTTATATTAACGAATGATTTTAGTCTTGTATGTTTTTTTAAATTTTGGTTCATTTATATGTTTCGGAGTTGAGTGTGACATCCATTTTTGCTGAACAAGTATACATTACTATTTAGGGCCAGCTGACGGTGTTTTCTGCTCTTTGGTTGGGTTGTTGTTTCTTTGACACATTCCCCGTTTCCATGTATGTACGTAGATCCCTTTTTTTTGGGACCACCCCTTGAGAGCTGCGAGGGTACAGTGGAATCCGTGCACAACTCCGTATCAGGATTTATGGAGATGTGTCACTAACGTATTTACAACAATATTTACAAGGACAATCCCCCACCTGAACACAAAGGAAGTGCTAGGACACCAGGCAGATTCTGTTATTATGGTGGAGGAAGCCGAAGTACCCGGAGAATACCACTGGGCTGCTCTGCATGGAACAGACAAACCAAAGAGATATCAACCGATTGATCTCCAGGTCAAAGTCGGGGGTAACTTTGACCAACGGTGGCCCCCAGAGTACCCATTCTAGTTAAACTCTGGTCTGGGTACCAGAGATATGCGTGGAACGGTGAAAATCACCCTCCTGATGTACTGAAATTTCCAGCGCCCCGAGTCAGAATCGTACTCAGGACCTTCAGCACTATTTCCATCGGTCTTAACCATTAGACTATGAACCCTCACCATAGGCATAGGGTCCACGTACATGAACCTTAAATCAATATATATGCCAAATGTTTATGCCCTTCGGGGCCTTAAATTGGAAATAAACACATTTCTTCTTCTAATGTATTTGTATTTTGAAAACAAAATTAA